AAGTGTAGCAAAACAAATGTTAGTGAATAACTGTAAATAGCATCAGAAACCAATCTTGGGGAATCGTGGATCCCCAACAAAAATTCAGCCACCTGCCTCTAGATCTCCAAGTCGAAGTGAAAATGTGTAGCAAATTTGGGCATTTATTGGTCCAAAGGTTTAAAATTTAAAAGTACAAGTGGAGTTTATACTCCTGCATCTCCCGGGGTGCAATTTACAGACCGCACTTCATCGACCTCCATCCTAGAAGAAATGGCAAAATAAAGACCAATTGTCAATTGCAGAAAAAAAATTACAAGACTTAGAACTAGTAAGTACCAAAGACAACCCGTAACTACTAGGGACTCGAACTCCCCTTTTCTGGCCCAAACACATTTAATTTCTAGTGAGCTGCAATCAAACTGGACATGGCATTAAGAGGGAAAGCGGTGCATGACCATCAGCGCAGAATGACTACTCACTGAGGCCTTTATAAAGTCCTCCCGAAAATACGCTGGACGAGTGGAAGCCGACGGTGCAGTGAATTGATGCAAATTAGTAACTGACCTACTCGTTCCCCGAGCTTCAAATGCCAGTCAGACCAAAACAAAACTTAAAATGCGGCTGTCAAATATCTGGTGCTAGTTTAACAAAAGATGGAGGCACTAATTTCTTGTAAAAACACAGCCAGAACCAAACTTGCAGGTAATCTGGTGCCGGTTGCCAAGGGCTGAGATAAAGATACACAACCTAGGTGCCTCAAGTAGATGTGCTTAGAACCAACCTCATAGGTGGTTTTAATTCACGCCAGTTACACCTTATCAGCAAACAAGCAAACTGCACACAGAAAAGTGTCTGGAGGTATGTATGCACCCACTAATCAAGGCAATTAATGGCATATTTAAGAAAAGAAGCATCGAGGTCTTATTGACAAGCCGGAGCCCGACAAATACGTTAATCGGCTCCTCTCCGAGGACAAAAAGGCGAGAATTTCCAGTCGATTTAGGCCCGGTAAAATGAAAAATCACAAAGGAAAATGTGATCATCGTTACCCACATGCAAGTGCCAGAAGGCCTCTTTCCTGACAAAGTCGCATTCGGCGTTCGATCGGAGGCCCCTTCTAAGGATTCAGTCCATTCGATTATCTGGTTACAACGAGATTCATCAAATAGATAATCCAAGACAGCCATTTGTTCCTCGAGGCGGTTAAGGCGTTGATAGTGCCGAACTGCAACAATAAGGAAAATAATATGCCCCTAAACACATACCGCGAAGTGGGTTAATTTACTGAAGCCAAAGCTAGAGAATGACACTGTGGTGTTGTGGTAAATTGTTCTTACATCCGCGATTTGGGGAGCAGTGTGTTGAATTGTTAAAATAAAATCTTGGTATTAAGTGGACGATGGCGCGGCCGTTGAAGGCTTGGCTCTTGAGAGAGAGAATTATTCAATCTGAATTGAGTTATCAGTGCCACAGTGCCACGCAAAATAGGCAAAGAGGTTGACCAGAAATTAAGAGGAATACGCATTGGGATGAGAGTGAAACAGTGACACACGGGGAACCGAGACTGACCGGTGTAGGGGATGAAGGCGGTGACGGAGTTAGCGATCCCGGGCCACGCGAGAAGTCGCTCGGGGGCCCAATTGGAGATGATCCAGTTGAAGACGCGCTGTGCCACCAAACAGGTGCGGGCCCGCGTGTTCCAGTTGACTGCGTACTTGAGCAGACGCTGAGCCATCTCTTCGGACGGCGCCTGTCCGGGCTCCGGGGGTTCGGGTATCAAACCGAAGAGGGCCTTTTCCAGCGGCCTGTGCACACCCGCGCCATCGCCTGGCGAGATGCCCTCCAGCAGGCTGATTTCTACAAAATGGTACTCCAAATTTTAAGCTAAATACAGTAGCCAGCACCACACGAGGTTACGGGGCGCGTCAGTACTTGCTTCCAGTTCTCACATGCACACGAAAGTGGATAAAAATTAGCTGAAAGTGAAAGTTACTCCACAATATGGACGGAAGACTATTAGCAGAAACTCCCAGGCATAATTTAATGAGAGGTGGCTCTGGCACTGATAGATTTGAGATTTCAGAGGTGCAATTCTTACAGTACTATAATGAATTTCGTCCTTGAATAGGAAAATGTGCGTTTTGTACACTAGTCCCACATTTGGACACAAACCAAACATGTTCTAGTAAAGTAGAGCCTTCTAAGTTTATGCTTAAGCGCCCAACTTTTGGCGGATTAGCATGTGACAAAGATTACAGCTGTACCACTGACACCAAGGTGATTTGTGCCAAGCGATTCCACTCAACAGGGGCTACCTATAAACGAAACTATTCCCCTGAGGATGACTTCAGTTTAATTTTCAAGTTCGCATTCACAATTGCACATCACAGATGAGAAGCCACACATGAATCAATGCACACCCGCCACATCCAACAGGTTGCAAATGCAACAAAGCAAATTCGATAGTTGGTAAAAGTGTGACCTGTGTTAGTAAGACAGGTCTAGCAGAGACTCAACAGGAGGTTTGCACAATGCCAGTCCCATGCCCTCGCGCTAAAAGCCCCTCGTGCGAGTGACATCATTTTGGCAATAACACTTGCGAAGAATGGCACCAAAATATTTGGTGGGCTCAAGAAAGCAGCGCCTAAGTGGTTGATTCAAACAACATAACCACAATGTATTGTAGACTGAAGGAAATAAATGAGGCAAAATCAATGCGCGCTAAGGAATGCACGCAGAGTTAATTTACGCGGGGTGTTTTGACGTCAAAGCCACTGGGGTAAGTGGTAAACGCGTGTTTCGACACAGGAAAGATCGAGTCCTCATTACGCTCATGATGATAAAGTACACGAGCGGATGACAAAAAGGCGGGGGACTCGGTTGTAGACCCACACACACTTGAGCCGTCAATTTACTTGAAGTCGGGGCATTAGGGAATGAGAGGCTAGTGCTCCACCATAGGAAGGGTTAACGAAACAATGCTTTACTTCCTGAGCAAGCGACAATAGTTGAGACGAAAATAACGCAATTACAATAACATAAGAATACTTCCTACTTGATTTGGGACAGCCTTAACTGTGTCGCCCTTTGTTGATGACATCTTTTATCCGATTTCGAGGAGTTTCCAAATTGTAAAGGGGAATTACGCAGCAAGTGCATATTTTAAAGGTAGAAATTGGTGAGGGGATGTGTTTGGGTGTATGCCTTGCTTTAAGATAACCCACATTAGTCCAGGAAAACAATGAAAAGCTCCGAATTTTGGCTTTCTCTGCTAAATTTTGATCAGTAGCTGATGGCGCAATATAGCATGTCTATGGTTCTAACAAGTGCAACTGATTTGGTGTGGGTTGCATCTCAAGGCACGAGCAAAATTGTCGTCTCTACGAGCCATTACGAAAAAGAGGGCCAGAGGAAAGGAAGTAAAAAGCAAACATGTTACACACTAACTTGGAACTCTGCCAAGATTTGCAACGCACACGACAAACAGTAAGCCGAAAGAAAAAAAAACATGCAACGGTAAGGTTATTTGCTAAATACGCTTCGCTGCCAGTAAAGGCATTTTATATTTGCAGTCACCTGCATTACTTTGCCTTTAGAGTGACGTATTCTCCAAGACAAGCCCGTCCACCCAATTCAAAAGGAATATATTCAAGCCAGTTTACACGAGCATGACAACAAACGATGTTGCAAACACCAACGCCTCCGAAGGCCCGTTAAATGCAAATCAGGCTTTAGGTGGTTCGTGTTCACGCAGAACTTGGCGCAACGCCCTCAACCCCCATTTGGAGAAACTCTTGCCCTCACGACGGGGCCAAATTCAAAGGTGACCCTATTTGGACAGACGCCTCACACACACACAAGTCCACTAGGAAGGCACGCACATCGACACTGGTTCATTTTCTGAACGGCCATTACGTACCTCAGACTTGTCACGACAACTCCGACAAAGGTCGTCAGCCACATAGGTTTGTGCTTCAAGAGAACACTCCTGGTTAAAAAGCCAAATGCACAAGCCGTAGGTAACCAAATATCCTCTCTAAACGACCTCGAAACAGCAAACTGCAACCCCAACATCCATGAATTATTTTCGGAATTGTGAAGTCTTCGTTTGTGGAAGCAAAACAAGTGCCATGTGTTAAAGGTTTATTTTGCCAACCTAGCTGATCACCAAGCATGAAACGGGTGTGGTAAGTGATGCTGAGGTCAATAGAAATGTCTTGTAATTATCACTGTTATATTATTCCGATCAAACTACGTTACGCGACAGAATTATTTTCGCAAGCGGACAACTGGATTGGATTTGGCATTGTTAATCGTTTAAATAAGTGCTTTTGATTGCAAGCTCTTGTACGATGTCTGGTCCATGTTGCGTAGGATAATCACACTCCCAAAGCACACTCTCCTGCCTACAGATTCATGTGAACGACTACCAAGCTACAAGTGTATTTGTATAAATATACATAGTTTGAACTGTACGTGGCATTTATATGCAGGTAATTAATACAGCATCATGAGTTGTTTGGACAGCAGATGGCGCATAACAGGCGGTCCGTTTGACAGAAAATGTTGGCACAAATTCAACAATAGCTTCTTCATTTTAGCTAATTTCAAAATGTGAGCCGTGAAAACAGAAAGGCCGCATTTAGTGACGTACCATGCAAAATTTCGTAGGTTCGCTGCGGTTTGTCTAGCTTTACGGCAAGGCGCAGGGCCTCCGAAAACCGTTTACTCTTCAGAAGATTATCAAACTCCTGATGTCTAGAGAAGGAGGCGAACGGGTGAGTACACGAGGATTACGTCTACATGAGAGAAAACTAAAACGTAAGCGTACATTTTGGTGAATTCTTCCATTGTCACAGCCCTATCTTGGGCGGTATCGTCACTAGTATCCTAAAAAAAAGCAGAAAAAAGTTGGAACCAGTGGGTTTTGAAGAGGAGTATCTCAGTCACACAGTGGTAGGCAGGCTGCTTCAAGCAACTAACCCTGAAGAAGCAAATGGTGGCATCTTCACCGCCAGTGTAGAAGCCTGTCTCATCGGGGCACACCGCGATTGTCCAAATGCGCCCCTCATGAGCCTCCAGCACATTCGGTGGTCTTGCGTCTTTTGATGCAGCCGCCAGGGTTGATTCGCCCTTGCTAGACAAGTTCCACAGCCTCACCAGACCCCTCTGATCACTGCAAAAAAGGCATTAAGGTGCAATGTGCAGTAATAAGGATCAGGAGACAAAACTATGATTATGAATGGCGTTGGCACAAAATTGTTGGGGTAGCAGAGAGTGCTTAGTTCAAAGGTGGCTGAAAAGAACCACGAAAAAGACATGAATTCATTGTAGTAGCGGCGCCATTGGATTTCAGCAACATGGCGCCAATGAACATAAAGAGTAGAGCAAGAATTGCACAACAAAAGAATTGACATACCATGACAGGATTTGGCGACCCTTGGAAATAAACACTGCCTGGTATACCGGTTCCTCATGACCTTCAAAAGTCTAAAACGCAAATCGCAGTTACCCTACCTACCGTCGAACGACAAGTAGCAAGTAATTTTCCCGCGACTCACTCGGATGCACGACAGGTCTTTCAGGTTCCACAAGCGCAAGTCCTTGTCACCAGAAGCGGTGAGGAGAACCTAATCAAAGGAGAACAACGATGATAGACACGCCACAGGGGGTAGACACAACGAACAGCGAACTCACTCGCTCATGATCGGAAAAACAAACCGACCAAACACCACGACTGTGTCCAACCAGCGAGCCAACCAATCGAGGCAGCATATCGCCACCCGTGGTCACGCTTTCCAGGGACCAAATCTGCAAGCAAACAAGAAGGCTTATTGTCGCGAATTTGTCAACTCAACCGAAAACGCCTATCTTGAGCTTGAGCTGACCTTGGCGGTTTTGTCCCGAGAGCCGGTGGCTAGGAACTTGCCATTCACCGAGACGTGCATGCAGTTAATAGCACCGTCGTGGGCGTTTCGAACTGATTGTCCTTCATTAAGGGTGCAGGTCACGTCGTCACTAGCCTCACTCGGCTGTTGGTGCACGGACCAGGTCTTAAGAATGCCATCTGTCGATGCCGAAAACACCACAGAGGTGTCTCTACAGGTAGAAATATTGACTTGGAAACAACTATCCTGACATAGGCGGAGCCAAATTATGGATGCGAAATTCGAAGTACTGAATGCATGGTATATAGCGTACAGATAAATATTTTATTTGCACCGTGCACTCATATGACTGGACTAGGGCGCGCTGTCGTAACGACAAAAGTTGGCAATGAGCAGATCACAAAGTATTCGATAGCCATAACTAACCGGAGAAGTTGCCTGCATATGCAAGCAATGAGCACTTAGTTAGGTGTACAGCCGCCTAAACAGCAGAAATTTTAAATATCATCAAAAAGCTTGAATACGAAGTATGCAAACCAACCGTGCAAATGAGACTGCCGAAATGTGCGCATCATGAGCGTTCTTAGCGAAGAACCTTGACAAGAGCTTCGGCCGCCCGCTTAAATCCTCTGGTTCGATGAGCTGCCAAAGGGAAAGCGACTGATCGTGACCCCCAGTGAGGAGCCACTGACCACACGTGGAGGCTGCCATGTCGCCAATCACACCAAAGTGGGGACTCTGCACCAACTGGCAGGCCCAGGACCCACTCGATGAAGTCGCACTGGGTGGCCTGACAAACAGTTTGAGATTTGCTGAAGCGTCCGCCAAGACCAACCGATTGCCTTGAGCGCCCACCAAACACAGCTTATCCACTGGTCCAATTTCACCGACAAACTGAAAGAGAACGGGTGACATGAACTTGTGTACCTCGGATGGGAAGAAAACACACCAGTAACTAACCTCGTGGAATAGCTTGAGTGTGTCTGCATTGTAAAGCTCAACGTGGCTACTCTGTCTGGTAAGCAACAAAACTTCTGGATTCTCTGGAAAAGCAGAGACATGGAAAAGAGTAAGACGTGATACGGAGTGCATCCCAAAATCTAGGTTCTTTAGAGCGGCAGAATCAGACGAATGGTTAGTGGGCCCCCGGAGCTCCAAAACGCACTGAGAAGTTTTCGTATTCCAGACGCGCACAATTCCCCACTGCCCACCAGTAATGAGAAAGGATGCGTCCCTATTTGCCTTGGAAGGGAGGTGGTTACTTAATGAGCCAGGTGGAAGATATGCTAATGTTTGAAGGCTCTAGCAGGAGAATGAAGGTAAAGCAGAAAAAAAGATGTCTACCTCGAACGTTGGAATTATCTTGGTACGATGCATGTTTTCTGTAGACCAGAGAAGAACCACCTTATCATGGCCACAACTAAAAATTTACAACCGCAATTGTACCTTACGTCGCGAACTGCTCCTCGGATGGTGAGAAAGCGATATCTGTAACGTTCCCCTGGTGTCCCACAAGCGTGGTTACCTTTGCTCCTGTCTCAGTGTTCCAGACAATCAAGTCAACTTCACCCATTGAACACGAAAAAAGTAGGGCTTTGGCTGGGTGAAAACGAAGTAGGCTAAACGAAAAAGAGCACATACATTTAAAAAATGTAAACCACTTTTGGTTTGCCTGACGTCAAGTTAAGAAAACGTGGTGTGATCAACATTGCAAAATGATTGGGCAAAAGCGATAGCTTAGCGAAAATCCCCAATTTTATTAAATTAGAACAAAACAAATATAACAAAATTGAACAACGACTTGTTCATAAGTATATCGAGAAATTTTGAAGTACTGAGCATAGACGACCGACCCATCAGGCTGTGGTTGAAAAATTAATGTTTCATATAACGTGAACAGGCAAATCAAACGGGTGATTCCAAGACAACAAAATTTTTAGAGAATAAATTGTTGCACGCACTTATTACGAGAAACCAGAAATCTTCTATTAGGGTTTTGCAAAAGTTTTTCATTGACAAAAAGAGAAGGAAAACAAGCTCAAAGTTTGAATGAATAGGAAAACACTTGGGCATTGCTTTAGCAGATTGGGAAACACAGCATTAACTTGCATTTTTGGGCATTTGACCTGTGAAAATGGGTGAAATTGACCAAACCACCAAACAATTTACAAAGAAATTCTCTAAAAGTAATCAATTAATATGACGGATACGATCACACATTTACTTAGGTAATAGCAGTGTGCGTGAAATATTTTCGTCAATGAACAAAGACATTTGACATGAGCTTCACTTCAGCTGCACAAAAGAATTGGGATGTACCCGTAAACATTGAGCGACACAGTAAAAACAGGTCAGAGCGAGTCCTGCTTACTATGTTTTGAGGGACATATATTGATCAATTAATGGTTTTAATAGGTCATTCCACACCCACATGTAAACCTCTCGGCCAACTTGAAATTGGGACCCCGTTTGGAATTAACGCCATAGAACATAATAACTACAGATATCATCACTGATAACACGAAAACTACGTCATGGCTAATAAACTATTATTAGAAATTAGCTTACTGAGAATGGAGAAAAGCTTTAACAAGAGAACCCTTTAATTTAACGAACATAAACCACGAGATTAAAAAATTAGATGGGAAAGATCTATGCCCGAACATAACTCGAATGGTGGCAACTTTTGCCGATTTATAAAGGTAAAACACAAGTTCATTTCAACAACGGATAAGAATGAACCCCAAACTAAAAACAGCAAATCTTTTTATCGAAAATATACTATGGGCATAGACTTACGTAATCTTGGATGTGTGTAACTTGCAACTTGCGACAAAGCCCTCACGATCACCAATGTGCCAAATACGAATGGTACCATCGGTAGACCCCGTTGCAAGTCGGGTAGCAGAATTATTCAAGGCCAATAAACAGATGGGTTTAGTATGATAGGACTAAAAAATACACAAAACCTAAGAACGTACATTCCACTTCGATAAAATCCTTTGAGATGATCTGTCGAATCGATGCAAAAACATATTTTTCGTTGCAAATATTATCGTCTGAAAATAAGTGTCGTGAAAATAAACATACATTGTCGAAAGGACAGACAACATAAGTGTTTATTTCGTCATCAATCGCACCAACTTTTGCGAATTCCCAAGAGTTGGGTTGATGGCACATGAATACTTGCATCTGCGCATCGAAATCTCTACCACAAACCATGGCGCCGTCATCACATAACTAAAAAGATGATGCAAAGAAAAATCTTACGAAAATTGGACAAGGATCTGAGTAATGGGGCAGAAACTGAGATTTTTTTTCAAAACTAAAAATTTAACAACTGAGAGAAAAGACTCACTGAAACTTTAACTTGACAGGCATGTCTGAAGGACAGCAATGTGCTATTTGCAGTGCCGCAGTCCGATACCCAACATTTTTGAAAGTTAGCACACCATTTCGGCCACCTCAAACTTTGAACGAAATTCATACAAACATTATGAAATTTCATGTATAAATTATGCAGAATTTATTACACATAACTATTTGATTCAAAACAGTGGTGTTGAGAAAAGTTTTATTAGGCTTCCAACATCAAAACAACACTTTTCCAATGAATGTATTATTCGCTGTACACTTTTTCGTCTCTTGTTCTGAAGTAGGCTCATTTATAAATAAAAAATTAAATGCTGTGACCTCTTTTACGCCTACTAGCCTAACCGTGCCCTTATGGTTGGTAATTCTTACAATTCCTAAGAAGCATTTATTTGTACTGCCTTTGATAATGAATGGAAAATATTTTTTTAAAATGACACGGTGTTTTAAAGTAAATATATGTTGTTATTAATTTCTAGTGCAAAAAATAAGTGCAGACATTACAAAAAATATTTAAAATCAAACTTAATGTAAGTCCGCAACCTTTGAATAACTCGAAAATAGCACGTTTCTTTTGTATGAGCCTCTGTCGCATGAAGTAGACATTTCAGGTTTCACTTAAAAATATAGGCGTTGCCTAGGTCACTTTTTTTTCTGCGTCAAATTAAAGTCACTAAAAAAATTAAATTGCACAAATCTGGAAATTGAAAATTGTAAAATAACGAGGTTCAATTGAAACATAATTGGTTCAGGTTATTTTTTAAGCTGCGCAGTATGTTTAATGGAGTTAGTGATTAAAAATGATACAGAAATGACGGGGTTTCATCAAAATGTGGCATAGTGTTTGGATTTTACGGTGAAAGCGTTCATTATATGCAATCACAATTGTGAATAGTGCTCTACAAAAAATAAAACAATTTTTTTACAGGATTTGCATGATAATAAACCATCAATTGGAATTCTGATGTCAGATCCATAAAACACCTTTAAGTAATTATAAGACAACTGTAAAACGGTAATACATGAAAAGAACTAGCTATTTAGCAATACATTTAAAGGAAATTGTTTATTATTTCAGAATGTGAACCGCAATTATAACAGGGTCAGGTGCTTTGTCGTTGATGCTTTTCTGATTAGCTAGACATATGTTAGAGATTTTGATGAGTATAGTGAAGGTATAGTTCAACAAATATGTTTTGTCTGCAGATTTGTAAGCACAGACAATATTAATTTGTGAATTCTTACATTAAATGTCTGGAAGGTTATAGGTAACTCGCACAGTATTATCAGACTCGGTACAATGAAACACAATGCCTTGGTGGATCAGAACCAATGTAATGAGCCTAGCGAGCGGGGGCCTAAATAGGCTGATAACGGTTAGACTGCCAGTCTTAGATAACTACACCGTCATGGTTAGATACCAGGCACACGAAAGGAAGATAACTAGACGAACCGGATGTGTTCCATACTACCTCATACAAATTCAGAGGGCTAGAGCTTAGGGTGAGTTAGAGCAAGGGAAAGAAATGGCAGTGAAGAGGGTCGGCTTTGGCTGCGGACTCACGGGCGTGTCTTGAGAAAGGCGAGAGTGTGGGAGGGAAGAGGAGGACAAGGAATAAGCCAGACTTGCATTCGTGGGTTGAATGGCTAGCGTTACACCAGGCTAATTAAAGTACGGAGTGCATAAATTAGTTAACTGAAATTTTGCAAAAGCTTTTACTACCATTTTAGAATTTTTTAAATAATATTTTGTATTTGTTAAATGATTTTGTTGTTGTTTTGTTATTGACAATTGTTTGTTTAGTTACATTACATTTATTTATGTAGGTCATTCACGAAAAGTTGTAAAAATTGACAAAAATGGAAAATGAGTTATACCATTCTCAATTCAATGTTCCTCTTGTGTACGAAGATAAGGCTACGTCGTATGCAGCACATTCAAAGGCTGGTGGGCCTAATCGGAATAATGGTAATTTTTTGTCTTAGTCAATAATTATTACAGGTATTCGAAATGCCAATCCCAACAATGTTGTTGACCAATATGCTTACGTTAAGCACGTAAGAATGAATTGTCAGATATAATTAGTAGGAAAACGGACAAAATGGCAATGAAACTTTGCAACCAAAAGCATGTCGACATTCCGCGAAACATGGATTTCACAGGGAATCGTGCGAAATCTGTAATCCATACACTATACCAACTAGACAGGCTTCTTTGCGCACAACCTACAATGTTGCATTAATGGTTGCGGACCACATTAAAGCCGGAACTTCTGCACCCGTAAGACGTTTTTTGATTTCCAATGTTTTTAATGAATCAATTTATTTCAAATGCATTTTTGTTTAGTTTAATTATACCACTGAAACGCAATGTTATTAATGTTCTAGGGCAGTTTTCGGAGAAAATTCACTAGGTCATTTTTGACTGTTTAGCTGATAAACTGTTGTGATCACATTAGCAAAACACAGTTAAAATATGAAGAATCACGTTTAACGACAGGCTGCTCGAATTCCAGGATCAAAAAACTACTTATTTTGTCAGACATTTGTTTGCAATTATACTATGGTTTTATACTGTTAATTCGTTTAACTTATCAGTGTTAGGTGTAGGTTTTGACACTTCACCAAATTATTTATGTTTGTTTCCATTTTGAGTTCAGGCATTTTATTTAAATTAGACCAATAAATTGAAAGCATAGGCAAATAAATGCAAGTCGCACTAAACAATTTGTGTTTAATCCCTCTCTATAGATAAGTATACGTCTTAAAGGAGACAAAGGAAAGTCCAGTAGGATTTCCCTCAACAACGGTTCCAAAAATCCCACCCTGGAACGAGGATCCATGAGAGAATTTCAGATCGAATGCAAAGATGTGGGTGAATTATCTTGGATATTATTGGAAGTAAGCAAAAGATTTTAATATTTATACGCATTCACAATCCCACACACACAATTTGCAAAATGCTCATTCAAATCAATTATTAAAGCTATTAATTTTTCACACTTAGCATTAACATATTTCGAATTTTGTAGTCCACTTTAAATGTTCCATAGGTTAATATATGTTATCTCTGGGTAGAAGGTACTACAAGCAGACTGGTAATCAAAGTTAAAGTAGTCATTACCTAAACATTTCCCGATTTTAATTTTACTTTTTGTCCACACATTTATCTCTCGAATGCTTTTGAATTTCGTCAGGCCAAAAAAATTAATGTTCAGTAATAATGAACCAATTTATTCTAATGCATTACTCACAGTACGTGCTTAAATGTCTAGTTTGATTTTTAAAGCTCAAACTCCATTTGCCACTACTCTGAGGCTTGAAACCCTTACATCTGCAAAATGCCTCATTGGATATCACTACTTATCAAATATTTCCCTTGCGTAAAGTTTGTAACAGATGCTTTAATCAAGTATAGATACAGTCTGTTGTCAAGGTTGTTGCCATTTCATCGAAGTAAAGGCCGCTTAAAAGCCTATATCAGTTTTTTTATGTGCTTTACTTGGTCATTTCAGGCTAAATGTTCTCACCTCCTCAAGTAGTTCAAACACACAAATATTCACTAAATAGTTTTCTGAAAAAGAGATTTTATTGAAATAAAATTTCATTGACAGCAATCGCGCTTGGAGAATTATGGCAACTTTACTTCATTTGCACATATTTAGCGATGATTTTGAATAAATGCAATTCCAGTAGCATTTCCTGTGTTGCTACATTTTAAGTTTTAATATCTGTTAAAGTATTTTTATGTCAACGTTCCTTCTCACATTTCTTTTTACTATTTCGTAATATCTCATTAAGAACGGAGGAGCAGGTCCAGATGATGGATTGCTGCTCTCATCTGTACAAATTACTCACCCAGAGACCTCCAGAGCTTGGCTTTTTCCAATCCGTAAATGGCTCTCCCATTTTGACGGGGAACGTCTTGCAACTCGTGATTTTAAAGGAGTGCGCACGGTCTTGACAGGTGAGTGAGAACCCTTAAAATTGACAAAATTTCATGCATCTGAAGAAGCAGTCTTTAACAACAGTTAAGTTTATTTAACTCGAAATCTAGAATGCAACTTAAGTAGGCATTAAAATGCACAGAGTTAAAAGAATGGATCTATACAAAATTTGATATGATATTGTCCACTTAACCGCCCATGTTCAGTGGAGCTATGACTCGATTTATTTTTATTTTGATTTGAACCCGGTAGACCCATTGGAATATTTGTTTCCGTAGACCCACTCGTGACCCTTTACTTGACTTCATATACCATCAGCCTATTATTACCTTTCATGTGCAGATTATCAAATAACAGCAGTGACAGGAGACATGGACGGGGCTGGCACGGACAGCCGCGTCTTCTTGGTGATGTGTGGTGAGCGTGGGGAAAGTCCACCGTTCGAGTTGACATCACCTGACCGTCATGGCCTCTTTGATCGTGGCGCCGTGTCCAGATTTAACATTCGGACGTACAACCTCGGCGACCTCTTGCACATTCGAGTTTCTCGCGACTCCAGCGGCACCATGAAGGGCTGGTACCTGAAACGCGTTATCGTGGAGGATCCCTTGCAACCTCAGTGCTGTTACATGTTTAACTGCAATGACTGGATTTCCTTGCCGAAAACCAATCGGACTAACAGCACTCACGTTATCAAAAGTGAAGCTTCAACGGCAAAAAAAAGTCAGTAATTTTTGCCATTGCAATGCTACTTACAATAATTTTCTTAGCAAAGTAACAGCTCAAATAAAGTAAAATAAACAAAGCTTATATGGTCGTATTTAGTTACGGAGTTACTGATAGCCCATAGTCACGATTGGCAATAATGAATGTCTCGATAAAAATCCTGTCATGGTTTCATCAATGTAGGATTAATTCAGATATCTTAAGAGCAAGACCAAAAGAATGGAACCAATGGTTATTTACCATGGTTGGATAGTTTGGGAAAATTTAGAAGGGAGTGACTACTCCCAGAGACAGGTATAATGCGTCTCGACAGTGCGTATATTCAAGGCAATTTTTCTTCTTAAGCACACTAATTTAATTTCATCTTCACAGGAAAACCCACGCTTAGTTGTTGCCAGTAATGATGTGTTGCGACAATGACGAATAAATTACAACGCTCTCCAGATAAAGCTGGGAATACGTGTCAATCGCTTGAGTTCACGTAGGGGTATCCTTGTGCACGTGGCATTTGACATTGCTGCACGCGTCTTCCATAAGTTTGCAGCTTTAAGCGTAGTGAACCAGTTATAATGGAACTGGATTAATTCAATCGGTTACACGCAAGGATTTTACCGCCAAACTCCTTTAGCATTCATATTTAATTGTTTCTTTTGAAATGTCAGACTAAATTTAGACATTCGCTCCTTAGTCTCACATTAAATGCAGAAAGCGGTAACCCTGTTTAGAAGAGCTAGAGGAATAGAATTTTTGCAATGAACCAAGTTTTAGTGACCTACATAAACCCTGAAGCAGTACTAGTTCCACCTCAGGTAAACAATGGATACCGTGGCATCGAATGTATCAAGTTTATTAGCCTGTTTATCAGAGATTCGATGGCGGAAGTTAGAACCGCTAGCGTGGGAAAACTCAAAGGATTATCTCTTGACGTTCTTAGCTTAAGCAAAACAAATTTCCAAATGGTTTGCTTAACAAAACGATTGCAGTTGATTGGCATTGATTAGGTAAATCAAGCAACAAAACCCGTCGGAACGGGTTAAGCGCATTAACTTGGTTAGGGTTTAGGAATGCGATAGCTACAAGTTTGAAATAACCTTCACACCAGACGCACCACCCATTGTAATTTCCAGCTTGATCCCATAGGTCAATGTTTGAATTTTTAGATTGTGAATATCGCGTGAGCTTCCATATCGCTAATGCTCGGGGTACCGGTACAACGTCGGATGTTTTTATGAGGTTATACGGCAGGGACGGAGTCGACAACGAGCGATGGTTCAATTCCCACGCGAGTCAATTCGCAGTTGACGGAGCCGTGGTTCGATTCAGTTTCCTTGCCAACAAGCGGCTTGGCGATCTAATAAAAGCTAAAGTTGGCCTTAATGGGAAGGGTGACTCTCCGGGGCTGTTGCTTGACAAGGTGAGATTCTTTGCCTACTAAAATTCTTGACTACGTATATATTGCAGTGCAATGAATCTTGATTCAAGCAATTTATCTGCTACTTATAGGAATTTAAACTCTTTGGCGCTTAAAACAGAAAAACGAATCATAAACACAGGAGATAAATAATTTGACATCACAGAAATGACTTTCTTCCAAAACCTGTGCCGTATCAATAGCGGCTCATCGAATCTAAATATTGCTCTGTTAGCTTGACAAAATCGCGTATCAAACCAACAAAAAATCAACTGGAAATTCACTGTCCCTTTGTATGCCCATGTCCAGGCCACCTCCGCTAAAACTCGAAACAGGCAATATTTCATTTTAAGAAAATCCTTCAAAACACACAACAGGCTAATGAGAGTACTGATCGTGAAGCACGTGGAACTATCTCTTGACAGTAATTCAGTGAATAACAGGCTTAGCTTAATTGCATTAGTGAAGAGACACCTAGTGGATTTATGGGTTTAGATCAACTCGCAGGACTAACGCATGTCTACCATCTATTTGCAATCGCAGACTGTGAAATGAGCCTTTAATGCAGAAAGTTTGCGTCATTTCAGCTGAAATAACAATAAAAGAAGTTCCAAAGAAGGCCAGTCACCAGGAGGCCTATCAATTTTACTTTACCTTTGCACCCCAATCTCGTTAGGTTGCGAATTTGAACCCCGTTATGGAATTGTGTCAACTATATTAGATAAAGCCTGTGGCCTGGTAAAAACGCATGGACTTTTCGATGCCAGCCTGAGTGTGTTCTGTGTTCCAACTGACAGAAATTACATGGGATGAATTGTGTTGAAACGTGTATTTTCATCGTTTCTCTCCTTGAAATAATAAATTGCTAGTAATATAATGCAACTTATACTAATGTTTTCGTTTCCAGGTAGTGGTTGAGGACGTTTCGACGAAGGAGGTTTTTACCTTCCCCTGCGGTCAGTGGCTCATTCCGCATAGGATCGGTGCTACGGTTTCTCAACATTTGTTTAGCGACAAGTCAAGCTCGAGGAGCTTTAGCCCAATCGCCCCAAGTAAATGTCATTTTTTTACTTGAATAATCCATTAACACAACTTGAGAATTGGTCAAGTCAAAGTTGTCGATTACAATTATTGTTTGTCCACACACCGTACGCCTTTCTTCAAACCTGACAGCAGAAAGAATGAAGTATTAAATATTAAGATTTAAAACTATGGAGACCCGAAAATTTTTGTTTTTCTTGCGCAGTAAATCGAATAATTACAAGGAATCGGAAAGATTAAATTGGCGTCCTTCAAATATAGTTATGCTGATTTTTTTAAATAATATTGCAATCGATACCGGGTGTCGATATCGATGGACATAGACGCTTCAATGTAACTCCCATACTTCATTTAGCACAACATTTTGAAATGATGATTTCCTCGAAGAGCGAAAATACTCAGGGAGTGCCGACAGACATTTACTTCCGGCTCCTTGGTCCAAAAGTGAGACACTTTGACGAAAGTGCATTTAACAACTCGATCAGATCGGGTAATTTCCAATCCCCTCACAAAAGCGTTTCTCCAATAATCTGCATTCCTGGAAGCCAGATACGCCTCGGAGACACCACCTTCTTTACCTTCAACGTTGACGGCTGTGGACGGCTCTCGCCCAGCTCCAAGCTGGCATTGGGCCATGGCTCTGCCAGCGGGGCTGCTGATTGGCTGGTGGAAAAGGTTTGTTATTTAAGTATATCTTGGCTACTCAAAGTAACGTGGAGATTGCAACCGCGGTTGAGCACGTTAGTGGAAAATTTTCCTGCGCGGTAGCCTGTTGACGAAATGACCAAACAGTGCAGACTAGAGTGTTTTGTCATAAGTATTTATCTTGTTTTTGTAGGTCCTGGATCTTGAGATGCATGAACGAACTCATATTTAAGCAACTTCATTAAGGCAACTTAACCTAGGTTTTAAGTGAAATAGATCAAGTCGATTACATAAAATGGCCTGTTCGAGATCTCAAGAAAGAAAAGAAACCACGAGGGACCTTGGGAATTTGTTCATTCATGCCCACGCATTTTTCACATCCTCACAGACTACAAACTTCCATCGCATTTTGTGAAATTACACATTTATGGGGCAGATTTCCATGAGATTTTTGTGCAAACCATGATTCAATTTCACTGCGCTGAATTCAAGAGTTAATGGAATTATCTAAGTGTTGGGCATTGTACTAAACTATCTTTCCTTTACGACCCCATGTCTAGGCAGACCCGGCCTTAAAGTAGTCCGTGATAATAAGTCAATTCACAAATGTACCTCATAAATTGTCGTTTTCATCAAACATGCAAATATGAGCGGAATCGACAACGGTTTTTCAACAATCATGCATCTGTCTTCACGGGCTGCTTAGTGAATGAAACATCTCCTGGCATCCTATTGGTTGCTTCTTCCTTGCTTTTTAGGTCCTGTTGAAATGCTTGAACACAGGAATCACCCAAATATTCTGTTGTAATAAATGGTTTCCGTTTGCAAATGATGTGCCAAAGGCTAAAGAAATAGGCCCAGTTTACACCGTCATGCCACCGAAAACAAACGCAGGTAAGAGTTGAATGATTGTTTTTTGCAGACATGTAGCCGGCATAATAGAATAATTTAGACAATTGCATCATAACCAGCCAATGCGTTTAAAACAGATTCCTGGAATCTGCGTTTGGTCCGAATAACACCCCTCTGTGTTACAAGATTCCAGTTGTAGCATCTGTCTAAATAATTGAAGTTTGGATTTTAAACGGACGCCTGAACCAGATTAAACCGCGGGAATGTGAAATTAGTTTGATAATCCTAAAGTTTTTCCGGCAAAGAGTTATTGTGCCTGCGGCAGTGGAGTGAGCTCAGACAGGGCAGATCAAATGCAGTTGGTACAAATTTATTCCTACACTTGAGCCCTCAAACGATGAACCAAATTCAAACATGCTCGATGTAGGAGTTGCCTTAAAGTAGTGCTAATGACAACAACTTTATTTTAAAAAAATACTACATTATTTTTCTTTTAAAAAAATTTTTGGTTAACAATTAAAACTCATAGCTTAGCTCAATAACCATTCCTGTGGGCAAATTATAACCTGAATGAAGACGTGTAGATGCAATTATCATAAGGTCAAAGAATTATCAATCTGCTTTTGTTTTAATTTCGTTGCATCGTTAGAGACATGTTAATTTTTTGGCAAATGCTTACAGAGTGCACCTCATATTTGAGAGGGACAAAATCAGCCATCACCAATGCTTTCTAGTCGACTACATCAAGTCACCTTTTAAAATACCCGTGAAATTCCACTTTCGGTAAAATTTTGGTTTTCCCACGTTCAAGCAATAATTTTGTTGTTCTTGGATCCTGCAAACAAAATTGCTCAATACAGGTGTTTTTGGAGCTTTCTCTGCACATCAAGAAATCCTTCAGCGTGGAACATAGTGGGCGTTCCATTACGGTAGCAGGCTTGATCTCTACTAATACACGTTTAGAACTAGGCAATCTTTTGGCTCCAAAGGTGGTAAAACTCGTTAAAATCTTAATTAGGGCGTGAAATCGCAGCAGTGTCCATTAAAGTTGTTTGCCTTTTGCAGCAATTTCCAATGCAAACTGGAAAGTAGAATTTTACACGGGTAAACTGGCTGGATCAAGCGCGTCAGCTCGATTCTATTTGACTCTATACGGTGATCAGGGCAAAACTGATGAAATACTACTGAACGAATATGACTCCTCTGGCAACAACAACTACAACAACATGAATCTCGCACAGAATTCATGCAAAAGCTTCAAACTAAACATGCCTCCCATCGGCGTCCCTCACAAAGTGCGCATCAGACTAGATGATCCGGGACATTCGCTCAGCTGGCACCTTGAAAGGGTAATGACTACTTAAATTTAGGTAGTATCACATTTGTGGTAGTGATATCGATGAATTTGCCGTTTTCAGGTCATTTTGCAAAACCTTTTAACCGGAAAGAACTATTCATTCGCTTGTAATAAATGGATTACTTCTGAAGACAGCAGCGGATCACTGGTGTGTGAACTGCCAGCGCGTGGTCCTGATATCACCCAGCCCGCATCAGGTATGCCGACCTGCATCTTTTAGCAAGTTTTTACTGTACCTTCGGACCAGTGTTCAAATGTGCATAAATGCATCAAGTTTGTTAGTTCTATGAGAAGCAGTTTTATTGTGGACTGAAAATTGTGTCTAAGTCTAGAAGTCGTAAAATCCTTTGAGCTAGATGTGAAATATCAAGGGCCACATTAAACTGCAACTGTTGTACTCGCATTGTTAGGCCTTAAAATTTTGAGTTCCTGCTGGTACGTAGTTAAAATACGCAGTCGGATACCAGACAGCCGATAAACACATCAAGTTTTGCATCAAATAGCAAACTCGTGAACGTATGAGCAATTTATGTCCCTAAAAATGGCTAAAAAGGCACACAATTGTTTTTCGGCCGAATGGTTCGCTCAAACTCTCTCCATTATTCAATATGCTCCTGCGGGAATCTCGTATTTCCATTTTAAAAAAAACAGCCGCAATGTTTAGGATTGTAAAACTTCCTCTAGAAGCGAAATCCTCGACGATTATTTCTTCTGATTATTTAAGTCAATCAATCGAAGTACACAGCACTTTCTTGCGTATTTGATGAGACCAGTGGTAAACATTAGTGCTGACTGCCTGACTTGCTTCTCCCCAATTAGTGAAACAGTACAAAGTGAATGTTCACACGGGTGAGTTGTCCAGTGAACACTTCGATGGACATGTGTATATTAACCTCTTCGGTGACATCGGTGACACTGGCAAACGCAGACTGAACACAAGAAATACCGGAGGGACGTTTAGTAAAGGAAAGGTAAGGGGGTTTGAGTGGTGTCAACCAAAGTGGCGTAAATCAAATTGTTCTATTGAAAAATCGTAATATATCTATGCCACATGGGTACTTAAAAAATCAATGACAAATGTCTGCATCATACCCAATCAAAATGTTGAAGCACGTTTAGGCTCTTTTCAAAAAGTATCTAATTTACCATTTAAAGTTAGTGTGGCAGTTAACAAACATGGCACTCAAAATGGTTTTTAATATTACCTAAAGGAATGAGTGCAAAAATGAACTTTACTGACTGAGTCATTGGATTCCATACAGGGTACAGCGTTGGCTTCAAGTGTTACTAGTTTCTAAACGACTACGTATGTCTTGATTTGTCGAAGAACATTGATGTCGGAAATTCAGACTTGTAGAAGTCGTCTGAAGGTTGATTATTGTGTCTTACTACTAGCTTATGCAATTTTCATGCCAGTTCTAGTCATACTTACAATTTTTTTAAAAAGGTTGATGAATTCGTTATTGAGGCTGTGGATATTGGTAAACTGGAAAAGATTCGAATTGGTCATGATGGGCGAGATTCAGATCCAGCGTGGTTTTTGGACAGGGTGACCGTCGAGGAAGTCGGCAATTCAACGAATACAGCTGAATTTGTCATGGGCGGGTGAGTTGTGCCTACTTGCCCATGTTGTACTTGATTGACACAGCCATAGTAAATGTGTTTTATAAAACCTTGAAACCAACAATGCTCCCATCAAAATCTATGCAAAATGTGAATTTGTTGCAGCCGCCGGTGCGGGTTTGGGGAACCACACTAGGGCTGGCGATGTACACTGACAAGGCCCGACCGAAAGACGAGTGAAATATGCAGATGGCGCGTAGCTCAACTAAGTTATTGATGCAATAGCGGTGTGTGTGAGCTTGTACAGGATAACAAGTGCGTTTATGTAGCGGATTAACAGCGATCGCGCCTGAGTGAACCCTGGTAACTGACTTGATGGTGACAATGACTCATCCCCTTTTCATTGGCTACTGTATCAGACGCCTCTCATCCGTTCACTCATCCACACTTGGCTGGCGTGACGTCAATAAACGGTCGTGTCCAATGTCGCCTCTCTTCTCTCCATTCTCGGGTTGTTACAGGTCGTTAACTAGAGGGTCATAAGGCAGTGCTAAACTCTAGCCACTGCATTTATATAGCTTCGATAAACACCGATCCCTGAACTAGCAGGGTTACGTAAAGTGCATTCACGTAAACCAATTGAATCATGTCCGCTCACGCCTGCATAGTGCGTTCGCTCACGACTGATAACAGTGCTCGTTTGCTGCTCGCCACAAATTAATATCATAGTTACATTTGATTTTATCACTCGCTCATGGTGTGTACTAAAATGGGCTTGACATTGTTTCAGAAATCATAAAAAAATTTGTTACTTAATTTTCAAATTTAGAAATAAAATAGTCGTGTTAGTGCTTAAAGAGGAATGAGTTTTACACAATCAGTAAGTGTAATTTTCGGTTGGTTATTACTGTACATATTCCAGAACAGCATGAACTGATTGCTTAAAAGCAAAGTTTTTTAGGAAATTCAAAATTGTCTATTCAGGTGTAAAGTACTCTCCACATTTTTACCTTATAGATGGCTTGATGTTCGCCAAAGTGATGGATCAGTTGAACAGGAATTGACCCCCAATAATGGGAAAAAAAGCAAGTTATTTTGGTTCTTAAGCCAGCCAAAAGTTTACTCATAATCGTTGTTGTTCATTCCATAAGTCAACTTAGAGCACAGTTTCATTGTGTCTTGACAACACGCAATCACCAACAAAATTCTTCACAGACAGATTTGGGTACTGCGAATGAATTAATGGTAGCGAATCAATCCGATAGAGTGGATCTTTCATTTTCGCCTTTAGTAAAAGAATATTGTTTTAAATCAGCAGAAATGATTCTCGAAGAAGTTTGAAAGGAGCAGCATCTAAAAAAAAGTTGATCTTGAAGACCGTTTCAAAACGCACACTTTTAACGTGGAAAGAAAGTATCTTGACTCGGTTTTGATGTGTTTAGAGTAATGTTTGGCTAAGAGAAAGCTCCTCAAAATGCAGTGACCACTAAACAGCCTTATTGTGGCAAGATCGAATTGTGATAGGCGGCTTTTCAGATTTTTTGTTTCGCAAATGACTTTAATAATTCAGATTTTGCTTTTTCCAGCACAGATAACAATTATTTCAGTGCTGACGTTTTGTCGCCAAAATACGATAGCTATCTAGGTGTTGTGGACATTTACGCCGAGCATTCGTACAGAAAATCAAGTAAAATCACGGCTCAGTGTTAGCAACCTTGCAAGTGGTTTAGCTATACAAGTCAAAAGTTTTAAAAAACGATGAAACACTAGAAATTGTCTAGCTAAATCACTTCGACTTCCTATGGTAATCTTACCTCAAAATGCGCTCAAATGCTTGGTGGTAGAAAAGAATTATTGCTGAATCTCATTTCAGATAGGTTTGGCATCTGCCACATCTGGGTCATTTTTGGTACCTAGATACCCCGAGAGTTGATAGACAACCGACAATTTGCTAAAAAGTTCAACTAAGTTATGTGCGAATGCGATTGCACTTTTCACATGAAGTCGTGAGTACTTAAAGTCGCATCTGTTGATGATTTTACTTTCGACTTTAGCATGGCTGTATGGCCACATCAATCTGCAACTATAGTTTTATTCGTTAAGGCCTAGGTTTGTGGAGCAATTCTTAGTAGTTGTGGATAGGGAGATATTGTAGACGCAGTTTCATGTCCGGCCGTGTACGTTGGACCGTTCTCTTGCAAAGGTAGCACACACTATTCGATGCGACTCACTACACATCCACTTGCTAAAGTTTGGGAACGCGAAATAAGTACTATGCGAAGCTTTACCCCGTAAGTGTACCTAGGAGATTGGCTTTAAAATCAAAGAAAGCCATCAGTCATCCAAATCAGAAATGTTATCCGAAAGTCAAATTACACTCCAAGGACACGTGAGTATATTTCATTGGTAAAAGGCTAAATTAATTAGATATAACCCAAAATTATACTTAAAATAACGAAAACCGCAATTAGTGCGCGGACTTACATGATTAGTCAAGGTATTTCCGGGAAAATAGAAGTGAAGGCTTCTCACAACCACGTCCAAAGCAATTTTTCATAATCAGCCCAATCGCGATCACTTTTCTCTCGCACGTGAGCGAAACTGCCGAGTGGCGCGGGTCAGGAAGTGTAAAACATCCGAGAGCCAAAGAAGGCGCATCCACTTTGATTTACCGTGAGAAGAAAGGCTGCTGCAAAAACCCCTCTCCGGTTGAGGGTTAGGCGCAACAGATAGCATGCACCACGGATCAAACAACACCAACGAATTTAACGACCAATCCATTATACAATGGAGCTAAGTAGGACTCAAGGAGAGTAAGAAGACGAGAGGCGATTGAGACTCAGTGGTATTACTTGTTACACTTCCCCTAACTTTTTCCTAAGCATTATAAGCTGTCGTCTGAAATTACGTTAACTTCTCTATAGGCCTTGAAATTTATTCAGGCTTCAGTTATTGCATTTCGTGTAGATCACATTTTTATCATGTAGTGTTGGAAAAACAGAATGCAAATTTCTTCCTTCGAGGTGTGTTCTTTAATGCATTTGGCATCGTCATCTCTGGCAGAGGCTAATGTTATCGTTGTGCTTTGTTTATGTCTGCGCTGAGGCTCCTAATTGCAGTCGCAACTTCAAGAAAAGTGTTGTTTACTACATAAAGGTATAAAGGTACTTAAAATTTGACTGTACCCTAAGGAAACAGTAGGATTAACTTTCGATAAATGAAACGTTGGAAATACGAACTAGAAGCAAGTTGGCAGCTAAACACAGCGTTGGGTTCTTTCGTGGCGGTTATTTCCGAAGGAATTGAATTACTTTACGGTCTCTTTTAGTGGCTTAAGGCCGATATTAAACAATGGTTTCCTTGTTGTTATCTAGTACAGTTTTGTGTGCACTAGATGGTGCAAGTGTTACCGGCGAACATCAAAGTCTAAGCGAAGGCTGCAAATTATTGCAATGCAACTTCTTTCTAAATAATTTGGTACATAGTCTTCGTCAAGTGTACGCATTTACTTCCGGTATCATGCATCATGCATTACTCTCGTCCCCGCTGTCGACCCATAATCTGAATAAGCAGGCCAAAACGCCTTTGAGTTTTGACTTTCTGGCAACCAACAACTAAACTGAAACTCCGACCTTCAAAAAAGTAATTTAGAACGCTTAAGAAACAATAATCAAGTTCTGCATTATCGCGTAATCTGCTTGCACTATTGGTTGCATTAAACAGGAAATTATTTGGAATCCAGTCAGACAAACCGGATGAGTTGAAATGCGCACAGATGATCCATAATTCCTGGAGCTTGGGCACATTTGTTCCTAGCCCAGCGTTATTGCATGAAGCACTATTTTATGCGATTTACTGCATTCTAGCTTGCGCAAATTATTTTAAACAGTCAGCTGGCAAAAGCCTGCTTGTGCCCATTCAAAAAGGCAGTGTTTGGGTTAGATTTTCCTGCGCTCAGTCCAGTTGGAAAACAGTCACAACTTATTTTTTTTTGAAAGAACTGGATAACACTTTCCTTCCTGAATTTTTGAAACAGCAAGGCCTGGGCAGTGTAATTAGATTAATATCTAAGTGGACAACTATCTTTTTACGGAGGCATTTTGGCAATCCACCTCATTTGTTTTATAACCGATCGTTATTTATAAAAAGAATTGCCTGGATGATTTGCGTGCAGGAAGTGTAGTCCTGTATTACCTAGAACCGTATGCGACCTTTCTGCCTTTGAATTCACCAGTCTGGTTAATATTTTAGACCAGCAAAGGTTTTAATTGAGTTCCTTCTGTATGAATTGAGCCAACGCCGAAACCTCTTGGGTCTATTATTTAATGAATGGCAAAGAAGACATCTAATGCCATCTAGAATTTGGGGCTGTGATTTGACTACCCGATGGCTTTAATCAAAATTATCCATGCGACGATCTGCATACCCAATTCCTAATATTCAACTAGTCTAAGCCTATTTGCTCTTTTAAAGCCCTATGAATTCTCAGGTTAATAATGTGCTTGTGTGCAGTTCAGAGTAAAATGCTACGCAAAATTCAATTAACCAGTTACCAGGGTGTTTCACCTAGTCATACTCACTGCTCACTTCCACACAAAAGTATACCAAGTGTGATTCGTAGTAAAAAAAAACGGACCTACACCGAAAACGTGATTTTAATCTTCACCGGCACATGTTCATTGCTTGGTGTGATTTTTCCTGATAGCTGTTAGCTACACGGTGAGAACGAAGACTGGGGAGCACTTGGGCGCCGGCACGAAAGCCGATGTCTTCCTCGCTGTTGAAGGCGATGACAGCAAAACGCCCTTGATGCAACTGAAGCACACCCAAGCAAACAATGGGCGATTTCGCATTGGACAAATCGATACTTTTAGTCTTGAAGGACCCTTCGTCGGGAAGGTAAACAAATGGCGCAGTTTTTAATAATACACTTCACTCGTAACTTCTACGGATGCAGACTGATTGTGGCAGTAGCGTAAGCCAATGGTGCATTTCAAACAAAGAAGTTTTCGAGAAAGGTTTAATTTTTGCGTAAGGGCTATTAGAAAGCAAACTTATGACACATTTAAATGAGAATATTGCCTAAAGCTTGTATACCTCACAAATGGTGCATATTATTTAATTAAACCAGCCGTTTTAGAAGGGACAATGCATTGATGATTTCAGAAAATAGCTGACTTTATATGAGTTGAGCTGAAATCGTTACTGGTTTAAAATAGTTTTGAATGCAACACGTTATGTAGATTTTGTTGGTCTACCTTAACATCACAAGTCTATTCGAGTCATAAAATACATAAGTTGCTTTAGAGCTTGACGGTTTAAAGCAAATTTACATCTCACGTCGGATGGTTAGAATCAAATTCAGAAAATATATATAATATGGGATTACAGAGTAATGTAATGTTGAACGTCCATTAGTGTGATGAATGCGAATAAAAGCAGCAGTGCACGCAAGAAGCAGATAGTAAATCAAGTCAGACTTTTGACTTTGAACTTAAAGGCGGATTTTTAAATTAAGATCCAGAGGGCAAAGATTTGGATTGACAGCAAAGACGACGTAGTCAGTTGGTACCTGAAGGACTTTTCAATAACAGTCAATGAAGTGTCACTGCGATACCTATTCAATGCTGACAGGTGGTTGACGAAAGTGGAGACTGACAGATCGAAGGAGTTCGAATTCACCCCATCTTCTGTTGAGCGACTATTCAGTGGTAAGGTGCATTCGGTTAAATACCAAATGTTCGGTGTAAGACTTTTTAAAATCCAGTTTGTTTATGTAATTCCTCGTGAGCCTTTTTGCATGTGAATCGATTTTTTTTTCCTTCCATTGCTTATATATTCATTAATGATTTGGCTCATCCCACCCAAACAAGCTGATATTAACGGGCGTGACTAGCAAAGCCTTGACACACAGGCTACTTTGACCTTTTTTAAGTACTAACATATTCATAAGTGACGTTGCCTTGGAAATGATGAGAGTAAGCGAAGAAAGGTTTTAACGGAATAAAGAAGACAACAAACATGGAATGTTCTTGCATGAGGTCTACTCACAATAACTTCGCGTGTCGATTTTCATAACCACATGAAGTACTTTCACTTTGCAGTACCGAGTGCCTAGCGCATTTCAGCTTATCTCTTGCAAAATTTAATTTACTACACCGCATTCGCTGACCTTGGCGCCATTTAATGGTGGTTTCTGTTAAGTTAGATAGGGTCACACTGTACTTATTTGTTAAATTGCTCTTGGTAGCAACTAAAAAATAAATACTTACAATTAATTCAATCAATGGGAAGAATTGAAGACTTCATGGATATGTAAATGCTATTATTCTAAATTACCTTATTTGCTTCGTCTAATTTATCATTCTTGTGAACGCAAGTTAGCAGAGTTCCTTTGTTTCAGCAATTTTTCTTTGCGGGAGTTGTCAACTTTAATGGAATTTGATGTCTTCGTGTTTTTACTCGTTTGAGGCCTATATTCGTCTTCTTTTCCAGCAACTTCGACTAAAGATAACTGGTCGAACTGAAATATCATTTGTGAGCGGAGGGCGCGAGTGTTGTAACTATTAACGAAAAAGTTATCCAATGTTATAAATCGGTTACACTGATAACTTTCACATAAATCGAACGCACATTCAGTAGCACCTGGTATTCGATATTTTTCACGACCAATTTAGTGTAGACATGACTGCTAGCCCTGGAACGAATTTGTCCTCTAGATACAAAAAGCGTTGATATACGAACATTATGTAGGGCGATTCAAGGTCGGTGCAAGCTGTAACCCGATATTATGAGCCGCAAACATGCATTAGCAATGGAAAACGTTGGTAACTGCGTCAATGAATCGGGTCCACCACGCACACTCGATCACTTACCAAGGGCCTTTAATCTTAGAGCAGCACCCATAAAATAGCGCAGCAAAAGTTTCTCTGGTCAGGTGCATTGAGGCTTCGCGATTTACAAACAACGGTTTTAACATGTATTTCAACGGGTGCGTGCAAAGGAGCTTGGCGAAACTGTCTAAGTACCACAATTATGCACTTGGTTGTTACCAAAAGCCCCAAAAAGACCACTCAAGGTCCATTAAACCTGATAGTAGAGAACCTTTTGGGTAGACCACACGTGCTACCAACTAAACATGACTGGTTTTTCGAAAAAAAGCCATCAAAAGACATTTGTCATTATAGTTAACCTTTTTTTATTAATATAAACGAAAGGAGACGAAATGATAAAGGGAATCGCAAAAAAGCAAAAGCAAATACTTTGGTAACAAAAACGTGCAAGCTATTTCATTTGATTGAAAAATCGATAACGCAAAGTTATGAATCAGCAGTGTTGTTACCACATTCTAGTTAATATCCAGTCAAACTTTATAATTAAGTTCAATAGTTTAAAAAATTGAGCCTTTTATAATAATTGTAAAACTACTGAAGTAGGGAATATATAGCTGTTAATAATTTTTACCTCAGAACGTAAATCGTGTACGATAGGGTTTCTTGGATAATTCATGATCACTGTGTATTTCTCCTTGGTATAAAGGTAAATAGCAATGCTGACAATTTAAAAAGTCGATGCGTGTCCCATAAATCATGCAGTACGAGTTCGCCTTCAGGAAGCCTTCTTTTAGTGCACTGTCTTTTTAGCTGTTCCTTATGAAATAACCTTCTACACGGGCACTGGTGAAAGAAGTGGAACAGATGCCTTGGTCTATCTCCAGTTGTTTGGCAGCAAGGGCGCGAAGAAAACGGAAATGCTATTGTTCAAATCGGAAGGAAGGGTGTTTGGCACTGCTGGTGTGGATACGTTTAACGTAGGTTCAGCTTGTTTAATCAGGAATCATAAATATCCTCCAGCAGTTGTTAGTTCAATTGAGCAGTATCTTTTAATGACTATTATCTTGGCTCCCACGTCCCACTGATTGCCGGAAGTGATGAAATTTAGGCTGCAGACAAGACAACTAGCATCCGGAGCGTTCTCAGGTCTGAGTTTACACGAAGAGTAATACAACTGTTAACGAATGAGCACTAAATACGATTTGACCACAAACCTCTTAGTTGATCACTCGCTTCCTCCAAAGCAACCCCAAGACACAAAGTACTTTAAGTCCACCAAAATGACGCCATTTTATCTTTTGATGTGACTCATCTTCCTACACGCCTCATCACGATAGTTTACGATTTGTGGTTTTCTAGACTATCAACGTAAATAATCCAAAAGTATTTATTTTCAAACGGAACGAAGTGAGGACGCCTGAGACGCATGTGACAACCACTGACTTATTTACTGTGTGCGTTTGGTTTAATTCACGGAAATCCAAGTATCGTCTTTCTAAACGATTTTAAGTTATTTGAAATTGTCGTGTGATAAGTCAAACCTCATTGCAATCCCTCAGGGTCCAATTGACGTATAGCTTTAATGAGATTATAACCAGCAGTAATAGGTCAAGTGGTTAGCTAGTCATCTTCGAGTAGAAATCACCTGGGAACCGATTCTGATACCTGAGTTCAGTTAAACAAACAACGGTATAACCTTCACAAAACACTTTGTGTGTCTTATGGCCTTCTTGCCTTTACAACAAGTCAAAATGTGCCAGGATGTTAAGTTCTGCACTTTGTGCTAAAAATCGACCATTAATTAACAACTACAGGCAAAATTAAGTGTAATTCATGTCAAAGATAAGTAAAAGATGAAATCTACGATGTGTAAAAGGAAAATAGAATATTAATAAAACTAGCCATCGAAGCAGGCATTTGGTTGTTTAGTTATGAGAAGAGAAATTACCTTTCCGCCAGTCCCTTACTATCGGATTTCCTTATTTATAAATCGCCACATGAAGCTGTCCAAGTCGGAAATTTTGTTCAAGCCAGAGACTTGCAAGAAGCCCGTAATTAAAATTTTCAGATTTTGCGTTGATCGTGTGGAATGAAATTCGACTCTTCACTTTGGGATGTATGAAAGCGACGGTCGCTTGCAAACGATTTCGCCCATCCATGAGATCAGTCAGGTGTAACGGCAGCCTTGTCGCGAGCCAATGAAGGCATTTCGTAATGAAAAAAGACGTTTTTTTGTCTACGTAGCCTAATTTTTTCGCGTCCTAAAAGTGTGTTTTAAATAACACTGACTGCAGGTTTATACTGGCGAAGTGGGTGAACTCACGAAGATTCGAGTGGGCCATAACGGTACGGGTGAGGATTCTAATTGGTACCTAGAAAAAATTCGCATTCGGAAGGTCTCCACTCACGCCTGCTCCTGCTGCCACGGCGAAGTTTGTCCAAACCTACGAAAACTACGTAGGTTGAACACAATCCAATGGCTTTTTCATTTACATCTACTTAACTCTCTCTAATAATTCTTGTAACGTTTTAGACAGGTGGGCTTTTTAGTATTTTTTTTAAATGAAGTGGATTTGCAAATGCACGTCTGACACAATCAGCAAGTCACGTAAACATTTAAAAGCTCTTTTACGAGTGAGAACTATTTCAAAAATAGAAACAAACCAACAAAATCCTAAGACGTGATGATCAAAATAGCTTTTTTCCGTATTTGTAAAATAAATAATTTGAAAACAAAATTTTAGCTACAATTACAACTGGAGTTGTGAGAACATGCGAAGACAGTCGCTGCGACTGTCGTCTGGTGCCGACAAGGAAGGTTGGGGACTTGTCTCCTCTGAAATTGGAAGATCGAGCACTAGACGATTACTGGTTTTACGCCAGGCGTTGGTTGCCTCCTACTGAAAAGGAAAATGACCAAGCATTTTGTGAACTTCTTCCTACGTCGATAGAAGGAAAGCCTTTAACAACAGCAACGCGTGAGTGTTCACCTAACCAAATTCCCTAAACTGCAGATAATTACAAAACGAAAAAAATGCTGGAAAAGGAGAAAGACTTTATCAGGTGCCTCAATAAAGATCAAAATAAACTCCTGATTACCTCTAACACACTAATTGGAATGCATAAGCACGTAAATGGCAGGAACTAGCTTCTAACAAGCAATAAAGATGTCCTACAGAAGACTCCGCCCCGGCTAGAATTAAGCTCCGCTACCTCTGCATTAAAAAGATATTGATGCCTCAAGGCCATTTGGCAAAGTCAGTCAGGAATTAGTACAGGTTTGAAGACGAAACTTATCATTTTGGTGAGTTTGCGAAAAGTACAAAACCCATAAACAGCCGACTGGACATTTAATAATGTGGAGCACTGAACCCTATATTCCCGATAGTCACACACAAGTTTTGTCCAGCAATCCTAACTCCGATTCGCATGAAGGCGCACTTTAATAACGACAGTTTTAATTAATTAATATGATGAGGTAGTAAAAATAAACCATTAGATTAATTTTACTCACACACGTTAGACGCACCTTTTATCTTTGCTGAAATCATGTCGGCAGAAACCTAGGCCTTTCTGTGGATATTCTTATTTGGGACATGTAGGCTTTAACCTAGACATTAATGCTAATGGATTGTTGACATCTCACAATAACATTTTAATTCAACACTTATAGCTACGGCTTATCAAGTCCGCGTCAGGACTGGAAATGCGTCTGGGAGTGGAACATCTGCGCGTGTCTATCTAACGTTAATTGGGGAAGGTTCAGAGTCTGGGGAATTCTGTTTTCCTAATTCAACGGGTTCCATCTTTTCGAAAGGCAGTGAAGCAGTTTTTCAGGTAAATGATGTTATTCACATCTTGGCTGTGACCGTTGTTAAAAATGCAAAGTCATGTGAGCGAAGTAAGGGTTCGTGCGCATTCCGAAAGTGTCGAGTTGTCACGTTAACTTTATGACAACCAAGTCATGCAGGCGCTGTCGCTGATAAAAAAATTTAAAGGCATCATCAATCACATTTACGCTTATTCTATTGACTCAAAAAAACCGAACACAAATGCTCGGCAGGCACCTCTCCGGTTCCTCTCTTCGAATCCATTAAATCTAACAACAAAGTCAACTATTAGTGGAATTATGGTTTTCTCACACATTTGTGACAATAGTGCTCAGCTATGATCCTGAACTGGAACCATATCTAATCAGTTGGTGGTTTGCCTGCAAGTGCCAGTACTGTGACAAACCAGACAAAAAGGTCTCTACTTCAGTCTCCGTGTTTCGAACTCCATCCAATGAGCTACCGGGAGAAATTAGTTTGCGATTCTGCACATTGACCACTAATACAAACTCCGCGGTTCTTTGCATGACTAAAACCATGATTGTCATTGTATCTCGGATTACCCGTCAGAGCACAGCATCAAAAACCAAGCACAGATTTGGGGTAAAAGCGTTGAAGAGCCTCACAAGTGATTTAATAAAAGTTATTAAAAGTTTTACCTCTTATAACTCGATAGTATCCAAGTAATCCAGTGAAGGATATGCATGAATAATGAGTGAACCGGTACCGGAAGCTAATGTACCTACATTTTCATCAAGTAATCAATTAATTAAAATCAGAACTGTCTTACTTTATCTAAGGCTAATTAAAAGCACCGTTTTAGCAGTTTTCTTCGCGCTAAAACAAAATAAGAAATTGGTATGGAAGTTTTTTTCCAGCCCCGCAACTGGGTCAGTCAGATTAAATCACGATGGTGATGTAGAAAGTAGATACTAATGGCGGGGACCTAGCCTTCTTAATGCTGCAGATATTTAAGCTGCTCCATCAATAATTGGCAGATTGCTCTGTTTAAGATGTAGTATTCCGGCATCAATCATGTTCCATAATCTTGCAAGCTTGCCCTGCATTTCGCTTTTGTGTAGATGGCAATATTTTCTATGCCTCAAAGCCTATGTTTGTTGCAAAATTACTACACAGCTGTCTTGCAGTTATGATAAACTGAACAGGGACCCTTGGTAAAATTTTATCTGGTTAATCCTCTTGGTTTGATTTTCGGCGGCCTAAAACGTTTACCGCCACACCTTTACCAAGTCTAGATGATTATTTCAAATACGAATTTGCCAGTTAATGATGCTTATATTATGGGTCTTGGCCTTCTGCTGTCCAATTCATTGCTATTTTGTAACTTGCATTTACACAGTGGTGGAAAACTAATACATGATTTTTCCCGAATAAAGCAACTGTTGCAACAGCGTTTACAAATCCACCTCTTACTCGTGAATGTCATTGAAAGGAAAGTAGCTACCGATAAAACTATCAGTTCTGGAAAAATTCGTGGAAATTAAAACGCATTACCTAATGACTAGGTGTACTGTCCCAGTAAGAATGAATTGTAGTTCCTGTATTGCTTTGTAGTAGGTAGGACCATGTTTTCGCTACCTTGCGTTGAAACTAAAATGCCGTTTTAGATTTTCTTCATGTCTTGGTGTAAAAGCGTAGACACTCAGTGTCAGCAAAGATGTGCGCATGTCAGATTTCCTTGAACCAGACTGGTAATCCGTTTTTCCTCATAAGGACATTATCTGATCTAAAAATGTCGAATTCTTAAGCAAAAACACCTTTCCGGTAAGTTGGCAACTTGGGGTCTACAATGACTGCTTGGTGTCCCCTAAATAAATGATATTAATTCTTAATTTGTGCAGGTTTTCAGCATATTTATTGACTTCCCTTCATTTGTCATCCACACAATACATGTTGGTTGTATGAGAAAGGAGATGAAGTGTTGGCCTAGGTGTGAGTATTGTTTCAAGAAAATTCACACACATAATTTATAGACGGATGCAACTAATCTGTTAGTGCAGGTTTAGTGTGGACCAATATTGGTGACTAAGAAATGGCCCAACATCAGTTTGTGCGCGTTTTCTTGTTAAAATATAAAAAAAAGTATTTCGACTTGATAGGTTGAAGCAGTGGACTTGGGTAAGCTCACCAGAATTCGCATAAGGCACGACAACAGTGGTTCGTCTCCGTCCTGGTACTTACAAGACGTAACCGTGTGCGAAACAGAGCCAGAGGATGGCCGGGATTACTACTTCCCCTGCGAGACATGGCTGACGGCCACGGCGGACGGCACGGGCCGTCTGGTTCGCGAATTTTCGCCATCACCCCTCGGGGGGCCGCCGAGTGAGGCAAAGGTTCGTCCAATACAAGACTATGTGCGAGAAAATTCACTCGTAGCCGAGAAAAACTACTTTTCGAAGTCCGAACCAGTCCGTGACTATGTAAAGGAACCAACGCTTTCGAAACCTGGTATGCTCCTTGTAAATGTTTAAAGTTAGTTGTCGCTACAACTGCCTTATCAAGCTTTTAATAGTTTTTTTATATAAGTGGTTAACAAACTGCATGATGTACGCCGAGTCATTTAACTGCAATTTACTTGCATAAAGTGCTCCTTGCCTCTTGTTTACGTTGTCTCCGACTGTTAGAATGTGCTAACACACTGACACACAAAAGCTGCTAATGCTCCATTAAGTGCAATTACTTGCATTTAAAATGGAAACCAGGATCAATAAGGCCTCCGTGGCTGTCGTATTCGTAGTTTTTGACAAGGAATAACTTTAGTCGAACATAGTTTACGGAAGTCTATTAAAGTCCATAAAGAACTATTTATGACTCCTCACCTTAACGGGGCATAATGACTTGGTTTGGTCAAGCAATTACAAATTGAACAGCACAGAATATCAAATCCACCGAATCTTAAAAATGCATCTTTTTGAGAGCTTAAAGGAAATGACAAAGTACTAGACGCCTTTGTATATTCCCCTGTAACGCCCCATAGTAAACAATTATTTTCACAAACAGTTGCAGGCGTAAGAACGTTGACTTTATATGTAAAGGCCTACTAGAGTCTAGGGAAAATGTCTACTTATTGCTTTTGCACTTAAAGCTGGACAAACAGTGTCATTGGTTAAAGTAATACGGCAAAAATAAATGTTTCGTCTGCTAAATTCAAATTACCGGCATTCTCTTGTTTAATTAAGACCTGCCGATCATTCCTCCACCGGAGTTCAAAACTGACCGGAGATCGGCCAATCCAGGTATGTTATTTTCTTCAAATGTTGGTAAATTGAAATGTTTAAATTATAAATGCAAAATCAGGACAACAGTTTTTAAAGAAACTTTACTTCCAACAAATTGATTTCTTAGGCCAATTTTGTCAGAATTTCATTTCCCCAAAAAATACGGCAGGTTCCAAAAATGAAACAACGATGGTTAATTAATTCGTAAAGATATTTATTGCTAAAGGAGGACAAAGGATGCCTGTTATGTTAACAAAGACGAATGGAATAAACGTTTTCATTAGTAACCTCACAACTGCACATTAATGCGTGGTAACATATATAATACCTTGACATGACGTTGATTTCTGAATGTATTAAGATATCTTTATCGTAATGGCACTTTTTGAATGTTTGATTTCTAATCTAGACTTCATTCGTTTGAAAAAGCCGGGAAAAATGTTAATTATAATGCTAAAATAATTTTATAAATACCACTATATATTTATTTGAATTTATGGACAAAACTAGAAATGCAAACAATTGAGTATTCTGAAGATAGTAGGCAAAAAGGTAATTTCACTGCAGAAGCCTCCTGGGATTGAGATTATTTCCTTTCTTAAAAACAATAATTAGCGTTGTTGAACTCCTCACGCATGGCTTGCGCGCGTCAAGATGAACTACCCAGCGTAGAAAGAATGCCAAAAATCTAATTAGGTTCATTAAAAAAAACGACACTGACTCTACTCGACCTTAAATAAGTAGAGTCCAGCAGGAAGTTATCCCTCAAGAGTTGAATAAAAGTGTCTTACTGAAAATTAGTGCTAAGCTAATAATTTCAGTACTGGTTTTGGTATCTTAGTGTCTAACATTTTTGCAAAGCCAGTTTAGTGACAATAAATCAAAATTTACAAGGCAGAGTATGGGTTTACCGTGGACGTTTGGATACCATGATGGTCTAGGGTGGGTTAATGTCACTCGATATTAGATGGACGTTAGCTGTCAAACCTGAATGCGAGTTAAGTAAGCACTATTCAGACGTTACTATTTCCACCCTACTACTACTTACATCGCTTATTACGGCTTCCTTTAGCCAAGATTCTTTTTTTTTCTTGTTCAGTTAATATATATATTGAGGCATTTCACATTTGCATAAATCAAATTCCCCATTCCACTGTGGTCTTTCCTTTTCTTATTAATTCATCCACACATTCATGACCTCTCAACTTAATGCCAGTAGACTTAATTGCACTGCTAGTGTTTCCAGATTAGGCGCTATGATATTAATTAATGTTTTCACTTATCTACGAGGGACACTAAGGTTACTGAGACTTTCACGCATCAGATATTTTGCTTATGCTCGTTCCTGACATGCATCGAATATTTGTAACGTATCTGTTTTATTTAGTCAGTTTGTTCCCACGTTATACTGATAGCTGAGATTCAAAATGCCGGTTTGTCTACTTTGAACCAAGCAAAGTAGACAACTTTACTGTCCACTCCTCAGTTTTACAGAATCTCATTAGTGCAAGATTCACGATGCGATTCGTAACAGCTGGTCAACTATCGCTAATTGAGCGATAAATTTCGAGCACTTTTTCATTGCGTGTCTACGGGCGTTTAACGCTATTTATTGGCTGGAATTTTACTTTGTGAAATTAAAATTAGCCGGCCCGGCTGCTGAATTCATCTACCATTACTACTGTTAATTGGGCTCAGCACGAGTTATTACCGGCCACGCGCCCGGCATTATCCATACTACCAGCAAGTCGGCCATCAAATTAGCTCAGATCGAGTCGAGCCATTTAACCACAGCAAATCAATAGCCTAGTCATCTTTGACTGCGTTGCATGTCTGACTTGTTTTTTCATTAATTTTAAACCGATCCGCAAATCAAAACAAGGATTTAAGCTTGTAATTTTTGAGAACAGATTAAGGAGTTAAAATGGCAACTTCAACGGTTCTGGCAAAGCTTTATCATGCAAACCAATGAAACAACGGCTAATAGCATTTACTCAGAATGCATATCCGTAGTTTGAGTCCTCTGTTTTACCTTGGCCAGCTCTTCATCTCCTTTCTCATACAATTACCACGTATTTTATGGATGAAAATTGAGTGGAAGTCAATAAATATACTAAAAACCTGCACAAATAAAGAGTTAATGTCGTTTGTTTAGGGGACACCTAAAAGTAGCCATGAAATGAACATAATCGGTTAGAGATGTAATTTGGTTTATCCAATAATCTAGAAACCAAAAAAATCTGAAATAATCTAAATGTTTTAAGATAGTGGCCATCAGCTTGAAACAACCACAACTACTCATTGAACAGATAAAATTATTAACAGTAGCGGCGTGAAATAGGGGTTCAAATACGTATTGCAAATGTATTGTAAAAGTACATTTTAGACCAGTGGTTTGATGTCAATCAGTATGATTTTGAGAGTAAATGAGGTTATAGGTGTTGGTTATCCACACACAAAATCGCCTTCCCTAGCAAGATGAGCCCACCTTCTGGAAAGTCATCAACACCTGAGCAAATTCTGTATTACTTAATTGTCTCTGGGGCTATCTTGACCAACAGAACATTATACACACCTTTCGTAATTTATTATTGCAGCGACGGTTGACCAAGGTGTATCATTTAACAAATTAAGTCATTTTGTTTTATTCAGCCAGTTCATCATCAAGTATTTCGACAGATGGCTACATGAAAATGAACCACGTTAAGAAGGGATGTAAGTTACCTGTTTATTTAAAATTGTGAAAAAAAGGAAGCAAATTTAGCCAAACCACCTCAAGATTTGCTTCAAAAATATATTTTTTATGAAAATCGGTTAAGTAAATGTTAAAAAATAGTAGTAAATGTACACGAAGCGATTATTTGAATTTGATTTCAGTTGCATGATTGTGGGAAATCAAAAGTGGAAGTGTTGAAGGGTCAAAATGATCCGAAGGGTGACTGTGAATACGGGAAACGCTAGTGATGAGGATATGTTCTGAGATAGGACCGATTTAGCTGTTTCCGTCTTACCCTTAAATGACAACGTTAACAAATAACTGAAGAGAAATCGAAAAGAGATGAATTAATGTCTAACCAGTCTTCAATTTTCACGCGCTCGCTTCAACAACATAAAAAAATTTCTAGGATTAACGGGAAACACGGTGAGGAGGTGATCATCGTTAGGGCGGTATAGCACTTTCTCAAAAGCGAAGGTGTTTAACAGAAGTGTTAGCAAAACCGGAACTGTGATCTAGTGTTAAGCGGAAAAAAATGACTGCTGTGCGAATGGTGGAATTACAGCCTGACTACTCTGTTTGACTTGTGTCAGTTTCATCTATTAAATAGCTACAACAGTTTCCGGTTCAACCTTAATGAAAAAGGCTATTTTGTTTTAAAATAAAGTAGAATGGAACAGCAGTTAGGCCAATTTTTGACACACTGTATTTAAAGGATCTAGGAGTGAACTATTATTTTTACTTGATGCTAAAAATGCTTCAAACTAAATTTACTTTTCCCAAACAATGATTGAATTAATTTTGTAGAGTGTCGCGCAAAGGGTTAGGCGGGTTGCTTAACTATTCGATAGTAACATTAAGCGTGTTCACTCAGGTCAGCCGTAGTACACCTTCATAGAAACAAAAACATTTGGTTAAAAAAAACGAAACCTCTTCATGTTTACATTAGTTAAGTCTCCAAAAATTGCTTCCTTGTTTTTTTTGATCGATAAGGTGTTGAAAATGTCGATGGTGTGGCGTGTGCTGTTCATCAAACGTTATGCAAGAGTCATCGCGTAACGTCTGTTGGCAATGGCAGTTTATTTATTTTATGAACACGGTCATCGGATCATATTTAAGAAGGCACACCATCAAATTTTCTAGTAAGGTGGACAGCTAAATATAAGTCAGGGTATGACAAACACACGTTTATTAATGCTTCCTTGTTACCGGTTAGCGCAAAAGTCCTACGCTGTGTCAATTAAGACAGGGGAGAACCCAGTTGCCGGAACTTCTAGCAATGTCTACATAAAGCTATTTGGTGCAAGCGGAGAAACAGAGAAAATTCCACTGAAGGCGGCCTCTGTTGAATTCGCAAACGCCTCAGCAAACAGGTTCCAGGCTGGCAATAAAGACACTTTCTTGGTCCAAATCCCGGAAATTGGTGATCTAAAGGGAATTCGGTACGTTGTGCACATAATCTAATCTTGTGGAGCAATTGGAGATGATTAAATTAAACAGAATCGCAGAAATTCAAGCAAACTCACCACTCTTAACGGTTAAATAGACATTGCACTGCTTTCCAGGTGCATTATTTATTAATCTCATAAACGGATCAAATGCCCATGAACTTAGTGTCAGGCTTTGGCGTCTCTAATCTTTAAAAAATCTGACAGACCACAAGTTATACTTGTTCAAGCCCTTCTAATTGATTGATCATCACAAACAGAATTCATGCTTCATCAAATATTATTTGAAAAGTACAGATTCCCTATTTAACGAAATAATTCAAATCAGTTTTAGAACATCCTTAATCCACTTTTCCTGTCTTTGCTAACAAGATAATGGCTCATTTGTAAAATACTCTAGGGCCTACAGTACCCAAGGTTATAACGATAGCGACGCAGTATATAAAGAATTGACAATTGCAGACAGACATTTAGGACATCAGATCACAAATGCTATTTCGTGAGCCTTGGTGACCACTTCAACGAGTGGAGTATGGGCAAACTGATTTGGAGACACTGGATACACTTAGGCGTGACAACGGTGTTGATAATCTTGAACTCTGAAATATTCAAATAAGAGTAGTGGCCTTCTAATGATGGGAGGTTAATTATTTTTTGGTACTCCGTAGGTTGGGTCACGACAGCTCGGGCGTCGCTCCCTCCTGGTACGTGGAGAACGTGCGTGTGGAGTCAAAGGCGACCGGAGCGGTACTTCAGTTCCCTTGCAATCGCTGGATTGAAAAATCGGGCAATCGAGGCGAGGCTTATGTCGATCTAGCTCCGAAATTGCCATCATTGGGTCTTCATCAGCCAAGTGTGTTAACTGCGGGCTTCTTTGTCCTACTTTTATTTGGCGGTAGATATCGCATGAATTGTATGCATTAGACGGCTTGGATTCGTCCTTAGGTGGATAATGGGCCCAGAAATAGGCCAGTTGTTTTTACTAGCGCCCCATCTAAGGTGTTCCAAGCAATCAAATCTTAATTTCTACTGTAATTGGACCTTTACCACATTGAAATATCAGCTTATTTTTGATTTTATAATCGACGAGGCAATAATTCGAACTTTTCAACCTTGGCTACTTATTTGCATTAACAAATTTGTGTCCAGAAGTGGTCGATCATTAAAAAACCACTTTCAAAACTTTGTGATACCATTTACCAAAATGCAAGCTCTCGCTTTACTTTTATCCAGTGAATATTCCGAAAGTACAGTTATTATTACTGCAAAAATGGTTGGTGCCCAAAAAAGGAATCCATATATATCAGCTAGAATGTACAATCTGTACAGTACAATTATTCAATGATTAAAATTAGTGAAAATTTTAATTGCCTATCCTTTTGCGAAATATTTGTTTCCATTCCGGCAAATGTAAGGGCTAAACTCCCCCTTACGGCCTTCCAAAGGGCTCTTAACAATGTCAGAATAGCTACTCCAACCTATGGTACTCACTTAGTCATGAAGTAAGTGCACATGCAGATTTTTTTGAACAGATTATTGTGAGTAGATAGTATGATTAGCCTGTGCGTTAATTTCACTGCTTGTCGTTATATTTCCGCATCTTTGGCTGTTCATCTGGTGGGCATTTTAAAGTCACATTCAAGACAGTCAGCTTGATGCATCGACGGCACTTCGATTTACCCAATTTATGTTTTAGGAATATTCTACGAGTTTAAGGTCTTTACCAGCGATATTGAGGGCGCCGGAACCAATGCAAACGTGTTCGTTGAACTGACTGGTCCTGAGGGTCGGAAAACAAGTCAAGTTGAACTGAAGGGTGTCTTCCGACAAGGCGGTTGCGAAATCCTCTGTGTGGAGCTAGAAGACATCGGCGAACCCCTGCGTAGCCTGCGCATTGGCCATAACAACGCCGGACTAAGTCCTGATTGGCACCTGGACCGTGTAGAAGTTAGACCCATGAACAGCAAGCTGCCCCAAGTGAGTTGTTATTACCGTTAGACTTTGTTGTACTTAACCACACAGCATGTGCTAAAACACGTGTCTACTGAGGCTTATCGACTTTATGAACTCATGCTCTCAACGACTAACTCAGAGCAGTTTTCATTTTCTTGCCTCCGTCAGTATTTGAAGCCGCAAAAGCAATAAAGTCGTGTCAAGAATGTGTGTTACCTTGCATGGTTTCGAGTGACATTATTGCTCACAGTAGTAGAAAAATCACTTAACTTCCATGTTATGTATTTTGTGATGAGAAGCAAAATTGGATTGTACAGTCTTTATAATCCAAACTAAATCTCAAGCAGTCTTTTTGTTTAATTATATGCAGTTTCCTCAGGAGTGAACTGAAGGTGCCTACCTTGACTACATTAAAGATTTTAAAATTTTTAATATTTCATGCACAGCTGACACAATTCATTTTGACTTATTCGAAAATATTTCTTTCAAAAAACGCAAAAATTGGCAAATTTATCTAAATGTTCTTTACGTTTGCTGTCAGTAACGCGAAACTCTTCAAACAATTTGCAGGTTATACTTAAATTGCAAGATACATGTCCGTAAGTTGGTAAATATTCCACTGTGTAAATGCTACCCCTTTTCCACAGTAGACTTGAATCCATTACATGTCAAAGAACCAAACGAATTATGCTGGAAATTAACAAGCAGTGATGCTGTTTAATGATGCTCTTTTATTTGACAGTTTTTTTAGGAAACCCCTGAAAATGAGTTTTTAGCCAAGTCCGTGTGGATTTTTCGTTGCTCACACTAGTTATTTAGTAATTTGGTTAAATTGTGAACACTGGAATTCAAGAAATAGTGCACATATGTGGGTTAGCTGCAAGCTATTTAAAGCAGAAGATCCGGCGTGTTGAGTGCCACTTTGAAAAAGTGTTCTGCACCTTTCAGCTTCTTTGCAAAAAACGATCCCGCCAACTGCAGTTTATTTTAATTAAGCGAAATTAGCACTCCCATACCGAGGTTACAAAATAAACGCAGACGGGAGTTCATTTCTGACTGAATTATTTCTTAATGTTTAGGATGAAGTGTACATCTTCAAATTTAACCAGTGGTTATCCGGTACTGGAGGGACCGGCACTGTGCTCTACTCGACTACAGGGAGGCCACAGGCTTGTCCCCCGTCTTCTCCAGAAGGCGCGGCCACTTACGAGATTTCGGTGACTACAGGGGCTTTGCCAAATGCCGGAACCACCGCCAAAGTTTACCTTACGTTGATTGATTGGAATGGAAGTGAGGAAGAACGACTGCTATTCCCGACGAAAGACGGCACCACGCCATTCCGTCCTGGGCAGGTAAATGTTTTTACGCATTTAGAGTGGCATAAGGCATAATGCTTGTTTAATGTTCTATTATCAGCCAAAAAGTCGTTTGCAAACATGATTTGTTATTTGCAGTAGGTAAGATTCAAATTCACCTCCTTATTTGCACTTTTAATTATACAGCTCTCATTGAGAAGGCAAGAACTGATGTAGTACTAAAGTAAAGTGAAACAGTCAAGTGTTCAATAGGCTTTGTTTTAGATACCATGTCATCGAAGTGATAACAACTTTAGATATTCGCTTATGTCAACCGCTCTTATCTAAATAACAGCGAACTTCGCATTTGACCAACTTGTTTAAAGTCTAACATTAAAGTTCTCTTAATGCACTAAACCAATTAGCTACGGTAATAATTAAAATGAGGTATCGATGCCGTGAGAAAGTTATCATGGCCTGTAGGGCAGTGTTCAGTGGTGAAAGATCTCATCTCTGAATGGAGACGAGTTGAGCACAAATGAGTTAAATTTAAACGGCTGTTTTTATGGTTGAATGGTCTTCACAACCGGATGCAGTTAAGGATCACCACAGGGAGAGTGGTCCACTATAGGCATCGTTATTTCAAACCCTGAGAGCAGAATCTATAGAAGGCCTCCTCAGTTTTCGTTACCTGGTGTGTCCATGCTGATCTGAACCAGCTTTTGCCTCCCTTCGTGTGCGTAAGTTAGTCGAGAGGAATACAACAACTACTATTCTGATTGACGGATTCATTTAGTCAAGGATTCTTTAAGTATTAGAAATAAGGTATGTTTTATGATTTGAAAAAATGTGATTTTTGCGAGCTCCTAGTCGCACTAGTGAAAAATGTAGAAGTTAAATAAGCCGCACGCTTTTAATCGACTAATCGAAAATATGTGAAGTTATACAAGAATAAAGCACATTTGAATAATTATTAATACCTAATATGAAACTGGTGTGCGTACTGTATTTTCGTCTTCGCCACTACTTAGTTTTAGCTCTTAGAAGTTTTTTCTTTCAAAGGAATAATTTTTCAAATCTATTCATGCTATCTTAACATTACAAACGCTTAAAACGCCTTGAGCATGCGTACACAACTGGCTGACAACTATTAGAAGGTGATCTACCCCGGTAGAACTATAGTTACATACGAATTTCAGATATTGGACCTTCATTGTTTAGCGCTGCTGCAAGTGGCCTTGAACCACGTCGAATTTGCCCAAATGCACGTCACAGATACCTGGGAAGATGGTGGAGACAGCCGCTTATTAGATGGCACATCCTAGTTTTGCGGCTTTCGTGTGTGTATTTAAGGTAGTGTATGACCAAAAAAGTTGTAGACCAATACCATTTGGTCGAAACAGTAAAAGCATAAATGACTGAATGGCCAGGTGGGCGGAACTAGTGGTGGTTGAGTTCATGCCCGTGATGTGTGAACAGACGATTCCGCATGGTTGATGGGGTCGCCGTGAAAATGGCAGTGGTGTATCGAAATATGCAGCGACAGAATTGGCGAACGCGGATAAAAACGTTTTCCAATAGTATTTCAAACGTTCCAGTTTAAACTCATCTATTTGGTTTAAATAGTAATGTAGTTTCTTGTTACCCAAGAGAAGTACTTATTTTTGAGGTAGCTACTGTAAGCTTTGGGTTGGTTCCTCGGGATTTATGACTGTGGAAAAGGTAAGTCAGTGCAAAGATCTCCAAAAATAAGGTGTTTCAGTGGTTGAGCTTGACTGTCTAATTGTCCTTACTCTTTGTTCACTTAGGTCTTTAATTAAAATATTCGTTTCCGAATACAGTTAATCATGAAAAACCGTCTTGTTAACAGGTTACGTGTATTATTTGTGGATTGGCTTTGAAGCTAGCCACTCAAGTTAAGCATCTTGCAATACTGTTAGTTGCCAGGTTACAAGGTCGTAAGACTGCAAAACCAAATAAATAGTCTGCCTCCTAGGACATCGTGATTCACGAGATGCAATATTTAAAATAGTTGTCTTATGGGTATTTACATAGACAAAATTCAATTTACATTGAAACATCAAGTTGAAATCTCCCTTTTTTGACATCCATGTCTCATTCTTTTACAAATGCAAGTTGAAACGAACGGGTAAGATTATTTTGAAGAAATCGGCTTAACTTCGCGGACCCACCCACACAGACAAAGTCCCAAGTTATGAGTTTACAAAAAAATGTTGAACTGGATGTAAAACATACTTCTAAAAAAAGAGGTGGTCCGCATGCACAACTTGCGGTCTATGGGAACACAGAGCTTTCTTAATGCCAACATTGAGACCTCGATGCCGCACTGATCCTATTATTTAATCAATAGTATTCGTACTACAAGCGAGAACGCTTTTGTGTTCCAGCTTTATTTGAATTTCTCAACGAGGTTTCTAGAAAGTTAATAAATGCAGTTTCTGCGATCAAAATGACTACCTGTCACATTTTCATGTTGCAGTACAGACCTGTACACCTTTTGCATATATTCAAAGATAAAACTGATGCCATGGATTGCACTGTTGGTCGCATATGGTGTCAAAATTTCTGAGGCGGATAATGTGAATTCGATCAGCACGACATTTTCCTCGTGACAAAACTTATCATTTTTTGTGTTAATAATACTGTTTCAGCACTGAAAACGAGTACTTTGTTACCTTCTTTATTCAGCTTGTTTTGCAAGCAGTCGTAAGTAGCCCAAATGTTACCGCGCCAATTATCCATTGTTTACGCCAAAACCTTCGCCTGACTGACGTGCCCCATATAACGAATCGCTTATCACGAAACTAGTCTAAAAGCGTGTCACTCACTACATTCGTAAAGAGCTTTTGCAAAATCTTTGGATTTGTAATATGCGACTTGTAGGTCGCCTAGAGTGGCGTCGATTTTGAATGTTAAACTAATTTATTTTGACTTGGAAATGGTTTTAAGATCAATGTTGCGTCTTATAAGGGAAGCAGCATATTTTTCTATGCCTATTCGGAGCATCTCATCTCCTGGTCAATTGCCTGACACTGTAATTTGGGGCACAGGAACATTTTTTTGCCGTATAATGTTAACATTTCTGTTTAAGTTAGACGACCTGATTTGTAAAAAACCGAATAGGACCAGGATTCAAAGATATTTTTAATTCGATACAAGATTTAAGCAAAACATATTAACCTAACTGATATTTGTTAAAACGGATTTTCAGACGGATGTATTCATGTGGAAAAACGTTTCCCTAAAAGGAATTCGTAAAATCCAACTTCGCCATGACAACACAGGCACATCACCGAACCTTTTTGTGAACAAAGTGGTTGTTAAGGAAATACCACCGTTTGGTAACCAGCCCATCGTACACACTTTTGACTGCAACCGTTGGATCAACAGTAATGGCGAGGAGTTCAATTTAAGGGCACCAAGACGCTCCACAACCTCACCCTTGCCCCCAGATGACGCCATCAAGCTTGAAATTCCACAAGGAAAGAAAACGTCACTGGCCAAGCCATCGCTAGACAGCTTGCCACCACCTCAGCAACGCACAAACGACGGCGCAGTGGAGTCGCCAGGCGTGCACTTGATTTCACCTCCTCAACTGCCACAGCCCGACGATGGGGAAGGCAAGTCCAAATGTGACCATGGAGCATCCCACATTTCCGCATTTATAGTTGAAACTGATTAATCACTACCTAACTGGATTTATTGTCTAAGTTTTTTTTATCAAAAATCCTTAGCGCCCAACTGTAATCGACTTAGGCGAAACAAAAGAATATCAAGTTGCACGGTTCATATAAATTTGCCGAAGTAAAATTCACACTGATTTGTCAAAGCCCAATCAGAACGGAATATGCCGCATCTCTGTTTAAACAGGAAAATTTTTCATTGTTATAAATCAGAGGCTTTTAAGACTACCACAACGTTTTATGTCAATTTCCGATCAAGATGCTTAAGTTAACAAAAATGTGACAATATTTCTGGCCCGTAGGGAAGATTTTAACTGTTTTCTTAAGCGATGTTTAACCGTGCGGCAATTTCAGCAGGGTATCCGACTTCTAAGAAAACTGTCGTGACTCATTAGAGGACCTCACAATCGACGTATTCGCAACCGACAATGTATGTTGGAAACTTAATCAAGGAAATCGACTAGTTTGAAACCAGTGATTACTTTAATTATGGGTAGTTGTGAATAGGTTAAGAACATCAATCGGATCCCTATAGTCGTAGATACCTTCTTAAAATAATTGCATGGTTGTGAATCAGCCCACAACTCCTTCGTGAGGTGCGTGGTTAAGTCTGTAATAAAGGTCATAGATGTTTATAAGGAAATAACAAATGTGTGCATCGTGATTGATTCCCGAAGGCTTTAGCTAATCTTTTATGCTTTTATTTAAAACTACTTCCGTCTAACTTTTGACTCTCCCTAAGTGTCTATTTGGGGGTAATTAGATTCAACTTTTTACAAATTTAATCAAAGGTGACACGAATGTAGCGACTTGTTCACCCACCTAAAATACCATAGGGCGGTGTTCAGATGAATTGTTTTGTAATAACGTATCTTTGCTGAGAATCCTAACATTGATATTAGACAAATACTATTAACGCCAACCGTGAGTTCATGCAAATAAATATAATTGTGTTCCTTATTTCGATCCGCTTCATATGTTGAATTCGTCTGACCATAGATTCAGTGTTAACACTGACCACACTTTAAGAACTTGCGAGGTGGAATGAACCTCAATTCCTGACCAAAATCAGCAATGCCAAGCAAGGACACTTGCTAAAATCTATCTTTCTAAGGCAGCTTTTCTTACTTAGTCAGATAGAAATGCTCTTTATTAAGCTCCATGCGATCGAATGCAAAATGGAAAAATCAGTTTAGGGGCAACTGGGAAGTAGCTGATTATAGTGTAAATTTGTGCATAGAAGGACTTCCTTCAAATTTATGCTATATTTTTGGTTGCAGTGCCTTACAAGATCACACTAGCTACGGGAAACGAGGTCGATGCGGGCACTCAGGGACCGGTTCTGATGAACCTGGTTGGACCAAATGGCACCTCCACGGGATGGCTTTTCTTCCAAACGCAGGCGGGCAATACCGCTCTCAATGCGGGTTCAATTAAGACCTTCGTGTTCAGCGCACCGGCTCTATCGGAAGTCACTGCCATTGAGGTATTTTATTAGAAACATGGTATACAGGTTAACCAATTCAGTGAAATTCTATGGACAACGCTTTCATGTTAATGACCCACCGAAGTTTAGTAAAATACAAGCGGCAAACGTCTTTAAAATCACGGAAAATTTCTTGACAAATATTTAAAGGGGTGATAGTTGTTAATGAGATCCAGAAGGCAACAGTAAGTAAACAGGGAAGTGTGTTCCTGTGACCGTTACAGTGCAGTGCTCCTTTCGTGGTTTGAAGCTAGTCAACTATTCGTTTGGATAATAGCGCGTGGAGGCTGTGTCAGCTCATGAGTGACTTTCGAGTTTCAGACTACTATGAGACAGGAGTATTTGCAAGCGTATTTCTTGTATTCGTCGTACAGTTAAAGTAAAATGGTAAAATGGATATAATAAAGTTAGACTACAGTTGTTCCTCCAGGTGTATGTGTTGCCCCAAAAATCTACAATGACTACTTATTTACACGGGTCGCGGGAAACAGTGGATCGTAAAGGCTTGTTTGGGGTAATGAAGTAGTGGTTTACACGCCACTCATGACGCTCTCAAGGATAACGAGAAGAGGATTGTAGCTCACTCTGGTCAGTTCATGAGCTCAGTTGTTGTGGATTGATCACCGTCCAAAGATGGTAGCTTTAACCCGAGTGGTGCTCACGGAGGTGTGAGGTTCATTGCGATGAAGATGGCACCAGAAATTCCAGTTGCTGTGTTGCGAAAGTGAAAATTGAGTAAATACTTATTGTTGTATCAAACCAGTCACTTTGTCCCTCGATAAATTTTTGTAGATTTACAATCAAGCTGGCGAAACTGCACAAACCGGTTGGCACTTGAACCATTTATGCGTGGAAATTCCGAGCAATGAGTTGGTCTATGAAATTCCCTGCAATATCTGGGTGACGTGCAAGAAGGGAACCCGCAGAGCCTACCACCGACTTATCATTACCCCGAGCCACCTTTCCAAAAGGGGACTATCAGGTATAACTTATAAGCGTAACAAAAATAAGTTATTGCCGAGACCTATCAGAATTCAGTCAAGGCCAAATACATGAAATGATTGGTTAAAATATATAACAAGTTTGTCTGAGACGTCGTTGTAAAAAATGCACAAATCACACTGAAACGGAAACTACTGCACCAAAGCTTCAAAATCAGTTTCAGAGGCGGTTAGATGTATTTCGGTAAACAAACTTAGGACCCTTCCTAACTTAAGGACAAATTTCCCTAAAAATGAGTATTGTTTTTTGTTATAAAAAACCCCTTCTAAAGTTGTTGTTTTATAAAACTTTGAAGATTTGGTTTTCCCTTAAATGTTCATTTATTGCCAAAGGATTGGACTTTCAATTAGTTAAATCCGGTTTTCGGATTAGACATTGTCCAAAAGGGAAAGAGGGTTGATGATAATGAAGGCCGCACAAAATCCGTGTTGCGATTCAAATTAAAAATTGAAGGCTGCCACATGCCTTTACTAACTGCTTTGCGTAATAGGTGAAGTTGCAGCCTCTCGATTTCGCTACACGCCTCAAGGTAGAAGTGAAAGCACCAGATTGTGTCTTGTTTGGTGTTCACTTAATCACGCGGGAATATGTGTTTTTAGTTGGATGTGATCAAATGTATCTCTGAGGTTTGAATCCACTTCTTTATGTTGCACTAAGCAATAGGGAATCTCTTTACCGGACGTTTGACATTTAAAGTCGCATCAAAAACCGCCATCGTCCATTAGAGTTTGGGATCGCTTACCGCATCTAGGATTAACTCACACGTCTAAATAGACATTTAAACTTGGTTTACACGTTGACAAATGTTTGTGTTCGCGCGTCTATGATCCAGTGTCAGTTGTGGTTAGTATTTTCGTCCCACTTTCAAACCTGATAACTCTATTCAGCGATTTAACGAACGGACGCACCATCTCCGGCACCCATTTTCTCAAAACCTGTTGGCTCGCCACCTGCTGCGACTTACTAGCCCCAAAGTCCAAACAAGACTGACTCCCCTCTACAGCATTACTAAAAATTCGAGCTCTCTGTAATGTCTTCAAACATTTAAAGTGACTTCAATAAATCATGCGTGATCAAGATTTTGCCTCTCTCAGGGGGTCTGATGAGTGCCCATTGCCTCGATTCTCTGCTAGCACACTGATGCCGTTTTTAACTACCACTGTTGTAGTCGTAACGCGCTCTGAATCCCAGATGCAATAAATGCACATTTAACAATATTTCCGTCAAGTGTGCAATCCCTGTACCTCTACAAAGAGAACAACGCAGACTCACGTTTGGGCAACATAATTCGTGTACCATGTGCGAAACCTAATACCAAGCTAATTTACCTGAATTACTTACCTTAGTAAATAAAAAGTGTTGGTGGTTTTTTTTTCAAAAAGACTAGGTTTCTTTTTAAGTTATTTGTTAAAATTGTATTTTGATTTACGGAATACTTTTAACCGCCAATGGATTTCAAATATGTGGCATTATTTTCCTAACCACCTTCTCTATGAGGCTAAAAGTGAAACAATCCTGTTAAATGAAGAGTATATTCGTGACCGCTGGCTACAAGTTTAAGTTGGCTCAGCTATAACTTAATTGCGTACTCGTGGAACTGATTCTAAATCGCACTAAACATGTTAAAATAGCATCTTTGTTTACCAGTCGTTTGGAAAACGTGTTTCATCAATTCCGCGTACCGTGGGACATGCGATGTTTCATCGCAGGCCGCACCTAAATGTTGCAAATGGTTAATTACCCTGGGGCTTTCCGCACACTTAGTGCTCGGGCGTTTACAATATTTCCATCAGACTTCTCTAAGAATTTTGCTCAAGAGTTTTTCGTTAGTTGCATTTACTGTTGCAAAAATAGGTGTTCGGTTCGAAGCCTAAACGTCTATCCACTAAGTCATAGTGAGCAGTAATTTTTCTAGCATTAGTAATTAGTGTGGCTCATGAACCGATTAATTCAGTGACCCGTTACATGATGGCTCAAGGAACCTGCGGTAAATCTTCCAACTGGAAGTCAGACTGATGCGTGAAGCAATTATGCGCTGATTAAAATATTTGATAATTAGCGAAAAATTCCACCTCGTTTCTCGGTATAGACAGTAACCGGAACATTTTTTTGCTAAATCTGGAAAATCTTGGCTTTAGAAATGCCAAAATACTTCGTTTCATCCAGTCGATGCGTGGGTATTCGATGAATGGACCAGGGTATACTTATTAATGAAATAAACATGAAATATGGCGTGTGATCATTTAGGTGTGTGTATATTAATTAATATGCTTTATCAATGATCAAGACTGACTCTTCGCTATAATGGTTAGAAAACTTCGTACTACTTTTGCGCAAACACACCTCTTTTGCTTAATCAAGTCAAGTATTTGTCTTGCGTGTGAGTGTATGTTTCATCACAGATTTTTTGTTGAATTTTTAAACTCTCATTAAAATCATCTGTTAAATTTCTTCCTGCAGCATTGTGTCCTACTTCAAATAGGATTTAGGTGCTTATTTTACATTCAGTAATTAATCTAGTCCTGGTTTTCCGGAACCAAAATAACACTTGTGCTCTCATGAATATGTTTACTCATTCGGCACCTTAATTTTTATTGTAGATTACTGATTCAACTGTTATTTTTAGAAGTCACCCAAACTCACGCGCCCGATCCATCTCGATAAACTTTTTAAGGATAATCTTGCTGTACTTCACACCGAATTTACTCGGCCAGGCACCTTATAATTAGGAAGTCGATGTTTAAAATTGCAAATTAAAATGCTACCAATGTCTTTTAATCTGGGTAAAACTTGACTTAGGCGGACGTTCTTTTAATTAAGTGTAATTACCATTTTCGGCTACAGGCGAATCCCTTATCCACTCATTAAATGGTAGCAGAAGTGTTATAATAAGTAGATATTGCCAGCGGAGTACTAGTGGCTTGACTGAAAGGTCTTGCATCATGCTTTCACTATCACAACTTTCTGTGGATTTGAATCATTAAATTTTTAGAGATATGACTGCTTTGAATCCAGAGAACCTTCACACTTAATTAAGCTTAGTTCAAGTTATTTGTTGCAATTTAACACCAAATATAAGTACTTTTTAAAGTTTAATTTCGACTACAGCGGTTATTTAAAAACTAGAAATTAATTTCAAGGTTCGTAGTTGGCAGACAGAGTTTATATGATGGAATGATCAACTGCTTTCATTCTATGGCGACGTCAATTATTTCACAAAAACTTCAACTTACTTAGGTTAAAAGTTTTCAGTTTTTCTAAACATTTGGGTGGAATATACAAATGGTTTTTCGGATTAACATTTATGGAGATGTGTGGACTTGTATTAAGCCCATATTTCATCATTTGCTTCATAATTATGCCAGATAAAGGGAAGAAGATAGCAAATGTTTGATTTTATTTTAATTATCCAAACATTTTTTGTAAATTAATTAATTTTAGGCCCTCTGAATCAACCGCCTGTATTTTTACGTGTTCCCAGATACTTTTCGTAGATGAAATTGGTGTGACTTCATTGCTCAAGAGTGCCTTAATTGAGTAAATGGATCTAAATGGATCTTTTTTTAACTCCTGTGTCTATAGAACGCCAAATAAATCTAGCTCTCGCTTCCCCATTGTGCGCGACCATTTAAGTACGAGTGGATTTTCAAGCATTTAACCCTATCGTGAAACTGCCAACACAAATTCCATGCCATGAGACAATGCTTCTGGTTCGATATCCATACTTATTAATGGAAGTCGGTAAAGTAAATAGGCTTCTACGACTACTTGGTGATGGCACAAGCTGATCTGGAAAGTGTTTAAGCCACACAGGCAAATTAAAGTAAATTCGATGCCGGAAAGGAAATTTCATAAACAGTTATAAAAATTGCTAAATTTATTTTATTGGTTTTTTCGATATTTGGCAAATGCATTAATTCCCAAATAGTTATTCCAGCATAGTGAGTCCGCAATGCCAAAGCTTTCAATAAAATGTATTTGTATCGTTTTAGGCACATCTTCAAAGGCATGCTACAGTTTAAAAATCTGGCTGAATGGTCGTGTGCCCCAAAACGTAGGCGACAGTGTGTTCTTGCAGGTGACGGGCAAGAAGGGAGCGTCCATTGACGGCATGATCAACTACCACGACTGGACCCTGCATAATCGGCTGCTTACATTTCACTTCCTTGTCCCCGATGACATTGGTGCCTTGGCGGGCTTAAAAGTCCGATTCAGTGGTGGAAAATCACACGAGGTAAGAGCTTGTTTTTAACAAGTCCTTTTTTAAAAATTCATTTGCAATTTTAAGTTGATTCGGCAAATAAGGGCTGGTCCCATTCGATTCAAAAACCTTCCAATGACGACTTACTTGACAAAACAGTCACAAATTTCAAAAGCATGTAGTTGATTAATTGTGCTACCAGTATACGAAACATTAGGCCTAAAAGGCACAAGAAAGAAGCAGAGTATAAATTAAACCTATAAAATTCTTTCATACTTAAATACACAGACAGGTCAGTGTTAAATTAATGCAATTAAGAGGGGTATTTCGCGAATCGATTTGTCGTTGACGCTCATGAAACTAGCAAAGTGGCGAGAAGACACGCTGAGACAGACACAATCGTCCGTTCAGAAAACAAACCCGCTCCCTCTGAGAACGCATGTGTCAGTATAAAATAAAAATATGCAGTATGACTAACAATGGAGAAAGTAAAATCATTAAATTAATAAAAGTATTATCGTGAAATTTCGAATGGAACCAAAATGATCAAATGCAAGAAATGTTTGCACCTGGCTAATGGAGGATAACAGCAGTTTTTACTTGAAAGACGAAGTGGTAGCCCTCCACAAAACAAATATCTTCTCTGATAAAAGGAGCGAATAAGTGTGCCTTATCCACCGAGGCATGCTGTGAATGCTTCGGGCACACTTAGGCCTGCAACTGCGTGGACTACAGTTCTGATAAATAGTTGTTTGGTTTCGGCAGTTTTAGCTAGACAATCGACTCGGTTTTGAACTTATGCAAATCTCTATCCCATAAAATCAGGAGGCGTTCCTATTTTAACTTATGCGGTCAGAGTTTGAGGGTCAAGAATTTCCGTTTTCTGGTTACAGAGAAGTGTTCAAAAGAAGTTTTCACTGCGTATTTCTTCAGTGTTGAAATTTGGGGCTGAGGTATAAAAACTGGGGTTTATAACTAACGGTTTTTAAAAGTTTTAAATTTAAATTAATCGCTGGACCATTTTGCCTCCTATTTATGGCTCATAAGCTTTTATTGCAGATTTGATTCTGACCACGTACCTATTGCTGAACACTTCCAGTGACTGTAGATGCGTGTTCAACGACAATTTTTATGTTGAGGATATATCACTGAGCGACATTTGACTATCGTCAATTTTATTGCTTTGTCAAATGATATTTATCAAATGCTGGGTACATCAAAGGTAGAATATGAGTTTACAGCCGCATCAAGGTACTTTTGTAGAGCTACCTGGTTACGTCCTTGAAACAACTAAATGTTCATTTACACCCAACTCCTTTCGTTACCAGCTTATTGGGTTGAAAACATAATCAGTCATCGAAAATAGAGTCAACGTTTCAAAACTTCAATAAATCAAACTTCGAGAATTGTGGGAAAAAACTGCGATTGCTTGTTTTTAAGCAACCTCAAGCCTAGTGTGGATGTTTGCCATAAACTGCTGCTTTGGAATTCTGTAGTCATTTGCGTTGGTTGAGATCTCAATCCGTTCTTTCTGTGAATACTTGCAAGAATTAATTCGGCAGCTGTAGTAATGCAATGTAACCTGTGAAAAAATGGCTTTTGAAAAACTGACATTTTGGCTGGTAATTAAAAAAACTGTTCTAGCCCCAATCAATCCAGACTGCTTTTAGACTTGTAGATCTGTTTGCTTTAGTAGCTATTCCAAGCTACAAATTACAAATTGCAAACTAAAAAAGCTGCTTATCTTTAACAAACAATCCAACCTGGCCTGACTTACAATTCGGTTTAGACATCGGAGGTCTTTAGAACTTAGACTAAACATGGCATATCGTCTCAGTATTATGTGGGATTTTCCTAAGAGTATTTAAAATCCATTTCGCTCACTCGTGGTAATTCAACTTTTATTGAACCAAAATTTTGGATGGGTTTAAATTTGCAGCACGGTTAATTTTAAAGGTATCAAATCGTGCATGTTCTTGAATCGGCTGATTTAATGTACTTGCTACCTCTATCGCGTAAATGTGGTTTAAAAAATTGCAAATTCGTTGCTATCTACGTAAATAGATAGCGCTATTTTAAATTAGTTTAATCCCTTAATATTCCTGACAAATTACCCTGGTATTTTATTGGCACTTAAAAGGATCAAGCTGATTGGACAATAACAAACGCAACAATTCAGAGGGAGGACGAATTAACAACTACACAGCTCTACTTCACCGGATGGCAATTTCAGGCAGCTTATCGATGGAGCGAACTCCTTCCTACACCACCGGCTGCATCTTTGAGTGTGTGAAATATTTAATCCTTTTGTCTTTTCGTCTATTGGCATCATAACAAGTTCATCAAACATCCGTCTTAAAAAACGAAGTCTAGTTCAAACCGTTATGCATTATAACTTCTTAGAGTATGGTGCTAACAGTAGTTTTCGATAATAACTGCATCCAAATAAAACGCCTGTGTTGTCTAAACAGTTTGTCTCAGATAATTTTAGCAAATACTTGTGCCGGTAGCGAGTTTAGCCTTAAAAGTTATTTTGCGTGACTCTATTAATTGCAATAACAATCACACCCTAAACTCTTGGAATGATATTTTGTAAGTAGTTTTAAAGACTGATTGTATGATAGATGTCATATTCGATAAGCTGTAAGTAAATTTAAATTTGCATTGTGATGATAGATGGTGAGTTGCTCCAGATAAAACCTGAAAGTTTGCAAATGCCGGCTCCCTAAATTTAGCCACCATGGATGATGACGACTGTACACATCCTAGCGTATTCTAACTCAGTGTTTGGTCTAACTTGATGTGTATATTATTTAACGAGATTGGAGGATCTAAAGGAAGGTTGTGGTGACTTGGATCTGGAAGAAACACTTGTAGCACAAATTTAGGACTAAGCTGCAAATCGTTTGCGTGCACAAAAACACTCATCTTGTAGTTCAAGTCGAACCGCTGCGTTCAAACCCAACAAGAAATCTAGTAAAACCTTTAAATCCGAAAACGTCAAATACATCAACGGGGCTCTTTGGAGTATTGAGGCAGAAGCGACTCAGTTTTATGAGATAAACTATCTTGTGACACACAATGCCGTACTGGAAACAATTAAGTCATGAGTGATGTTTCATTGCATTCGCATCTTCAAAAACTACTTATGCGCCTTCCGTTGCCGGGAAAAGTTCAGCAATTCGGCGTGCTTCATACAGGAAGCAGTTCTGGCAACAAACCTTTTTTTCATCAACGAAGCGTTGCATTTATTTCATCCCTTTTTGTAAATGAAACTTCGAATCTCGATGCCTGGATTTTTGACGTGACTTTTTAATGTCGCGGTCACTTTCTCCTTCACTACGACATCATCGCCAGAGTATATTAATATGGAGAAAGATTTAACGGTAATCATAGAGCCAAAAATTATGGGTTTTAGTGGGCTTATCTTGATTAGTCACCTAAGGGTTACGTTAAAATCCGATCTCTTGCGCAGTTAAAACCCAATGATTTAAAAGAAAAAAAGTCATCAAACGCCTAACCTGCGCAAATAAATCCAAAACAATGCCCCGTATCTTGTGATGCTAAACGATTTTACAAAGATCCCACAAGTCTTCCCTGGGCATTTTTTTTATGACCTAATTTCTGTTACCTGAAATGTGTTACGCCAAAAGACCTAATTTGTAGGCTATTTAAATGCGAGTTTAAGAGTGGGTTAGGCAAATACGGTAGTCAATAACCATCCAGAGATATTACTGGTCTGATGCCAGACCCCAAAAATATGAAAATCAAGTCCTGTAGAATAGAAGTTTGTAAAGTGAGACTGGTAGCTGTCATAGCTCCAAAGATTATTACCTATTTTGTTTTTACTATTGTGTCCCATGCTAGTGTCACCTCGAGAATTGATCTTTATATTTCTCAATCAGCCTGAGATGATCCGTTCCCGTTAACCTTTCAGTGTCGTCTTACAAAGTACGAGTAAAAACCTCCGATGAGCCAATGGCAGGCACCAATGCAAACGTTTACATCCGACTAGTAGGAGAATCGATGGAAACGGGAGACTTTCTTCTGAGAGATTCGGAGACAAACAAGCGTCCGTTTGAGAAAGGCCAGGTTAGAGATGGCAGTTGAATTGCACAATTTTTTGCCTTTTAGCATGTTATACTGCAAATAACTAAAAATATTTGAAGTCTAAGCAACAATTTTGCCTGCACATCCCCAAAAATCGGTAAGGTAATGGGGAAAGGTTTTGGTACGTTTGAGTGATTTTTTTAGGATTGTTAGGCATTCTACAAGTGTACTAATTAAGTTTTATTGACTGAATTTTACAAAATGATGCACAATTAAATCATCTCACAGTATAGTTGCTATGCTTTACTGAAGGCAGCCTAAATATTCACCTTGGTGAATCGTGTTGATTCACGTCCATTGACCCGGTCGACACACTACCTCCCCTTTCACGGCGTGCCCGTCAGCCATGTGGGACCGCTTGCTCATTCACCCCTTGCGTGCAGAATAAAAAATATTGTAAATAGTTCAGATAAAAATTACTGTTAACAAATCTGCTTTTGCGCTTTAGCGTCACACAGAAGTCCGAATTCATGCGTGTTGATTACAGTCCTATACCTAACCACCATGAACAATAGTGCTTTTGCATAAAAAAAAACGAAAAAAGGGAACTACTTTCACCTTCCACTGTATGAGGTCACTGCTCGTTTTTCTTATTTTTAAATTAAACAGACACTGAAATTTGAGTAAATCGCCTTTAAAGTGACAATTAATTTCAGACTACTAAAAACGGTATAAGGACCTTGGGAGTGAAGATGCCGACTGCTCATACCTGCCCCAAAATAATTCACATTTATGTTGTGTGGTAAAGAGAGTGGCTAAAATGTATTTAAGCGCTGTAAACAAAGGCCTTTGCAGACCTGGCTTCCGGTTACTTTTTTGACGTAACTGATTCATAACTAAGATATTGTTGCATCCGCATGCACACAAGCCTTATGAGTAATAGAAATATACGAGAGACGTTTGCACACGGATTCATGCTCAGATGTGTCCACACAAACGATAAAGCGGCTGCGAAGGTGAGGCTGAAAAGTTACGAATAAGTGGAATACGATGAGTTGCCCAGGTTTCTGGGTGAATGTGAATCAATTCGATCCACTTGAGCTCTCCTCCCTAGCAAAAGAACTTAATACCGTTTTCCTCCCCAATGGAGAACGGAAGGGCTTGGTGTAGGCGACATGAACTAATGAATAGCCTCCAGGTTATTTTCAAGAAAGGACATTGAGAATTCGACATTTTCTTACACTGGAGTATCCGACAGGTTGGAAGCACATATATGATTAGGGGCTGCTGGGTGATGGTGTCGGGATTAGAGTTTAAATTCCTGTAGATGAGTGAGGTTCATGGGAAGCGATTGCCTATCGAAATTAGAATTTGTGGCAGCATGGCTGGAGAGTTGACTTTTCCGCATAGAGTAACTGCTTCGACTAGATTATTTGGGAGACAGCCGACCACCAGCTCATAAATGTTGAGCCTTTTGAATGATAAATATGTTATGCATTCAAACGCGCCGTTACGACGTGGTTTGAAGTTCGTTAAGCAGATTGGTGTTATCTGAATAATGACTATTTAATAAATGGCAAAGTGTACCTGCCAAATATAATGCACCGCTGAACGTAAAGTGCCTCTCAACATAACGAGTTCCATCACGTTGATGTATCTCCTATTACGCAGCATGCGTCCGGGTCACGGTTATCTAATGTTTGAAAGAAACAGCACTCTGGAATTAACTGATATCGAAACTAGCAATAAAACCTAGAAACCTTTTTGAACTTATGCATACAATACATTTATTTTTTTTCCACAAATTTTACCTTTAACCTCTCATTTAGGTAAAGTTTTTGCAATGCAAGCCATTAGATTTAGGGGTAAATAAACTAATCTTGTTTGTTTAGGGTATATAGTATGTGGTAAATTGCAAAGCGTACTCGGTATTCAGCGTCCGAAGTATTTGCTAATGAATTCTGTCAACACTCAAGACTTATCCCAGCGGGTTCACTCTCGGATTGCCACTTCAGCCAAACAAAGGATGTATTTAAGGTGTTCACTCTATTACAGATTGATCAGTTTACCTTGGAAAACCTGCCTTACCTCGGTGGGCTGACGGGATGCCGCCTCTGGCACGACAACCGAATGCCAGCAGCTGCTTGGCTCTGCGAATGGATCAACATAGAGGGAGTCCTGAAGGAAGGAAGTCGGCTGCTGCCCCAGACGTGGTATTTCCCCTGCAACCGGTGGCTGCGCGGCGATGGTCGCTCTCTGGTTGCCCCCCTCGACCTGCTGCCCCTTGACGTCAGTGCGGCACCGGCCCTCGTGAATCCTGCGTTCAACATTGACAGCTCTAAGGGGGGTTCAGTGATGACAGTAGATCCCCCTAAGGAAACTGAGAAAGCTGGTAAGTAAAAAAAATAATTAACTTACCCTGTAGAAACTTTCCGTAATGTGAATGTCATGGCCACTACTGAACACTTTCTGATTTACTTTCATATATATCAGCACTTTTACCTAGTTAGGCTTTCAACAAAATTTTGACCCTACACGATAAAAATTGCATAATTATCGTGCTAGCACACTTGAAGTATAAGTATTAGATCCCCTAATACATGTATTTTTTTACCATGAAGCTAAATCTTTGTGTTGTCCACCGACACTCAACCCCAGTCTACTAAGATTACACTGCAATGTACAAGAAAATTCCACGATTTTCCGCACGAAATTGACATTGCAGGAGTGAAAGGTCGCTGCGCTCGAAGTACTGATTTTGGGATGTCGTAACAAGTCAGTGCCGGTCTAATGCAAAGTAATTTCAGGCTTCATTGTGGAAGGGCAATCTGTTGGTTGTGTGAAACATCAAGTTTATCACGCAAAATTGCTTTACCAGCATTCGATTATGGTAAATGCCTGAATTCAGGTGTTCCTGGCAAATTTCTAGGCAGGTAAGGATGTTCACAATCTAGCTACTGTTAGTATTTACAAGTCTTGAACCACGTTTCTCGCATGGGAGAGGTGTCCAATTCGACTACTCGTGTTCTAATTATGGTCTCTTCATTCTCTAGTTACTACTTGTGTCTCTTGCCAATTAAGACGTATTACTTAATTTTAAAGTAAAACTCTCTTATTTTGCTGCCTCAGATTACATTATTGAAGTGGAAACGGGTAATGCAAATGAAGCCGGTACTGAGCTTGTTGGGTGGATTGTTATCAAAGGAAGAACCGGAATCTCCCCAGTTTTTCGACTAACCCACCCTGATGGCAGTCCCGTTCTCAAAACCGGCCACAAAGACACATTCAGGTAAAAAACCCAGGACTAAGTCGATATTTGCATCACCAAAAGTGATATTTTAGTTCACGAGCTCACGCTCTTGTCACTCTGTATTACGGTAACAACTTTAAGGACTTGCATCAGATGAAATGATTGCTTCATTCCGTAACCAGGCAGACGGGGTTTCAAGTGCCTTGTTATTCATGCCTGTGGCATCGAAACCTATACATTGAAGCCAACACCGGACACTTGATTTAAATAAAAAAATCTAATTTACAATAAGCGGATTGTTGCAGTTTGTCCGTGACCAAAAAAAAACACACTCCCTCAGATAGTCGGTACCCCAGATCCCTTATCAGACGCTAGTCCCATACTCCCACGCTAATGCAACACAAGGCAGGGCCTCGTTCTGTCAGAATTTACCCACTTATATACGTCAAGGATGACCTGTATTAACACAGACGAGGCTGTCAGAAGGGTGCCATGGGTGACTCGCCCACTGGATTCGCGTCGTTAGGGGAATTGTGTAAATAGTGACGAAATCCTAACCCGCAATGAGCCGTCTCGGGGAATGCTGAATCCCCGACACGGATGCGCGGCATGGCAGGGCATCAAACAAAACAACAAACACGAATTCAATGGGATTCTACTTAGTCTTACGTTGCCAAAAATTTGCCGAGAACATTGACATTTCTAGGTTACAAGAAACAGAGGAAGTAATAGGAAGGGTCCTTCTTTCTTGATGACTATTTACTAAAGCCCTACCGATCCATAGATATTGTGGCGATTGTTAAAAAAGGGAAGTTTTTGAAACATATCTTATAAGGTTTTTTGAACTTAGTCTTCTTAACCTTGCCAAGTATCTCGCTCTTGTGGTTTCGTTTTTTGAAATGTTTTCCTTTTCTTCTACTAAAAACTTGATTTGAATTCTGTTTGTTAAGTTTTTGGCATCGGGATTCATGAATACTTAAAACGTTGTAATACATTCGGCCTATTTAAATAGCACTTTGGATTAATTTCAATGTAGGGTGAATTGCGAGTATCTAGGGGTGCTTCAGCAAATCTACGTGGGTCTATACGATCCAAGTGGCCATTTTCGCGAGGATGAACTCGAGCCGAAGTACGTGAACCTGCAGTACAACAGGTCCAACCAGTGGAATTGCAAACTCATCGAGGTGACAGACAGTCGAAGTGGTGAGAAGTATCTCTTCAATATCAACCAGTGGATCCTCGCCTCTTCGAGACTCGACCGACGGGAAGGCGTCTCCGCTAGACCGGCCGAATTAAGGAATACCAGACAAGATAATTTGAAGCATATGAAGGGTGAATTAAATCAGATTTTATTTGCGTGACAACAAAATGTTCAATTTGGACTTGGTTTTGTGCATTACCTAGCAGTGGTCAGATTTTTAGATGCGCTTACAGCGCTTGAAACCATGGTTCGTGTCAGAAACTTCTCTGAAATTCCATGTAGATATCTTGTGGTGGTCTTTTTATTTGGAGTCTCTTAACTTTGAATGTTTTTTCTGATCACACTTAGCAGTTAGGAATACCACTCAAATAAATTAATATATTTCCCACCTAAATAAAATAATGACAGAATGTCCACCACCAAATTGCAGACATCTGTATAAGCCCGGGCTAGTCGACTTATTCACTCACGTCTAAGTGATTGAATAAAATTTCACTTTCGAGCGATTTTTATAACCGGAAACTTGAACGCAAATAGCATATCAAATGATGCTCATTTTTGCAATGCTAGCATTAGGTCCGATGTGAAGGTAGAATGATTATCTACCTTCCGGTTTATATGTCAAATCGTGGCATGGATTATACACTTCGAAAATAAAGCATACGCTGCAAATCTGTGTTATTTAGATCTGCATGGATAAAAATGACAACCACACAGATACGGAATAATAGTAATTTAATTAATAACCATGGAAACATGGCCAAGAATATGGGATATGATCCTTTAAGGGATGTCGGCACTTCAGTGGTATTTAGAACGCTCGTTGATTAATCGAGGTAGCACCAGTTAAAAGTTCAGTTTAAGGTAGTGGCTGACTCTTTCGAGATAAAGCATTTGTGCGAATTTGCAAACACGCATAAGTCGTGCTAGGTCGTGCATTTCTCGTAGTAACGTAAATGTGTTGTTTCGTTTTTTACTCACACGTGATTCTCTATAAATTAAAAAAAACGCTTCATTACGCTTGATACATTTTTTCAAAATTCACACTGAAAGTACTGTAGATAAGGCAATTGTGAACTCATGTGAACACCTAATTCCTAAAGGTCGAATTTTACAAGGTATCATTTATAAATCATGGCAAAACCTAAGAAACGGTGGTGCATACAGACCAGGGCTTGATTACATGCAAATTCTGAAGGAGTTACAAATTGTCTAGTTCGCTATAAATGGGCTTTGCTGCTAAAATACCACCATGACAAATAAAACTAAATTTAATAAAAAGAATGCAAGTCAAGGCCATCCGACAGCTGGATCCACAGGACACTTTTCATAAATTGCAATTTCTGGATAGCTTTGTACTGAATGTTTATGACTGAGTCTTTCAAATCCCCAGGTTACAAGCTTTTTCCTTGCATTTTACTTACTTCCATCACCCACTGTTTTGAATGCTTTGTACTACTTTGTCATTTTTGGATCATCGGAAGCAGTTATTTAGTTTTGAATGATAGCGATTTCTTGTCTTAAATGTGCATGCTTTCCTTTTCAACTGCAATAACCTCCACAAGTGCTTTTCTTTATTTTAGAATTCTTTATTCAAAACGAAACTCAAACTGTTACATATCGGGTCTCGATTGAAACAGGAAATATTAACAACGCCGGAACAACAGCCAATGTCTACATCGTACTCTTTGGCAGTCAGGAGGGCCTAACGTCTGGTTTGCAAAGCCTTGTCAAACTTTCAAATGAAACTTTCACGCGTGGACGAAAAGATGTATTTTTCATCGCTTGTGAAAACTTAGGTTAGTTAGGTCCTCTGACACTTGTGTGTATTTTCACTGGATACTTTACCGCTTTTTTATCTGAATTTCTGGATACCTATCTTTGAATTGTTTAAATGGAGAACACAATCGTTTTAACCCTTACATTCAATCATGAATGCACTTTTAAGCAGAGTAAAAAGGAACCAAAAACGTTTGGCTTATTCAATGCAATTCAGGTTAAACAGTCTAATCAGTTATGGGAAATGCTAACCTATATCCTAATTAATTTGGTAATAAATTTGGAGCATTCTATGCAGTAAAAACTATAAGAACAAGCAGAGATCAATTTTTAATTACGCTATAGAAAACAAATCGAAAGTAGACATGATGGAGTATTGTAAAAGGTCTACTGTTTCTGCCACAAAATAAGCGATTGTTCAGAAAGGCCAAATAAACACATTCCATTACAATGTTTACAGACCAGCTAACAGTATTCATTTTTAGACAAACTGATAGAACCTTTGGTACTAAATGTGGAAGTAATTACCGCAATCATTTACCCTAAACTAAAACACAATTAGGCATGCTTCTATGATTTTCCACTTCTAATTTATTGTAGTGGTTGACTTGAAATAGTGGTCCATGGTTAAGGTTTGTAGCGATTACCGGTTCGAACCCTGTTCCTCGTTGACACCCACAAAATCCGTGAACAAACAAACTGAGAAGGCGATTCGACGCAGTGGACAAAGCCGTCTATTCACTCGCCAGGCATGATGTGTCAGTGTTCGCGCGCGTCAGAATATTTGTAGGGGGGACGGAAGGAGACTATCTCCAAGTAGGGGATCACAAGTATCAGTCAACTTGTGATAAACCTGATTGAACAAGTTTCGGCTTATGCGGTTTGCCTTAGATATTCTCAGAGATGATAAATTCTCAAAGGCAATTGTAGGGCACAATCGAAATATACATGGGCTGTAAGTTGTTAAAATCACAGAAAAGCAAATGCATCACTAAAGTCGTGTGCCGGTTCGTCGAAGTTGCACTGAAACAGACAAAACCCAGAATCCTTTTGTCCACTTGTAGAGTGTCTCCAGTTTCCTGAGGCTTGTGGTTGAGGGCATCACGTCGGTATCACCAACTGTAGCGTTTACATGTACCGCCATAAACTCTATTAGTTAACAGCCTGTAACAACTTGAGAATAAAAAACAAGATAGGTGACAGCGGATACGACGGTGTACTTGTGTCAGACTAGCCAAGTTTACCTTTGTATAAGCACAAATGCGCTCGCCTGTCAGGCAACTGATAACAGCAGTGACGTCAATCAGTCAGTAAGGAAGCTTCATCCACGCGCTTTTGCTGACAATCTACTGAAGGTATTTGGTGATTTGTGCAATAGAGTGAAACTTTAAGAAAAAATGTGCTATTTACTGCTTGCAAAATGCATGCATAATAGCCCTGGTTTCGAACTTTTCACTCGTTTTTGTTCTCTTTGATTACAGGCAATGTAAAGCGTATCCGAATTGAACATGACAATTCCGGAAGCTCACCAGATTGGTTCATCGAGAAAATCACAGTGCAAGACACGAGCAGCGGCCATTCATGGATCTTCCCATTTCAGAACTGGCTTTCTTTAACACAGGGATCAAAGTCTCTTCGACAGGAATTGACAGCATCGTAAATCTCAACCCAGGTGTCATACGCAACCATTCGTCGGTTTAGAGCCAGTGTCACTTTGCTTTTGCAATGTTTCTATTTCTATCAAGTGTTTTTGCTCTTCCCATGTGTGTCGATTAACTTAGCTGTTTGGTCTAGGTTATTCTCTTGCGTTTGGTGGGGCAGAACACTCAGGGGACTGATTTGTTTAATTTCACGAACAATTCGTTAGGTGTAATTGTTTGCAGAAAGATTTTGGGGATCCCGCATCATCGTTATGAGTGCTATTATCTTTAAAGGCTCAAAATTAATTCAAGACTCGCTCCTCAAGGTTTCTGGACCAGCGCAATCTCTGCTTTATACAATGGAACATTTGTGCTATAGCCTTTGATTACCTGTTTCGCAGTAAAACATGAGAATTATAGTATCAAGCACGCTTTAGCAATTCAGATGTTGCAAAATAAACGGGGTTAAATTGTAATCCTCTTCAAATGTTTCATTTTTAGTTCACAATTATATGCGTTCATAAAATTAGTTTCAGAATAATGAAACAAAAATACAGTGGTTGTAGCTTTTGTTTCAAGATGTATTGAGTGCCACCATGTACCAGCAGTTGCAATCATGCGACACCTACCGATTAATCACGTAAGAGGCAGTGCAAAGACTCCTTTTTTCAATTCTACACCCTACTCCACGTGTTTTGTTCGCAGGACCAAATTGTTTCGAATGTTTGCTTCAGTGGTGAGAAAAGAGAAGTTTCCTCAAGAATACGTTGCGACGAAAATGTAGTTTTCCAGATCGGCAGCCACTTAATCACTTCCAAGTTCCACCACGTTTGATTAATTCCAAATTGTAATGGAATTCATAGAGTTTAGTCTAGGTAGACTGGGACCCAATGACTTGATTGCAAATGTTTGTCGTCAATTTACATGTTTCTTCAATTCTTCTTAAAAACTAAAAACCCTGCGGAAATTTGTCATAAATTCGTTTTTTTACAATTTTCAAAGAGTCATTAAAGATTGTCTCACATTCCAGATGTCCTCAAAATTATGTCAATCATGAATGTCCTCTTTATAAATTTGGTAGAGGGCTGGAATCCACCACCTGCAACCATTTATCTACAAATGCATGAAGGTCAAATAAAGTAAAGCACTTGGCTATTCATGGCAGTTTCGAGGTATGACTGTGTGAATATTCTAATACAAAAGTGCTTTTTCACATCCTGACTCATGCCATGTGAGTGCTGGTCTATCACCATGGTTTGTGCACGCCGGGCGTGAGTTGTTGCTAAGTCACTACAAGTTAGGACAGCGATGATTTTGATTTCTCTCACACATCTGAACTTGGGGAATTTTAATGCAGGCTATCAGCACGTGAAATGGCTGCTAAATGAAGGCAATACTTGGACATGACAAGCCTGCTTGTGTTAGTGACAAATTAAAAAAAAAATTAGAAATGGTTCTACTTCTAACGGAAAAAATAAGGTTAGTAATCCGATAACGATCCTTCCCCGAAAACCGGCGCCGGAGGTCATAAAGATGGTAATCAACCTGAAAGCAATATAGAACGCGACGTCCATATAAGGAACAACATTGTTAAAGAGCCATGGTGTTTGTCTTGCACCTACATTGGGGAAAGTAAATTAGTATTTGTGGCTGTTGACCGATCCGGAACCAAGTATTCATAAAAGATTAAGAAGACCAAACTGGACGAAGGCTCAACCAAGGATAAGGCCACTGAAATCGGGTGTTTCATTAGCCGTGGCGGTTCCCGTGTATTTTTAGGTCGTGTGACTGAAATGCATGGAGTACGAGCCATTGTTTGCTGAAGTTACAGCTTTATCGATGTTATTTTTACATGTACATGGAGAGTTCTAGGTTGAACTCGTGGTGGGCTCAGAGCTGGGACCAAGTGGCTCTGCAGAGGTCTGCGGAGGTTGAATAAACACGGAGAGAGCAGTCGTGCAGGAACTGCCGTGACGGCTCCACTCTTGAATGTTTCACGGCTGACCTGGAGGTACTTAATTAATTAAATATTTCTTGAAGATAAGGGTAAGGGGGTTGCAGCAAAATGGGCTTCTTTGCATAATCGACCTGTGGTGGACTGACAGCCACCCCGCGTGAGTGTGCGTGCATGAGGGCCCGTGTGTAGCGATGACTCATCCCCTTTTGTTATTGATTTTTGTCAGCATTCGTCTGTTACGCACGCGTGCTCATACGCAGACAAAGTCACTTGGCTGGTGTGACACGAATAAACGGTCGTGTCCGCTCTTGCCTCTTCTTCACCCTACTCGAGTTGTCTTGGGCTGTTAATTAGAGGGTTGTAAGGTAGTGCTAAGATCAAGCTACTACAGACCGCTATCTTTTGGCAAAGTTCTGTCGAGCGAAATCTAAAGTCAAGTTGCAGTCTCCAAACAAAAAACATTAAGCAGTTCGAAATGGGATTATCTAGAAAATTATACATCATTCTGTCCTCCAGTCCTTAGTAAAACGCGTACACGAAATCATGTAAATTGTTCTTCCTTCAGAATAACCCATGTTCAATTTCGGTGTAATTTTACCATGGCAACATGAAAGTATCAAATATCATGAAGAAACATTTACATTGAGGGGTTGTACCTGCTTACTGTTATAAGTGACTTACACTTTAATTGGTGTCTCTTAGCAATGAAGTTACATTCTCTGTTTTTAAAAAATTGACTTCACGATTTTAAAACTTAAGGGAAACTACACACAAAAAAGGCGACCTCCATGACATAATAACTTATTTTGATGAGAATACTTTGCCAGTGGAACGTCTTTGAAAGTCAAGATTTGGAGACTGCATGGAACTGTACAAAGTAACCGGTAATTCATTCATAGTGCATGACCTCAGCAGAGCCCTAGAAAATCATCAATATTTTTAACCACCAGCAGTTTGCATTCACATTCTTCTTTATCATTTGCATACTTTATCTAGACTTGATTGATGATGTTTTTAACCGGTTGCATCAGGACAGTGACTTTAAAAGTAGTAGCCTCGAGGTAATCGACTCCACGCACCAAATGTGTTTAAGTCAAGTGCTCATAACTTTCTCCTGGATAACTTGGTCATTTACGACAACAACGGTAATGCTTTCTTTAAACCCGGGACGTTTGACTTAGAATTGAGTTTATAAAACTCAACAGAGGTGGTTGGTGGCAAATGAACACTGACTAACCTGCCACTACTGGGATTTTAATACATGAGGCAATTTCAGCCTAAACTTCGTGCCAGCAACAAGATTTTCAAGACTTTTTGCCCAAAAGTGAAATTTTACTTTTGTAAAATTTTGTCAACTGACTTAACTTCAATTCCTATCAGTGAACGTGAGACAGCAGAATTTAAATGACCATATGATAAATATTTGCTCATATAATGGCCCCTTTATTCGCACAACGCCATTTTAAATGTCATTATTGTATAACCTATTAAACTTTTCTTTATGTTTTTGGAAAACACTGCCGAAACACATCCAGTCCTCACTCTTAGTCATCTTCCGCCACAAAACGGGAGCACCATCTAGTTTTCTCGTTCAAAAATTAGAAACCGAAACCTACACCACTCACGTTTACGTCGACATCCCTATGGGTCGCATTGGCCATTGTTATACACTTCGAGACCCCTACACCATGTGCCATTTTTACTGCCAAGTGCTACTCTTAGGTGATTATTTGTGCCTGCAGATCCTATTATACAGTACAGTAATGTCAAAATAAATTTCCTGGTAACTGGCGCTTTTCCTTCCAAGAGTAACGTGTAATTTAAAAAAAAAAACACCTGTGCACTTGTTTATTCGTTGTGAAATTTCATAGATACCCACTTTCAGATTAGCTTGGGAAATTAGAACTTCATTCTTGAAAATTGCTGAATACTTCACAATCGCGTTCTGCAAATATATATCTTGAATAAAAGAATTTTTGTAGATGCAATATTTACAGACAGACATCATGGGATGCAGGAACCTTTATAGTGTATTCCAAATGTCAAGTCTTTCAGTTTTATCTGCGCCACATAAACCGGCAATACTTGCTTTGCAATTGTCGCTTTTAAGCATCTTTGTTTAAAGGATTAACAAAGAGTTTCATTAAAATTAACCTCATTGGGTGTGCTGGACTTTGAAATGGCAAATTCGATTCTGAAGCTTCACTGAAATTAAGTAAGAAAAATTGGTGAGGGTCACCAAGTTTAAAAGTCTAGCGGAAAATTAAAGGGTAATGTAGTTCATGCTGCTTGCTCTTGACAATCAATCTGGACTCTTTATGCATGATTGAGCACTGATGGAACGCTGTCGTTAGGAAATGATGGTGAAATAGGAAATGTCACCTTACACCCCGAGGGTTATAGCACCGCAAACAAATCTAGGAAACATGTAAATGCTTTTTAATGGTCATGGTTTATTAGTTCAAAGTCTGATCACTGAAGTCCACCTCAACTATCCAGGTTTAATTACTTACCTGATCCCACAAAACACATGACGCAACTCTGGTTATGATGTTCTTTGTGTCTGCAACCTTCCCTTTATGCCTGAAATACCGCGAATGAACACGATCCCAGAAAATTGCATCTGAAACCCGGCTGAACATTTGTCCAGGGTACCAGGCATTTTTTGATATTTATTGTTAAGTATTAGGACGAAAGTCCATACAGCTTCAGCACTTCTCATGAAAACGACTATCGTGAATAAATCGATACTGTACAGTCGCAATACAAATTTGGTCACTGTTGCTTTAAAAAATTCAAGATGGTAAAAGGATTAATATACTTCTTGCTTTTGTTTTAACTCTTTGTGTAATAAAACCTCTACAATGAAATAGTGTTCAACTACTTGTTCAATGAGGTTGATCGACAATCGACAGCCTCGGATTAATTTGAATCCAATGCACAATTACCAGAAGCACCAACAAATTAAACAAATAAACTAATCAATGACAACGCTCATTAAAAGCTATTAGAATGAAATTAAAATTACTCTAACTTCGTTGTTTAAACAAGAGTCAGTTTACAATGTTGCGTGTTTAATATGTTGAAACGAAAGGCTGTTCGATCGATGGGTGTATTAAACACCAAACTATTCACTGATTTTGGAGTCCTAGGCTTCGTCATCAAAATTACCATATTTTAGGCAGTGAAATCTGAATCCCACAGACATTAAATATCGTGACAAGACATTTAAAGAACATTTCAATCATTTTCTAAAAATTGGCATTATTTACAGTATCTGGAATAATCAATGGTTAAAATAGTAATGATAATCTTGACACACTAGCTCTTATGAGTTGTGGGACAAGTGCACGGCGCCTGTGCTGGAAGGGAAGGTATTGGGTTCATCGATATCGACGAAACAAAACATACTGATGTCGGTCCACTTCCTCTGCTCCCTAAACAAGTCCCTGTGTCCTTGCCAATGAAACACACTGTTGTGACTGGTTCAGTAGTTGACTTCACCTTCTCAGCCTCTTTCATCGGTTTTCTATCCCAGGGTATGTTTTCGTCACCAGACGTGACTGACGTAAATGTTGATTGTGCTTCAGACGCTGGCATTGGAACCATCAAAAAGGACGTGGACGAGTGTGCGTTATATTGGTCCAGCGGCCTTTGGTGAAATTTCGGAGAATTCCGTCCTGTACAAACGGCATGGTCAAACCCTGATTGAGTGTGAAACCTCTGCTCATTTCGCCATTTACGAACAAGGAAGTAGGCAGCGGTTACGAAAATGCAGACAGCAAAACAAACGAGGCCGACAAATGCTGCAACTCCCATTTTGATATTAGCGAAGATGGTCAGCTTTGGCTGGTGGGTAGTAACGCCGTTTTGCGATTTCACCAGGTTTCCTTCGTCAACGAAATCCGACAAAAGGATGTTATTGTTTCCTTTGTAATTAGTTGATATAATCGACATCTTTAAAGGTATTCTCTGTGGGGCCATAAGACCGGGTGCGTAAACGTTCACGAACTCAGAAACTGCACGTACTGTTACATTCGGAAAATTGATAAATTTCACATTTCCTTCAAGTAAATCTTTATAGAAAAAACACAGCATTGCTTTCTGACACTGTGTTGTGGCAGGACCGAAAAACGTTCCAATTGCTGTTTTTTGTGGAAATTCAAACTTGAGAGCTTGTTTAAGAGTTGAAGTCATCCTCAGATATCCCCCTGTGATTAGCCTTCTGGACGAAGATTCCAAAAGTGAAATATCGAGGTGTCGTTCATTAAAGGTAAATTCGTTATTGAATGGAACATAGATGCTTTTAAATCGAATCAACTGGGAATTAACTATGCGGAAAATGATACTGCAAGGAGGCTGTTGACTTTCAAAGACGAATTCATCGTTTGATGTATTCCACTCAAGTCTACGATATGATATTCTTTTGAGAGAAAACTGTTTGAAATTTATCTTTACGAACGGAACATTGTCCAGCAATAACTGACCAAACATGGGTCTCAGAGTCAGATGGCATATCCCTAAACAGACTGATGGATTCTTCAGGTTGATGGGGACATCCGTTTGTGGGCGTAAATAGACAATGTCCTCAAAAATAACAGTTTTCGACACAGGCACCAAGGCAATCATAACTCGAATAATATGAAGACACTGCTTGCAAGAAGACCCGTTGTTATAAGTGGTCAATTCAAAATTGTCCTGCAGAAAATCTGAATTAAACTCAGGACTCCTCTTATAGAAGACAACGCCTTGTTCTAGGGCTACAAAACTGAATGAACGCACGAATGAGCCGCCTAAATAGACACCACCATACGTTGGACTTTTCGTGACATCGTATACATCCCTTTTTGCTCCATCAATCATTGTTGAGCCAATGACTACCATCGTATCATTCAGCGTTATCTTGAGGTGCTTTATTGGCACACTTGACGTTCGCTGTTCAACCCTTGTCATCCAACTGCTTCTACTTATTGTGATAGGCAGTATAATTTCAGAGTGGTGGTGAGTAACGTTGTTCTGCGAAGATACCTAAACGACAAAAAAATGCCCTCGCATGCTTGGCGAAATTCCGGCTACTTATGAAGACAATTATGGACTCACATGAAATCCTATGACGTCTATCAGACCGGCATCGTCGCTGTGCTCGTATACTGGTGTCTCGCAGCTGACCTCCCCAAGCTGAAGTTTTTTGTGCTTGCAAAATAAATTGCCGTGAGTCGGCAGCCTTTTCAGTATGAAGATGGGGTTCTTTTTGGCCTAGTAAATAAAATTTGTCTCTTTATTTTAATTGCAATAAACGGCAGCATCTAAATTAGTTATGAAAAAGAAAAAAAGTAAGGAAACAAACATGGCTTTAATGGACACAACGCGAAGCGCTAATTTTCGAGTCCACTCAATCAAGTGAAAATCTCAAGTGATTGATTCATGGGACTGCTCGATAATTCCGATGTAAGGTAGCCTCCTTTCAAAGATTTAACTTGAAAAAAAGTAGAAACAAATTTCCAAACGTGGTTCTCTGCATTACTTCAATAACCCTCTAAGACCTGACCAGAAAATCACAAAAGGCCCTTTAGAATGTTGTGGGCCCCAGCATTTGGTCTTGAACCACGCCGGAGCCACGGAATTAACTCTGGCCCGATCACGCCTCCTTGATACCCGCGATGAAGAAAAAGATAAGAGAGGATGTGGATACAACCGCTTACTTCAGAGCTCAACCACGTTGGTGTCTGTGTCGTGTGTGGGGTTTGCGCGTGTGTATTTATACCTCGGATGCGTGAGTCATAAATGCACAAACATCAAGACCTAGGTGTGAGGATAATCCAAATATCTGTGTGAATGAGGGAGGAGTTGAGGATCCGTGCGGCTGGCGACATGCTGCGGAAAAGGGAACCCTGTGTCGGAGGTGGAGCGACCGGATTAAGGGGTGTGAATAAACACGATTCACAACAAGAATTTCAGTTTTTATTAATACCGAACTTAAAACCTCAGATACTAGAAATGGCTTAGAGTTAACTAATCTCTTGTTACGCGTTTGGGCAAATATTGTAAATAAGGACATAAGGAGGGCAGCAAAATGCTCAATCTGGCTTTTAGGACAGTCGCAATCCAACCTTAACTTGACATGTGAAAGTGGTTTACAGCTAAATTCCTATTAGTAAAAAATGAATGTGATCGTGGAAATTATGAAGTATTTTATTTGGGATAGTAGCAATTCAATTCGTCCCCAATCTTTCGTCTAACTACAAAGTTACCTATGATCAACATTGCGTAGTGTGAATCGCTTTAATGAAGGTTGTGAGTCTGCATTCTTGGAGCCAATATTGATGGTTTCTCATATAAGTTATTTTGTGTGGTGTCAAACCGTTTTAAGGTTTTTTAATCGTTAAAACAATACCAAGAAGGTTGAATCAAAAATATCTTACAAATCGGCATTCTATAATAGAATGACATGATATTTTGATTCGATGAGAGCGTAAAGTTCATCAGAAAATTCTGAATACACTGAACATTGAAATGCTTACAATGAATGCTCTCTAATGTGGGTTCTTACAAAGATGTCGGTTTAAGAAATGTATCTGAGTGGGTATTAGGGAAATATTCGAATGTATTCATAAAAGTGTTTGAATAATATTACCTTCCTCGTAACACACAGAACTGTTTTTTCTGAATTTGAAACAAAGTATATACTAAGTTAACAGCCAGTTGCCAAGGCCATTCAAAAGAACGACACTAAACGATGCAGAGGTAACTAAAGCACAAAACCTCGTATTTTTTGGCAGATTTTGAAAATGTGGTTGATTTGCGTTTAACGTGGAGGCGGATTGACGATATATTTAAACCTGAAAAAAAATAGTCATTTAGACGTCTGCACTGTGAAGATAAAAGTTAGGTTCCTCGCAAGAATTGCTGCACCAGTTTAAGGAGAGGAGCTATTAGAAGGCACGTACGTGATAAGGCGTTAAGGAGGTGTCAAGCAGTTTCGCGTTTGCCAGAGCGATTTCCTGCCTCTGTCCACTTTTGATGCCAACAAGCCCTCCAAGGTCACTTTGTTGCTCCTTGTAAAGGTTGATTTTAAGCTGTATTTCACCGTCGGCAAGTGAAACAGGCTTGACAGCACCCGATGCACCATCAAGCAACGATGCCTTCAGCTCAATCGCATCAGTGAAGGTTTCTTCTCCACTAGCCGAGGTGTGCCTTGGCGATGAGCACATCAATTTGACACGACCGTGAAAAATGTCACACTACAAAATCACAAACAACAAAGTTGGCCTGGTTTCACAGAGGCATAATACAGAATAAAATATATATTTGAGTTTGATTAGTTCAACAGTTTGGCGCATTTGACAAAACAGAAAGTAATTTTTTACTTGAAAATAACATTTTAGTGGCCACCATTTCGATTCACAATACTAGGGTTTTAATAATTTATCTGTAGCAATAAGAAATGAATAATCACGAATCATTTCCACTGCCATAGGAAACACTTTTAAGGAAGCCCATTTCTAAGCAGAGCTACTTTTTATCTAAGCCCTTTAGTAAAATCAACAGTGTTTCGCATTTAAAATGCATCAATTTTTATTCCTTTTTCAAAATATTGGGATTCTCAAATCTCATTTAAAAGAAGTGCAAATGCTCAGTTTTTTCCCGCTTTTTTAAAAAGAAATATTTGATTTAATAACCCACTGCAATCACTAGTCTTGTATCTGATTTAATGTGTCGCAGAGCAGATCGGTTATTCTGGAAATCTTCATTCTTCAATCAGAACGGTCGAATGGCCAGATCGATGGCCTCCTATACGAATCTTTCATTTGTGTAGTAAACCAAAATGTGCTATTAACTTGTTATGACATTTATAGGCTACAGTGTAGCAGCACCATATATAGCTCGTCAGTTAGTTTGCAGACGGATTCAAACCAGAAACCTTTGATATTTCTGACTTGGCATAAAAAGACAGCATTTTTCATGCGGAATCTGCATCAAATGCTGCTGGAATTTAGTTCAAAAGCATAGCTTTTTCAATGTCCAATGCGACAATTCCAATGCCGACTCCTGCCTGTTTGCTTACGTTTAATTATGTTTATCCTCGAAAGAGTTGTCGCCAACTTAAAAGATTGAAAGGTAGATCAAAGTATTCTAGACCTCTGAATTTATTGAAGTTTACAGGTAAACACACCCAATGTACACAATGTGTCTGGAGGATTTATGGTTAGCCTTATTAACTAATGTAATCTGCGTTGCTGTGCTTGATCCAGGCCTTTTGCTCAAGTTTGTGTACCAAAATTTGTCCGACACATTTAGTGATCGGTGTGCAGCATTAATGTTAGAAGCTACATCTGACGGCCAGCTTATCGCCGCAACTTTTTCCATGTTAAAAGATCGATTTTGATTGAATTCTGATAGTGATATAACAGTTATGCAACCATTACTTGTGTAAATGACTCCATACGTCGAGTCGTGGTACGACGTCCAGGGCTGCTATGCACAAATTGACACAACTTGGAAGGTTTCGAAGTAGAGAAACGGACGTATAGACCCCCAGTTTCACAGGCGCCAATTAAATCGTAGGTGTCGCCGTCACTCGATACTGCGGCGACTGATTTGAGGTTTGTAATGCTAATGTTGGAAACCCTAAAACAATAGAAGATTGTGTACTTGAACAGTGCGAGCACAATAGCAACACGTTGTTAGGACATAAATAGGTTCCGTTTACTCACGATATCCTTATTGGTAAAAGAATATACTTTTATCATTTCCACCCTAATTTTATTGGCTACGAAGTATGCATTGATTATCAATTGTTCTTCAGTTGAGAACATAATTTTCCTAGTTCACAATAATTTCAAATTTAATAAAATGTATAGCTTGAAATTTACGTAAATTGCAGTGGTTTCAAGTAAATCACCGTGACGAAAGCAGTGGCGGCCTGTACTAAAGTGGGCTGACGCGAAACAGACTCGCTCACTGGGGTTTATAAAGATGTTCAGAGAATGCTTCTCTTGATTTCATAACTAACGGTTGAAGACTTAATGCAGCGGATAGAAATGGAATTTATGAATAAAAACACAATTTAAGAAATCGTAGATAAACGGAACCAATGTAATATAACAGGTATAGGTAGTACCATGCTTTGTCAGCAAAAAAAAATAATTTTCGGTGCATGCTGGTAAATTAACGGCATGTTGAATAAAAAATTAAGAAAAAATGCTCAAAAAAGAAAGCTGACCGGCTTAGATCAGCTGCCAGAAGTGTGTCACAAATTAATTTACGCACAAAGAGGAATGTTCAAACTTTGATTAGACAATTTCAAAATACCCCTGTCACTATGATACTGTTTCCAAGTCAATATTTGTACAACTAGGCCAAAATAGCTTAATTACAACTGTCTTGCATCTAAGAGCAGTAAGAGTTAAACTTGAAACAGGACTATGCACTGTAGCACTCTGTGAAATCGAGGCATGCATTTTGTTCAGCTTAGTTGTTTGTATGTTAACCAGGCACTATCTACATTCATTCAGGAGCTTTTAAATTTAAAATATTCTTGAAGTTAGTGTTTGCCTTCTTTTGGACCTTGACACACATTTTAGCAAGGTCCAAAAAGAAGGCTTGATTTTTAGAAAAAAAGAAAAGGAGTCTGTGATTTATCTAATTATTTAGACTTTAACCGCAAAGAGTTGCTCTTCAAATAGAGATGCTTTGGGAATCAAAGTTAAAGTTTCCGTAATCTTGTCATTGGCTTATGTAAATGCGACGATTAATGAATAGTTCAGACAGAGAGTGGATAACAGTCACCCAAATTTTGTGCACTCTTTTGTGGACAAATCCCCGAAGACGAGACTTAAGTCACTGTAATTTATTTGTGTGATCAGTATCTCTTAAAGATGGCCTGTGTCGCGCTTGCTCTACAACTGGATTTACGCCCATGATGGCGTTGCCACGGGTGCTTCACACGCAACAGACAGCTCAATTCTAGGCCAATAAAATTGCACATTCCCATCACCTTAGTCAATGGTTTCTCCACCTCTAGTTCCTGCTTCTTGCATTTAATGCTTCGTCCAGGTTAAATTTGCTTTTGATTGAAGTGGAGTATTTAAACGTGCTACTTGGAGCATCCGGTTTGGAATATGAACCGTCATGTACAAACGAAAACCCACAATGGGGAGATTTAAATTGATCTGTCATCATTAGCATCATCTAAGCTCAGCTACGCAAATCAACTTTGAGAGATGTGTCGACAGCATAGAAAGGTTACGATGATCCAAATAAAGCGAAACATACAAATTGAAGTAGCCTACAGCAGCCTGCGAACCAAATGAGACACTTTTGAGACTTTTCACGGGGATAGAGAAATAATACATTTGAGATTCGAAGGCGCCAAGTACCACGGTGAAGTTGAAGCCAGCCTCGGAGGATCTCCCTGCAATGTAAAAAACCTACTCGTTAACTACCTTGCTTATACTGTCTTCCTTAGTAGTTTTGTGAATATGTTAGATCTAGTAAGCAATGAAATATACATCAAATGCTAAAATGCGCGTTTTTCACTTAATCTAGACTATGCAATAGTAATATAACAGGCGAATACAGTAGAAGGCAAAATTATTGGCCATCCTGAGGTTTGACAGTAATTCTTAGGTATCTCAGAATTGTGTAGATTCCTTTGATTGTGAGTAAAATTTTAGGTCCAAAACATGAAAACCACGCTGACTTACCTCAGTACTCTTTCTATGACATTTGATATTATTAGCGACGAATATGTAGGAACTGTGAGTCTAGACAGTTTATGATGTGTAGACTCAAACTTCCCACCTTGGGTACACCCAGGGGATTAAGAAATGGAAATTGGTGAGGAGTAGTCTAGCAGAATTTCTAGAGACCAATCGCTTATATTGAGTGTAAATTATATTTCAATAACGAAAATTGTATAGATTTCCAATTTCAAGAATTATCACATCACTTAGCAATGTTTTAAGTTTAAGATGATCAATTCAGTGGAATGTCAGAACATCAGATCCTGAACAGATGAAACATCTTCCAAGTGACGAAGTCTTGGATCCTCTGAAACTGGTCTTGAGTTAGAGCCAGTTAATATCATCCAGATTGCATTTTTGCGTAGTTTGGTTAAACGTAGTCTTTTGAGATGCTAACACGACCCGAACAAACAAATTAAGGATCATTTTGCTACATCTACGCGGCATGTTTTGATGAAGTGAATACCAAATAAATCCCGTCATTTAAAGATATCGGTCTTAAAAATGTAATTAGTTTTGGCTTTACAAAACGACAGAACTAAACCATCATAGGGTGTGAACAATACAATCTAAATGATGCTAAATCATTCAGATTAGAAATTATTTATCTACCAATCGGTGACATAAATTCGTGTAGGATTGATTTTTACTAGCGATTCCTAATTCAAAGTTTGGGTAAGCAAAGACTCAAAAATTCGCGACAAGGTGAAATGAAAGCATCTTACTATCTGTTTTAAGTCGCCTATTTAGCGAGGGCTCGTCATTGTAAGCATGGAGCCTTCCAACCTTTCCCTGGGCCTCATATTCACGAACGCCCCACTGCACACAAGGAAATTGGTCAACGCGTACACACATACCCCGCAAGGACAGGTTGTTCAAGCGTTATCATTGTATCACTATTTAGATCTGGAGGAAATTGAAGTTGATGTGGTTGTACTGCTAGTCTGTCGCAACGAGGCAAGAGCCGAAGCAACCAAGTGTACCTTCAGACCGAAGTTCAAACTGAGGTATCACATTAGACATCAGATACCAGTCCTACTTTGAGTAATGTTTAATCTATGCCTGCAGGTAACGAACAACAATCGAGGTTCAATGGTCTTAACTTTAGACATTATGCAAACGTGTAACTGAACCGTTAGTCAAATAAATGGAAATTACCCATTTATTACTTAAAGCAGGTTTTGTGCTGACAACATGATCAGATGTATGAAAAAAAGCTTAAATAGCACTGCAGTTGATATACTTTAACAGGTAAGCGGCATAAAATTTCTTTCACTTGGAAACAAAAGCATGTGCGGATAATAAATTGAATCCTGGTGGGTGAAGTAACTCGGGCCACTCACCATCGTGGGAGAAGGCAACGCTCTCCTGTCGTAGATCCTGATTTGTGAATGCGTTAACAGGAGCACCTTTCCCTCCGGTTGATTTTAAGATGCCTCCCGTGGTTTTCAGGACTTTATACTTGATCACCGTTGACTGGTCTAAAATCAACGTTAACAAAAAATGCGAAATGCAAAGAGCGACTGCCTGTGGCGGTTTATTGCGATGACCAGAGCCACAGTTGCCAAGCTTCGCTAACAAACGTAACTACCTTATCCTACAATATTAGACATTGTTAACTGTTCAACGGGCTCAATGCAGACATTTGCAGGTTTAGCAGAGTACTTCAAATCACTTTCTGAAGTAGGCTAACTTAGGAACTTACTACTTTAGGTTTTACGACGTGAGTAACCACAGTCAGCGTGAATCTTTGTGTAAAAAAGGATTTAATTTTTCACGAAAATCATTTCACTAACTGTTGGGTATGCACCCAATGTAATTCTCAGTTCGCATGAATTTTCGTTACTGATGGACACTAAAAAATTACTTTAAATTATTTTCGCATGCATTTCTGGTTTGGGCCGAAAGTAAAACAGGAGCCATATTATGAAAGCCTTACCCAAACCATCTCAGTTGCCAAAACGGATGACATCATTCATAAACAGATTCACCTTTTTGAAGGACAAAAACGACCTTCGCCAATGATTCTTTTGCCATGAAGAAACTAGGTTTTTCATTCAATTTTTTTGTCTTAGTGAAACCATATTTTTAAACCCAATCCAACTCAAACGTAGGAGGCTTATGTAAAGCAAAATACCCAGTGATAAATAAGTTTGAAGATTCTGCAACACTGTAAAACGAGGAATCATCAATCAGGATTGTGTCAAGCAAGTAGGTTTTGATGTAGATAAAAAACAAATTCATAGGTTAATTCGTTTCGTATACGGAAAGTATGCGTTTTGGACACTCGTTTATATATTTGGTAAAGGTTTTACATTTTTTTTGCAATTAAGGATGTTATCAAAGATATTTTTAGTTATACTGCTAAAAAACTTTAGTAAATTCATTTTAGATGTGACCTTACCCTAGAAGCAGGTTTAAGTTTCTAGCTTGTCTGTTACTTATCCTCGACTTCAGTATTTTTAGGTTTAAAGTCTCAGTAAATTGTCGCAAAGACAGGCTTTTAACTGACTGGTGCGTACCACCGGTTTCGAATCCACCAGGTGTGATGGTTTTCTGGGCAGCCAAATGCGCGGGTGTGAGCACTACCACGGAGCCTTGCCATACTTGGGGCTCCTTTCGGCGGATTAACTGAACGGGTTTTCTCTTTGCCATGACAAAGAAAACCAACGTTCGTCGTGGTACATGTGTTTCCACCTTTCCCCGAATGATTCCTACTAGCTAGAAAAAAATGATAAAAGTGAGAGCAAAAGATTAGTTAGCCTAATGTTTTTGAAAAAAATGTAAATCAATTTAAGTCGGCACAAAAAATGGGATTTGGTTATAATTAAATTCTGTTCCACAATCAAAGTTTAAATAATGTGTGATGCGTACAATCAACCAAGGCTACATTTGCATGGATTTTCGGAAAAAACCTTTCTTCAAAAAGATTGACTATAATTTTTTGGCATTAAACAAGAGGGATTCTATGGATTCGGTGTGAGTTTCCTTTTAAAATAAATGAATTTTCGAGGCTTTTGCCTTTGGTTCTGTCGTTTAAAATGCATAAAAAATCATCTGGGAGTTAAAAAACGTACAAATCCATCAATGTAAATGGTGCATGTTGAACCAACAACCACAGATACCTTGGCCACTTAACATAAATAGCCAAAATCGAGTGAACAGAGTACTGGATATTTGCCAAATAAATAGATATTCTGCAAATTTTTCACCTGTAAGGCACCCTTAAAGAGTTACGTGGTCTAAAAGGCAGTTAAATGTTTCTACCCCAACACAATCCTTTGAAAATAGCAAAAACTTATGAATATTGTAATCGAAACAGTCTTTCAGCACTTATCCTTTTCCATGCGACTAATCGCATCATATTGTAATAGAACTTCACCTTATATTTGCCTAGACTGAGGTAGGTTAAAGGTTACTGTTGACATTCGGGTTACCAATGATTTCCACGGAACACCTGAACTTAAATTATTTAAATTCAAAACTGGTCCGTAAATAATTCGAAAGGGAGTAAGTGACTGGATCGGATGATTATTGATTAAATATGTCCCAGGTTTTAAAATACACTTCATGGGAAATAGGTGAAATAACACCTAAAAATTGCAGTACATATTTTATATAGTCCCGTGAAATGTCAAACGAGGACGTATACCTCATTTTTTGCTGTATAATTGATATTCCAGTTTGTGTTATCATCTATGTATCCATAGGCTTCTAGTGTTACAATATCAGTCTTAGAAAAAGGAAAAACAGTGATTTATATGCTTTAATTTCGGTTGTACTAATAAGACAACTTAGGGTTTAGTTCGTCGTTTTTAAATGATGATGACTCGCTGAACTCAGGGTTTGTCGCCATCAAGTGGTTGTGCAGTTAGTTGTTTGGACTCGGACAATTTTAGTTGATAGTATAAGTGCTGGTTAGCACTTGGAGCTCCGCAAATGGTTAACAATAGACACACAACCTAGGCCGTGCGCTTAAATTCTTGCGCGAGTTAATCTTATGCCAAATCTTATACATCACCACAAAACTAATTACCATAGGATCTGATTACTGAGCGAAGTGATTTGAAAAAGCCGATAAAATTAGTTTTATCGTTGAAGTCTTTACCTACACAGCGATGGCCTGCCTAAAACATTAATGGATAATCCTAAGATCAGCGGGTCCTTTAATTTCTGGATAAAATGTCATGGTGACTAATCATTCACAAACATGAATCTATGTTTACTTTATTTCGAACCAGAAAGGTTCCCAAATAAATTGTGCAGCTTAAATTTGTTCCGATGCTTTATAACATTGAAATCGACATTTGACATTACAATAATCAATGCTATTCAATTCTAACTACCAATTCATTTTATATGCACAAGTTCCCATCAACTATTGCAATATTCGTACTTGTTCTTTCTATAATTCACCCCGAACAAAATCCAATCATATCCCTTTCCCACTGCCTGCTGGTTCACCGACCTTACGCGAACGGTAGTTTTGCATCTGCCTTTGCAGAGTCAGTCAGTTTGGATTACCCTAGTTAAGCAAACTTTGTCAATATCCTAGATTTTGGCGCAGTGATAGCCAAAACGCTTGTCTATTTTGCTTGAAGATGTAAATTTACTCAAGGAAATCAATCTAACATAACGGAAATGTTAGGCATCACCATGGATACGACAAATTTATCTTAGCGTGGTTCAAATAAATGTCTAGTAAAGCATCCGTTACATTAACCGGTAACTAGGTGCATCTACTATGCATTTTCTTGAAAGCGTTATGCATTCTTTTGTAACTTTAGAAGTCCGTTTAACTATGATTTCATTCATATTCTAGTGTTAAATATAGCAATAGTCAACCATAGCAGCATCTGAGCTTATGAGAAAACGCTTTTAATTTTAAGTAAGCATTTTTACTTCAAGATATTAAATTGGAGGGCAATCTTAGCCTCAGAAAAGGTGAGATACCTAAACGTCTAATTACAGAACTGCAAGTAAGTTGGTCAACGTGGAGGGCTAGAAATGTAGCAGATCACGCGCACAAATCGCAGGCCAGATAAATAAGAAAACTTACCCTATGAAATCAATGTCTTACTTGAACTAGAGGCTGCATGATTCAGTTGAAACCACCCATAATTTATACAAGATGACCTGCACTACAAGCTACATGTCACCAAAATTGGGAAGTGTGCCTAATGATAAATGGTATATGCGCCTGGATCTGAATGATTTAGCGGTAGCCACGGGTGTATGGAGGACATGTTTCTAAACGTTGGGTGTAACTTTTCAATCATCCCAGAAGTGCTTTTTGATAAGATAAAATGATTAATTTGTGTTCATAATTTTATTTCAGATGTACTGACTGTTACAGATAAAAAAGATAGTGCGATGGGTAATGTAATATTTTCATGTTTCTTTACTTGGAGCTTTGGCATTTTTATCACCTGTTATGTGATAGTATTTCGAAATATCAATTAACAAATAATAAGTACTCTGGTCATGTAGAGCGTGGCTACCTTTGCTTATTTTAAGCCAGTAGTTTATTTCGAGTCAAATTAGTTGTGACAACCTTTGTTAGTAGAGCTAGCTCTGCAATATCTGCTCTCAGATTATGCCCTCAACAACTGTCGTCTTCTGCGTTTTCCGAACCGTTTAATTGAAATGAAAATAATCACTCAGAAAGGCTAGTTATTCCAGGGAACAGGATGGTTAACATGTATTTGAAAATGTCGTAAAATTAATTAACGTAACATATCCACTACCTTCTAAGTATTAGATGTTCATTTGTCACTTTCCAGTGACCCTTAAGAGTCAGATTTCATTGATTACTTGTATGTGCATGGAGAGTCATAAAGCTAGCAGATATTCAACGCCATCAGTAATCCGGATTCTTAACTTTGCTATAGTCTACGTGAAGGTTGAACTTAAACTGCTCACCGACTAAACTGGCTGTCAGTGTCAGAATATTGAAATCACGGAAACAAAATTCAGAAAAATCTTACGGTCACACTAGCGTAATCGCACGATTCGTCTCCATTATGTGCAAAGTACACATCGTCCTCTTGAATATTCTTCCGCGAAAAGATTTCGATTCGTCTATCGAGCCTATAAAAGACACCCAAAATCATTTAAAGCAAATTGAATTGACTTTATACTAAAGGGGTGTGGAGCGCGAATTTAAGCCAAAATATTATTCAGCAAATTTTAAGTTAAATGCGTTTAAGTGGCAGTAAAATTAAAATTACGTAAGACAACTTTTTATTTTGCATCCAAGTTGTTTCCAATACGGAACAGAAATATGCTGATAATTGTGATGCGACTAATACCTTGATCGGACAAAGGCTACATATCCAACAACACTGAACTCTACCGAATTTCGATCGAATCTGTCCTTATAATGGCTATGAGACAGGGTCATTTCAGCTAAGTTTAAAGTGCCATACATATGTTTCTACTGCAAAATTTGGTTTCTAGCACTTTTTTTTAACCCGTTGGGTTGCAAATATGTGTGAGGTAATTTGTACGAAGCACGCAATTGTGATCTCAATTTCAACATCTGCATCTAACCATTTGATCCCGACTGCCTACTTTCGATGTGTCTACTTAAATGGGTAATAACATTAGCTTGTGTGCTGCTTTAACGATTAGAAAGAGGAAGACGCTTCCAAAAAGGGAGGAACTGTCTGCTTTCAACAATGCACTAAAAAAATACAACATTTTGTCAAGTTCCTTAAGATCAATTAATTTAGCAGCGGTGTTGCTTACAAGAAAACCAGGTCAGAATTAAGACCACAAGATTGGGAAAATTTTAGTTGTATCATTTCAAACTAAATAGGTTCGAATGTAAAATAACAGAGCTAATGAGGGCTGTAGCCATTGTTGTGGTGGCCCAATTTGAATTCACGAGACAAATTGTGCTCCAGTTACTGTGGAAAGATTAAGCCGGAATTAATCCTCAGTTCGGTCTTTTTAATTGCCAAAATTTAGTCCACAATCATTGACTTTATAAAAAAAGGCATTCGAATTTGGTTAGCCAATGCTACGCTTTTAGTATGCTAAGTTTTCGAGTAGTTAAATGTTAAAAGCCTTTTTTAGGAAGCACTAAAAGCTGACCAACGGAAAATCATAATTCAAAATGTTACCCGGCATGCACGGATATCTCACTACAATCCGTCAGTCGTAATAAACCCTTTTAAATATTGGTAAACTGCGCATATTTAGGATCACGTTAAAACATTTGCCACCTAACCGTTCGGTCGCTATGTAATCAAAATGTTTTTACTCATTTTAATGAACAACGTTTCAATATGAATTCATTCGAATCATTTTTAAAAGTTAAGCAATATATTCTTCTGTGCAGTTCCTTTGAGAAATTTTCGATTTTCCTTTCCAAAACCTACTAGCACCTCAGGTCATTGTGACTTGAAATTCTATCGCTCCAGCAGGGATTGAGACGTTTTGACTTTTCCAATGGATTTCTAAATGTGTTGCATTTGATTATATTCCGTTCGATTGTCAACTTTAGCCATTTATTTATCTACACTTGGCAGAGCCTGGACTTGTTAATTTTTAGCGGCACTATTTGTTGTTAATTCACATAACCAAACATGTGGTCAAGTGATGTTTTGCGTCCGCTTTGCTTCATGATTCAAAAAATTTCCGATCTAATGTACCAATATTTTATCCGCACCTGCAACGCTGATGTCATAACAGGCTAGACTTCAGAGCAGTAAATCGTCTAATAGAAGCACTTTTCCCATTTTACCTTGTTTCAAATAGAACTTAGACCATGGCTTGTGAATACTTTATCCATTCCAAATATGTTCGAAGCATTTGTTAAAAACGAAAAAGTAAATAATCTCCGTCGTCTGAATTATTTTTGAATGTTCACATATTTTCCATAAATCCACCTTCTGTGAAAGGCCCTGAAGATGTCAAATCCATGTCCAACCACAGCTGTTTCATAGGATTTGTGTTTATTGAACAGTGGAAATGGTGGGCGGTTCCTCCAAGACAGGGGCATCTCAATAAATTCCATTAGTGCCGCTATATATTCGCAAACCAAGTTACTCACAAATGCCTTGTAAATAGGCCTTAAAGGCAAGGATTTTACTTAAAATACGAATTCCATAGTGTGTAGTACTGGTAAAATTAATATTTTGACGCTTTTATTATGGCCCCAAACTCCTGAGACGACATTTCTAAGCTGCATACAGGATTTCGAAATGAGAACGCCCACTGGTTAAAGGCCAAGCCTTTGATCAGTGTGTCAGTTGATTTAGTAAGGAAGGCTCTAGTGAGTCCTTGCATGGAAAAGGTTATTATCTGGCAGTTGGTCTCCTTGATGGCCTGAGGTGTCCGGTTACAGCGGGAGTGTAACTGCCAGTTTTTCAAGGCTCTCTTAAAATAAGGCCTATTAACTGTCAGCTGGTGGGAATTATTTTACTTTCTTGCGTGCTGCATAGCCATTACTCCTATCCAGTGTCCTTTACTGCCCCAAATTTACTCTGGTTCCTGTGGCATTAAATTGTGAATATTTCAACATTCCTGGAACACCTCACTTGTAAGCAAGTTTTGACGCAAAAAGCAGCGGTTACGCCACCTTGTAAACACGGTAGCATTTTGTTGTTTACTCTGATACTTTGCGAGTTATAGATTATAGTGATCGCATAAAATTTCAAATGTTGCTCTCATAAAATGGAGCCAATAATGACTTTTGTCGGCTAGATAGAAAAAAGGATGGGTCCACTGTAGTTAATATAATCCAAGCATTCCCCTGGATTCTTAGACTACTATGTAGCTTGGGTTTTCTTAATATTGAGATAGATTTACTAAAAGTCTACAGTATTATTGACACGTGCATTAAATACTAATTTCGAAAGTAACACAATTCATGCATAACAAAAGGTATACGTGTTCTCTCAAGCAACGGAAATTCTATTCTTGGAACACGTACATTTATTTAAAGAATTTGAAAGTTAAAATAAGCAAGTGGTCCATGCATTTGAAATTTATATATGGTGTCATAGACTATTGATTTATCGCTGACGGTAACTTTGAACCCCAGTCCTTTGACCAATGTCTGGTCTGCACGTGCAAAGGCAATGTTCGAATCTTTTAGTTAGACGTTTAGAAATTTCCGGGTTAATACTAGAGTATTAACTGAAAGCTTAACGATAAAATAGAAAAAAATTGGCAAATGAAACAACTTGGAAGATCACATTAAAAACACAAACCTTTTTGAAACAATCATCCCGCAAGTTGGATTTTCCTTAACTAAGAAAACTTGATCATTTAACTGTGTTGTTTGTTGAGCGTCAGAAGAGGATTCAAACTCGAAAGCACTGCACGAGATAACCGGCGACTCCCCACCTTCATCATCAACTTCTGCTATGTTCAAATTGGAGTCCTTCAGGGATACTTGTTCGCCGACAGTCACAGTTAAATTCCGGAACTGTCAGGGGTAAACATTCAGAAAATCAATCAATCAATCAATAATCAAATTTCATCCCTCAGGATTGTGGATAAACTCCAGATTTAGACATAAAAACGCTATCTGCCAAATAGTTATAAATGTTAATTTTGCAAAACTGGATAAATTATAAGCTGATTGCTGCGTCTAACGAAAATACTAACATCAATTCGATAAGACTTGTACCTGAACAGTAACAAACATGCACCCAATTTAGGAGTGAAACAATCTTTATACCCGCATCCTATATTAGAGCTGGAAACCGCCAAATGTGAAGAGACGAAGGAATTATTAGTAGCGACAACGGTTAAACAAGTAAAATTCAGTGGCAGCAGTGAATGTTTAAGTTCGAGGCTTTCCTTAGGGTGAACTACGAGAAAGTACTTTGAAGTGCATTAAGGGCCAAATGACAAAGATTTGTTTGTTCAGCCCGCGTTTCGGAAACACGGCTTAGACCACTTTTTGGCAGTTATCTTGAGTAGCTTTAGCAAAGGTAAACAGCGTAATACCTTAACGCAAACTACGTCAAAAATGAAGTTTAATACCAATTTCTTCCTGCACTTTGTGATGCACAGTTTGTTTTGCTGTTTTTCTCGCTTTTCATAAGCTGCACCAATTTGTGTGACAAATGCCTTTTAGTACTCATCCATGGAGCAAGGCGAATAAGGACGCGAGAATTAATTGGGCATTCGGTTTGGAATCCCTCAAGCTTGCAACTTTTGAGACTAGAATATTTTCACACCATGATATAATGAATTTTGTGACCTTGTGAGCCTGTATGGAAGTGCTGGTCAGATTCGCCCTTGTGGATTCTCATTTAAATCCATATATTAAACTACATCAAAAAGGAACGACATTTGATAGAGATTACGCGACTGTACTGACAGCTTCTTCAGCTAGGTTACAATGTCAAATTCTTTGCCTGAAATGAACGTTATTCAAGTATGCCATTGAGCATTTTCTTTCAAAATTCTATGCCGCACGGATATAACAAAGTCATGCATAATTTTTGGTGTAATTTGTCCTTAGTAAACTATAAATAACTCACTTAACAGTGATGACAAACGACTTCATAGTTGTGCATCAAAAACAAAGAAACAAATTTCCAGCAAAATAACTACTAATTACTCGATTGTAAGTATTGCATAGAACAGAAAATAATTATAAAATGTTTTAAAAATGCTTAAAGCTCTTGAAAAATGAAGGTTTGGACATTTTTGAATTCCACGTAATGTGCTATTGCGCTATTTTGCCTGAGTTTTCATGCCAGTCTGCGCATATGAACCTGGTTATATTAGTAATGCGCAAGACCCTTAATTACTAGCTTTGTTGCCACTAAAAACCCTTGCAAGTAAGTCTGTATGCCAAGCGATGAATTATGTTTCAAAGTAAGAAAGTTCCCTACCTCACACAACATATATTCTATCATTTAATTAGCACCATTTTATCAGTAATCCGACTTTTGCGTGCAGAAATTGGGTGTTTGTGTGCGTTTTTTTTATTAGTCTTACCGAAATCGTATGCCGCCTGGAGCTAAGGAAAATGTGAACAATGTGCGGTTGGCCATACGTAGTTCCTCGGGTGTTTGTGATGTGTTGCAAAACATGGAGTTGGTGGTCCGTCCCATCTTTATTACTCATAGAGGGAATGAAAAAGATCCTGCCAGATGTAAGGTCACTACCGGAGAAGGTCACCACATTATCTATGCGAAATCGGGAGGCAAACATCACTAATTTTCCATGGCTTGGAACCTATAAATTAAACAAAATGCTAATTCAGCGCCCTTGTATGTAAGCAATAGTGGTTACAAAATAACTGTAAATAGCAAAACGCTGTAAATACCTCACTCTCAATATCTTGTTATGTAGTAGTTGCACGTGCACGTTGTGTAATTATGAATAGTCATAGTTTGCGTCCTTATACATCAGAAGTGTTAGATCTCAAATGCACTACAATTGAGGCACAGGATATTGATTAACAAGATGTTACACAGAACGCTTGAAGTGGATAGTAACTATTTTACACAGCCATTCTAAGGGCTGTTCTAATATCATCGAAGGCTCTGTGTGACTCGAGAATGTTGACACGAATCAAGGCCTATTTTTTGCTAAAAAAAACTGTGATTTTTTGAAGTTATCTTTGCTTCACAATTAATATGGCTCCCGGTTTGTTTAATTTTGGCTACAGGAACAAGGAGCAGACACACAGTTCATACTTTTCATCCGTTTTTCGTAAAACCATAGACTGTAAAAACCTCACATCTCCAGTTTTGGAAATACTTTCGGCATTATTTAAACTACTATTTTAGAAATATGCAACTATTTGCAATAATTCAAAGACCAAATGTGCCATCCTCAAAACAACTTAAAAAAGTGGATGAATTGACCAAGTCATGCTAACATTTTCTTTAAACTTAAATATTGTCACCCCACATAAAGTAAAGATAAAACTATCTTCATGCGACTTAATCACTCCGGTTTTTAATCAAAAGGTTGTATTTAAAAATCGATGAATGCTGCCAGACCGTTTTACTGCCAGGAGTAAGCAAATAATTTTTTATTAATTCTCGCCATATTACAAATACATTAACGACACGTTGAAATAGGAAGGACAATGAAACAATGCAGATATTGCAATATTTTCGCCTTTGCGTGTCAGAATTTACTCGAAAAAAATAAAAGTGATCAAGTAAATTTAGATTTAACCGTTGCTTACCAAAGTAATCTATGTATGCATTGCTAGCAATGCATACATTTTGTGTTGAATACTGAAAACTACGCTTGCAAAACCTCGAAGCTTCTTAGTTAATTTCATCCAGGGCACTCAACAAACCCTAATTTTGTGTATATTTAGTGTTTTTGTGCAAAAATGACTACAGAGTATGAATGCCATAAGACGTTTACAACCAATTTATTAACCGAAATAAACCCAACAGTTCCTGACAAGTACGCAGGAGAGTTATCGCAACAACTCATCAGTACAGTTCCCCTTTCCATTTTTTCCGAGTACAACTTCGTTTTAAAAAAAAACTCTTGGTTCGGCTTCCCGTGACAAGTTCACCCATTCTGATAAATATCTTAAAATGACTTCTTCGACAACGTAAAAGCCAAGTCAGCTGCTTGCTTAGACAACCATTCTGTTTTCCAATTCTAAGTCATTTAGCCACTTAATAAACTCTTCTTCACATGGAACACTATTTTCACCATCGTAGTAGTCAATCCAGGACTCACCTTTACCTAAACACTATCAAGTAACACCTTGGTTACCGCATTTCAGCTGTGGCCAAGTCAATTCTCTCATCGGGCTAATTTTGCCGTACTTAACTATCTCTTGGAGTATTCTTACCTAAAGTTCTTGTTGAAATAGTAAACGGTGAAGCAGACAGATTTTCAAATCCTCGGTGAATGGCGTCAATCGCAAGTGGGCTTCATTTTCTCGCCTAATCCACCACACGTACAATATTTGCCTCAATTGTTGAAATGGTTGGCTTGCACCCCAGTTCATCACCGCAAATCCCACTGCTATTCTCTGCGGAACACTTAAGCCTGGGCGTGAAGACTGGCATTCTGTAGAGCATAACTGCCACAGACCGTTGTGGCAACACGTGCGTATTTTACTTACGCGACACGCCTGATCAAATCACCGAGTTCAAAATGCTTGCCTAAATATGTTTTGTCTTCAAGCTCCGTCCAAACTGCATTAACACTTTTCTACTCATTTCAGTAAAGTTATGTGAAATTCGACTCATTGTTATTTTGAAAGAGCAATACCTAAAGCTATAACTATGATCTTAAAAGGTAAACTTGACTTACCTTTAAAACAGTGTAACGCGATGAATCCGACAAGTCCGTTAGTTGGGGTTGAAATATATCGCGCAGCTGGACTGGACTTCTTGAAACGTGAACCTCGTAGTGCTTGGTTGGACCGGGCTCAACGAGATACATTGTGGAGTTAATGCGCCGAGGCTTGACTAAGGGTGCATCTACACGAGGATGAAACGTAATGCGTCCCAAAGCCGACAAATCTTCTAGTATGAGCCTCACTTTTACCTCCACACGTCCACTCCACTGAGGCCGCCGTTTGACAGCAACATCAACTTCCAGGGTGAAAGTATCGAAGTTTTCAACGAAGAGAACTGTATTCCAAAAACTGCTTCTCACCAGATCTTCCACGTTTGCAATGCTAAACTGTAGTATTTTGGAAGAAAAAGATAACCATGAGATCAAACGTCAATAACTGGTAATAAATACAGGAATAAAATGACAAATAACGCTTTGATTTTGTAATTTATTATCTCCATTTGTAGATATGCATCGTTCATTTTAGAAAAGTTAATTTTCGGGTGAAAATGTTTCTAACATTTAGTCTTATCATCCTTTTTTTCTATTAGGCCGTTGGTTCTACTTTTAGTAATTCATGTTACATCATTTTAACATAGGTATGAATAAAGTGTCTTACATTTGAATAATGAGACCTAAAACGTGCTTATAATGTAAAAAAAAACCCAACAGATTTAGTATGTGTGCATTCCCTTCCAGTTGGAAAAATAACGTAAACGATAATTTCAAAATGGGAAGCGTTTGAATGTCAATGGCCCTAAACTGTTTATTAATTCTGCTGATTCCATTCTCGTCATTTATTTGGTAAGCTGACCTGATATTTTACACAAATATCAAACAAAATGCACATTAGTTCCAAGAATTTCATAGGAGGGGTGTGAAGCGTGTTATTTGTTTACCTATTCAACCGTGGTAGCTTTGTGTTGCAATACGAACTACGGTGAAGACAGTAGACACGAAAAAACAAAACTTACCTCTCGGTCTCTGATAGGTTTACATTGCCAATAAGCAAGACTGTACCTAAGCACAACTGAATAGTTGAAATTTGCAGCAGGAAGACCGTCCGACAGCAAACACCCGGACGTTGGGGGCCAAACCACCCGAATTTGGACGTCTTCGGGGTTGACGTCCACGCTCATGACTATCTAAAGTAAAAGCGAATGATCTCGTATCCCAAAACTGAGATATGTCTTAAGACATCAGGAACCGATGGATGCACACAAAGTCGAAGAGTATTCCTAACCGTGCATTTTAGAAGTTATATTGACTGAATATCTGGCAACCGGCATTCGGGTGGTTTGTGTAGTGGTAATTGATGGATTGGTGAGTTAGTCTTTTGGCTTGGTTGCGTAAAATAAATAAAAATTTTAAGATAATGAACTTGCCTGCATTATTATTTATATACTGCTCATTTTGCATAATTAACGCCGGCAACGTAATGATTCATTATTTTTTGACTGTAGACATCTTTAGTGTCCGAAGTCTCCTTAAAAACATATCAAAACGCAACATCTCTGTGAGCTCACCAAATTAGCATTCCGAAAGTTTTTGATACAACCCAGCCGTTGACGAGATTTGTGTTGATTTTGGCGGATGTTTTGCAGACTGTTCACTTGTATCCCCAATGGTAACTCGTTTGAAAAAAATGAGGATTGAATGCCGTTCCAAATTTCTGTCACATGCACTGATCAGGTGCACTAAGCGAAATTCTGTTTTGGGATTTGTGAAATGTCAATTGCATTAAGGGTAATTTTAACTGTTTTTTGTGATCATTATCTCACATGATTAGGTGACACTTCAATTTCTTTTCATATTTTGTCGGTTTTAACTATTGTTATTTTGTATAATTTTAGTGTTTTCGAGATATGACAATGAACTAGACCGAACCTCATGTTGCTTTAGAGTAATGTTGAAGGTCATTTTATGTGCTTCTGATTAAGCACCCAACAAATCAATTGTGGGTTTCACAGTATTTGCTCACATGTCCAAAATCGTGCATTCTGATATCCTCACCGCCTTAACCTCAACCACTCATCAGCACCGACTCAGGTTAATTACGCAAAGACTAATCCATGCAAAATACTCCACATAAATTTCAATATCTTCCAGAGCCCCCGATGGGGGTTTTCTAACGTTGAGTGGTTAAAAACTTTATCATTCACATCTGCTTCGCCCTAAGTATTGTGTGAAAGTCTCGCAATCCAAGGCCTAAATACGAAAGTCTGGCTCTATAAGAGTTAACATCCAATTTTCCTTCACTGGCAAAGTGTAACTTCATATGCTAATGATTTTAAGTGAATTGTCATAAGTAGTTTTCTTTACAAATAACGCCAAAAGTTAGACTTCAAGACTAGTCTTTCACTGACGCATTTATTTCTTTGCATTGCGCAATTAATTGGACTGTTGTTAGGCTGCTGTTATGTTCGTATTTTGGCATTGTATTATCAAACTGAAACCACCTTTTACCACCCATCTTTGCATTATTGATAGTTAGGCGTCGACTGCCTCCCTGTTTTAAAATAGAACAGAAATATGGCAAAACACCACATACACTAGCACAACATAAAGTCCACAGTAAGAGAGCACATCGATCTTGGCAGTACCGACGAGATGAACTCAGTGGCGGGGTAGACAATTTGAGGCTCTCCTTTGGAATGTCGTATGTGTCATCGTTGTAAAAGTGTAAAAACAGTTTCAAATTTGTACACTTAATCTCAAGCAACTCTGAGACTTCTGTGGAATGCCCTAAATCCTGGGGAACACAGTTAAAGCCGTAGATCAACTTTTATTACGAAGCGTTATAAAATCAAAGCAAATTGATCCATTACTAACTTCTGAAATTCCTATAGACTCGCTTGCAAAACATAAAGGCCCAATATTAGAATCTATTGATAAAATCGTAAGATCAATTCTTGTCATATTTTAAATGCGCTCGATGAAGTGTTACGCAGGTTATTTTTGCTAAAAATAGTTAAACTGTTAACATTGATTATGCCAGAGAAGTTTCGTGTTGATTGCGTAGTACCCAGACTGTTATACTAACATGGACTATTGATGCTCCGATAAGTAATTATCTTACCCCAAATAAAGCAGTGTTTACGCAATTTGTTAACTGAAAAAGTGGTAGTTTATGACACGACGGAAGCACTTAAATATGACATATTTTAAAAGAGGAAAACCCTGATAGGAACATGTTTAAAGGGCTACGTTCTTATGCTTAACGCGCACACACTTGTCAGCCATGATTTCAGCAGAACTAAAAGGTTTTATTGAGGCTCTCTATGGTTTGCAAACATACTTTTAATTTGTTGCTTCCTTATATTGCTGGGGCCCATAAATTATTAACTATTTCATTAGCTTTTATTTAGACGTAAGTTAACGGGTAACATTGCAATGCCAATACGCGTACATTCGTGACTATTAGAAACTTCGTAACCGCTAATGGAGCAACTTAACGGTACACTGAATGGTCAGTACAGAATTACAAACAACTTGCCTTAAAAAATATGTGTGACGTTCCGTTTCTCGAAACTGTAATTGATAATTGTTTCTGCAACTGGACGATAAGTCTTGGCGATTCAACATTGATTTGTTTGTGAAAACTGAAGACGCCATCAGACAAAAGGCAGCTCAAACAAAAGCTGTCAGTCCTGTCAGGCGTAAGGGAGATTAAACTTCGTGGAAAGGTGGGCAAAATAATGATCGACGAAGACTCCCCCTTGGTTTGCTCACTAAAGACGCCAGTTGAACAGTCATCGTTTGGTTGCCGTTGGGAGCATGACAGGTAAAGCCGGCTTTGTAACAAAAAAGGATCCTGAACGGGTTTTACTTTCAGGCTCCCATCGTGGACTTCTAGGCTGAGTTGAGGGACATGGTACCGATCCGGATTGATGCGGATCTGAAACGTCTCAACAAATGTGCTTCCCAGTGGCAAGACTCCCTTTAACATTTGCTTTAGAATTAATAGACGCGAAGGTAGCATCCGGCTAGAAATGTTATCAAAGAGGCCTCTTGTGTCTTGGCAAAATATACGAAATCTGAATTCGTCGTTCAGATCAGGTGAAGCGTTGTTTGTGTAGAGGAGCACTCCTTTATTTAAAAGACTCACAGGAAAGAGACGTGTCTCGATTGCACAGTTTGTGTCTGGTTGAACAACGTGTAACCTTCCACTGCGTGGACTTTCAAACAGTTCCATTATAAACTCGAATTTCGGTGGTGACTTTAAGGTAACTGAGTTCCAATAGAGGTTCAGCTTTGCACAGTAATTTTCCTTTATATCAATTAGAGGGCGGACGATAGGCAGAAATCCATCTTTGTGGACAAAGCCCAACTGTTTATGGAGACCAAGGGGAAGGTTCATGAAAGGTAAATCAGTTGTTGAATCTTGGCTTGCCTCGAGCACATCAATGCTGAAAATGTGTTCGTCTGTGGGTCTGTAGGAATGAACATGTATGCGGAAACGAAATTCATCTCGCACGTAAATCAGACCCTGTTCAATTTGAAATTTTGTAGTTGACCAGTCCTTTATCACCCGCCTGAATTTATAGAACAGCTGGCCAGAATTGATTTCACTTTGCCTGAAAACAGATCCCACTCCTAGGTATACCTTATCTTCATCTTTCAGAAGGTATACATGACCATGTTTGGGCATCTTGACTAACGTGAAGTACACGGTTTCAGATGATTGTTCGGGTCTTGTTTTAGCCTCAAGGTTCCATTGAGTAATACAATTGCCGAGTGACGAAACCTTAGATGTTTTTCTAAGGCTGTGGAATATTGTAAGGGGTCCATTGCGTGATAAAGTTAAGTCAATTCTGCTGAAGTTCACGGGTAAGGTGAAAAACCTACTTTCACCTCGGTTGATGTTATGAATAACCTGGAATGTTATCACGGCCTGTAGGTCGATTTTACCGTTTTCCGGCTGGAGGATATTTGCTTCATAGCGAATATTTCTTGCCAAAACATCCTGACCAGAGAACTCCAGTACCTTGGTCCAGGATTCAATCCTGTCTCCTTGCATATTGTAATGGAAATTTCGCTGCTGAACCACACCTATCGATACACTGACAATTCGAAATCGATAGGATTGGATTTTTAGTGGGGCAAATGAGGAATTTGCATGCGGCAGAAGAACACCAGCCGTTAGAATAACAAAGTCAACTGGTTTCACAATTATCGCGGGGAGCAAATGTGGTTCGTCTTGAAATTCTGGCGTGAGAGAGAGGGTGCTGGCGATTTCGCTGAACCTTCTAAAACATAAAGGTGCATTTTCGACCCTATCGAGCACATGCATTAACAATTAATAAGCCTTCTCAAAGAATTCTATCTGCATTGAACTGCAACCAGTGGTGAATCAGCCAAATCAACTAGTAAGAACACGTTTAACTTTTATCAAACTTTCAATGACTTTTTCGATGTTCAATTCTAAGAAGTCATTAATCCGTCCATGATTGACCTCGGTTGACAATTTGCCATTAAGGAACCTTAACAAACTTTTTGGGAAATTAATATGATAATGATCATCACTAGGTAGGAAGTTAGATGGCATTAGAGTCCGAAATCTGGGACTTCTGAAATTTTAACTTTTCATGCATTAGTGTGTACAAATTTCTTTGATGTTCGAATCAAAATTTCTAGTTTCGGATCGCATCACTTGAACCTCAAAGCATTCTCTTTCGTAGCATCGTAAAAACACACTGTGTTCCCGCTTCGCTTGAGGTCAACTTTAACTTCGTCTATGTTATTGTTAATCTTGAATTTACCTCTTAAGCACCGAGCGTTTAATGTTTACTAAATTGACACTCATAATTCAGAATAAAATTGCAGATGAAAAACTTTCCAACAATGTTGGCATTGTTGGGCTTTCTTCGTACGTGTAAAAAAACCATTTGACACTTAAATCATGAATAAATTTAAACTGTTTTTTGTTTACCTTTGGCGACGGAGCAGTGGAAAGTTGAGGCAGATTAAGTAATAATCCTTGGATTTATTCTCCTTGTCCAAATTTTTTAGAAGCATTTTACCTCCGGTGGCACCATTAAGTTCTTCATTCTTCTGATAATGGAATACATGGATTTATAAGCTTGGAACAGGCAGATACTACGGATCTTATAGACAGTCATCATCGCAAATTTACCATGAATAATATCCACTTGAAGAAAATGAAGACGAATCGAGAAACCAGAAATTTTCAAGTAAAGTTTCTGTTACAGCCATTGACACATAGCCAGTATTTTACTTAGTTGGCATACGATACAATTACTTGGCTTTATTTTTTTTAAATTTATGTGTATCAGCTAGGAAAAATGACCAGAAACATTGGCAGAAGCCAAAGCCCAAAAATGGTGGAAAAAATCACTGAGAATGTTTGCGTTAAAATCAAATGCAGCTGAAATGAGGAAGTGGCAGATTCTGAAATGATTGATGAAGTCACAGTTGGCGAATAAATGAAGTTTTATGTCAATGATCATCGAGCAAAAGCAGTAAGAATGATTTTGCAAATTAATTTGTAGCTGCTTAGCTCCAATTTCACACTCTTGATTTAACCTCATTCTTGTTTCTTTAAGTCACCCAGTTTGATCGAAAATGAACCACATTATACAACCATTTTAACCCTCGTGTACGGCTAAATCTTTACTTGCATATAACGCAGAATGTTGTCACCGGAGTAAGTTCTAATTTTTCAATTAACGCTCGTACACTTAGCAACCAAATTTCGTTGAGCTTTCTGCCAATGTTATTTATTTTAGTTCTCATTGGTAAAACGTTCTTTGTCATTTTAACAACGTTAAAACCTAGACTTAGTAAAAAACACAGCTTTTGATTTTTTTTCCTTATCATCATTAAAATTACCCAGCATCACGGTATTGTATAGCAAGGCAGATGCCGTGTTAGCTTAGTTTTAATAAAAAGAGATACAACTTAATACTGATCCTCGTTCATAACTCAATCTTTAGCTAAACGTCTCCCGGGCTGCAACTCTTGAGGTGCTGTTACTAAAGCACCTAGGAGTGATATTTAAAGACGAAAGCCGGATTTCTTAAAAGCGAGTAACTAATTCGTAAATCGTTATTACTTTCAAGCCTCTGTCAAATACAATCAAGCGACCGCAGGTTTGCTTAAGCAAAGCTGTATTTTAGTTGTCACCTGAATTTGGCTTCATCATGGTCCCCTAAACCTAGCTAGTCTATAAGCATCCAAGTGTTAAGTCAAAAAAACCACATTATCACTTAAGAGAAAAGTCAAGATTTTTTTTCCTTATGCATAGGTGGTAGTGCTGACAACTCAATATAGACAAGTTTGTTTAACTATATTAGAAATTTCTATTTTTCAGGGACTTTTAATACCCGATGGCATGTCACCTCAGATGTGAACAATTTCTAAATTAACAGTTTATAGCAATCGTCATTGGGCGACATGAATAACCGATAGACAACCTGTCAAGAACACCCCTGTGCTTCGGAAGCTTTCATTGGTGGCCATCCTCGAGTTTTTTGGGTTTCAATTGATTTGAGCTAAACACCCACGTTTGGACAAAAGCAATTTTTTTCTGTCGGCTTTCGAACGTCTACCCATGTTACGGATTTCTCCAAATTCTGTTTTTACTTTGAGTCAAGTTCTTATAGTACTTATGGATGTATATGCATTGTGGTCCCAGTTATTTTTAAAAATACTTGTGTCTGGCAGCTTAAATTTCGCCGTGTTCTGGAAAATGGATGGGTTCACTACACATTCTTCATCTGACATGGTATCTCTAGGAGCCTCAATGGCAAATGGGAGCATTCCATGAGTCATGAAAGATGTGAGGTATGAAAAGCTTCCTAACATTTAACCCACGAATTCCACCATCTCCTAGCACAAATATTTTGTAGTAACTGCTGATCTTATATGCTTAATGAAGGGTGTGATTGAAATGCACCAACTACATCACGATGATAAACAAGCAACCTTTAGGCCAACTGTAAACCAAATTGCTGCAATTTGGATTTCGGTTGCATTTAGGAGGAAAAAAGCCAATCTGTTGACTGTCTAGTAATTGAATAATTCCATGTTTAAGCCACAGAAATACTTAATCACAATTCCCTAATTTTTCGCAAAGAAGAAAAGAGAAAAAATTAGTCATTTTTTACGCCAAACAGCTGACAGTATATTGCACTTTTTCTACCTATTCACGTCTATCGAACAAGAAAATCGGAAATAAGCCGTAATAATTCATCTTCTCCTTATAAACCCACGACATGTTAACACATTTACAGAATAAATCTACTACGGTCATATTGCTAGATGATAAGTGATAGGGTCAGCCATCAAGTCTCCAATTTTGGCGCATGAAAACCCATGATTCCAAACCGGCATTTTGTTAATGAGACAATTCATCGTAGGTCTTGGGTTAGTTGATTCTACTTTGGAGTGATCATGTTTACATAAACAAGGACTTATCAATATCAAGATGACTTACTCTGCTAACCGTTAAACCGATATTCCTGCTCTGAATGAACCCCTGACAAGTCAGATTTTCTGTGTTGGTTTTGAAAAAAATCATGCAGTGTGTAGGTCGTCTTGAGCACGTCAGAAATATTCGATTGTTGGGCAGAACGTCAAGATGTCGGAAAGTAGATGTGGCTTGTACAATTTCAAAAGTTCCTCCTTCGCAGGAACAAAGTTCTGGGTTAAAGTGGCTCCAACTTTCCACCAAATCCAAAAGCGTAAATAAATAAAGGACTAACACAGGTCTTTTGGCCAAAATTCTCAGGAAAATGCCTTGCATCACCCTCTGAATTGACTCACTTCATGAAGCCTATCAGTGTGTGTACCACGTTTCATGCTGGACAAACTTTTTAAGCTTGCACAATCTGTTGGCTTCTTGGGAGCACATTCGAGGAAATCATTGGATAACGAAACATGGAAGTTGACCAATGATATCCTGAAAATTGGCGGAGTTAGAATAGCTTCATTTGATTGGTTGATCCGTAATCCTTATTAGTACGTATAAAACAGAAAAAGTTGAATCATTTCGTTCCCATGATGCGTAGTACCCTTTCGCTATGAGACCATCTTCATTTTCATTGAAAGATTGAATTTGCAGGCTATCTTTAAAAATGATGGCAGTCTCTAATAGTGAAACGTACATAAAAAAATCACGTTAGGTATTATTCTCTAATATAGGTTCAACTGAATAAGCATGTTCATTGTTGCTAATATTTTAGGGAAAGGAGTGCAAAGAGCTTCTTCAGTATTTATATTAACAAATCTATGCAAGTAGAATTACCTATCAGTAACTTTTAACCCTGACTACAAGACAATTGACCAATATAAGCTATGCTAGTATTGTGGTTTAATGTATTGTTGTATCATGTGTACTTACAGTGGGCGATAAGCACAAATTAGGCCAGTAAATTCTTCGTAATTCAAGGGATCGGCATTAACTAAAGATTAAGTCCGAATATTTTTAGCGAAAGTAATTTAAACCAGCATATGCCAACCTCGTACCCCAACACGCCTTTGCTCAACTTGCTGTAAACTAAATTAACGTAAATTACGTTCCGAAGTCTGGCAGTCAAGGCATGACTTTGATTGGTTTTGAATTCGAAGCTGGGAAACAGAAGTAAACAAAGTCGCGACATATAAAAAATTTTGACAACTTTCCTTTATCAGTCATGGTTAGGGTCCCTAGCCCAGCCGATCGTATCAATCTTACCGTGGAGTTAACTTTGTCAATTTACCTTGCACAACCTCCGTTCCCTAAACATAATCAAAGCAATTTAATTTAGGAACTTCTCAACTCTGAATAAACTAATTAAATAATCGGCTGATCTCTCCTCTTTTGACTTTTTTTTAGATTTGATCAAACCATTCCTAGTCTACTTCTCTACCTTGGTTTGATTGTGGGACAAAACTTTCCTAACTCATTTTCTCACGGAAAAAAATAGATTCACTCTTTCTTTGAAAGTCTGAAATAAGAAAAACGCATGGAATCAAGTATTAATAATTTAAGCTAATGATCGTTTTTAAATAAGGTTTATGTTTGATTGTGTACATTCACAGGTTAGACTCCACCTTGACTTTCTTCACATTATTACCAAAAGGCCCTCTCTAGTTTTCTTATCACCACTTCCATAGATGTAAAACCAAGGCATAAGATTGCCACATTTGTGAGCATTTGAAGACATTGAATTTTACTTCTTTCACAAAACGTGTTTGGTAGAATTTCACGGATTAAAGAGGGCGTTTAATATTTACTACGGTTAA